ATATTATGCATCAACATTATAACAAAATAATGTGGTACCCTGATAAGATCCTGTTTATTACATCACAAGGGTGAATGAGATCTTTGCTAATGAACTGCAACTTTAAGGAACCTTAATACACATAAGCATACATATTATTGACGTTGAATGTTCTAGACAAATAAATAAATAAATCACATAACTAAATAAAGCTCGTATAATATACCATTATCACAGGTTATATAATGTAGAAAGAACTACTTTCCCATCAATATAAAAAAAAAAAAGTAACTGAAAAAAAAAATAGCATCATCTACTGCAAAACTATTCTGAACACAGTATTAAACTGATAGAATTAAGCTATCAATAACTTTCCACAACTTATCTAGTAGGCAGAAACGAGGTACTGATTTAACTGTTTAAATATTGCAACAGAGCAGGCATTTTGGACATAAGGATTGTTTCTTTCTTAGAAAGGATTAATTCGGAGTCCTGATGCTAATGGAGAAAATGGATTGACTTTGGCCCACATAAGTGCTTCATTGGGTGAAATGGCAGATTTACCGTCTTCTAGAAAATATGACAAACCCTGCAATAAAAAACAACACATACTTGAATATATTTAGTTTTCTGGGATAGTACACTGTAGTGCATTAATTTTACAAAAACTGGAAAAAGTAAGAAATCAGTGTAACTACATATGTACTGTAGATCATTTAATTTTCATAACTTATTTTCTCGAGTTTGTCATTGACTCTTTCTAGGCGACACAAAATTTTCAGGAATTCTGTTAATTGTTCTATATAATCTTTTGGAATACTAATGTACGTAAGAATGAAATTTTCGCAAGCACACTGTCTCAAGTTATTATGCAAAAATACAGTGTTTCCAAATAAAAAGTGATTTACAGTATTGATAATACATGCCTCTCTAACCTGACCTTTCATTTTTTGATCAATTACTGTTATATACCAGTATGGCAAAGCAAGCTTTAGAAGATATATCCAGTTACATTGTGCAATGTACACTTTCATACAAACCTGTACACATTGCTGTGATTACAGTTAATGTAGGCTTTAGTACACACCTGTACTCGTTGCTGTGATATACATGACACATGGACATCTGAATGTGAAGGAAGATGTGAACTGGAGGCACAGTCCTGTCCTACTCGATCTGGGTGATTATCTCCCCCTGACTTCAGTACCAGCTCCTTGTATCGCTGTAGGACATCTGGAGAAGCCATGACTCTTGATAGCTCTATGGGGTCTGGATAACTGGAGCAAGAAAGAAAAGTATTTCTTAGTCTTAGACAATAAAGTAAAATGAATTTGTAAGTTGTAAACAAGGTTTTAACAATTTTCACTTAAAAACATGAAAAAAAGAACAGTCAAACATTATCATTATTGAAATGTTTCTGAATTTAAAATTATCCTAGGGAAGTATTCCACTGCAAGCTTTAAGGTAGTAGATATTGACCAACTATAGCTGCATATAGCATTTCTGCTGATTAGGTATTATTTGACACAATATTAAGTTGACATACATAAGCAGAGATGGATATTCACCTATTAATTTTAGCCATGCATATAGTATTCCAAGCCACCATTTCCTTATCTATGACTTCCTCTGTTATTGGTAGACACAAGCCAGCTTTGCTAATGATATCCCTATAAAGTCAGCAGATTACACTGTTACTGATGCAATACTTTCCATAGATCCAAATTAAATCTTTGTCATGCATTAAGCAAACAAAACAATATTCAAGCTTTACATCATCAAGCATTTACCTGGCATGTTTTAACAATGGCTGTACTATTTCATCATAGCCAAATCTGATGGCCATTAAGGCACCAACATAAGCAGTGAGGCAGAGCAGCTCCATTCTTTGCCTATCAAAAATATAAGATGGTACATTCCAAATACTGATTTCAAGAAGCCAGAAAGTTTTGAGGACCAATGGAGGACCGATAACATTTAACATAACCTAATGATCCAGCTGGTTATCTTTTATACATTGCTCTAATACTGAAACCTGAATCTGAATGGCAGCTTTCTACATTAGTAAAGTACACACTGCAGAATAAAAGATGTCACAAACTGCAATGAATTTTTAGGCCTCATTCAACACATAGGGGCCACAAATTTTTCAGTTCTTAAAAGTCATTTTTCAGTAACGGTTAAAAGGATGCAAGCAATTTATTTGCCTGCTACATTTTCAATTTACACAAAATGTATTTATCTTTTTGTCCATTTTGAATAATTACTGAACCTTTCAGCATCTGTTATAAATGGCTCGACTATAAAGTTCATTCTAGATTATATACACTAAAATTTATTGAAACTGAATTGACTGTCAAGGAAAAATTTCTGAAAATATTGATATAGGGATAGAAATAGTTGACCTCATCTCAAACTTATTTTAAGCATTATTGTTTCAAAGTATTGAAGAAGTAGTAAGACTGACTTGTCTAGCTTTTGTTGCTGTAGTTTGTCTGCCCTGATGGAGGCCAGGAACTGTAAGATAGGGTAGATGTCATCCACTGACCACCTTCCCTTACTCATGGAAGCTGAAATAAGATGAGATTGTTCTATAGATAGTGTGAACCAAATACAATGAACTTATTCTAAGATTTATAGCTAAAATATGTCCATACGACAAAAATGTCTCATTCATGGGGTGTATTTGTATTGCAACATGAAATAATTTAAATATACATTGCTTTCTTTCATCAGAGATAATGGTAAAATATTATCAAACTCTTGAAAATAGGAATAACATTCATATTTTGTCAACCATTAGCTTAGGTAATCATAAAGGGAAGGAATTGAAAGGTCAAAGGTCTTTGGGAAGATTAATATTCAATACATTATAAAAGTTCAACTCTGTATACCTTTGATATACTCTAGTCCTATATCCAGCCCCGTTTCTGGAGTGGATGACACAACATAGAACCTGATACAGTCTACTGGCTTTATCTGATTCTTCAGAGTTTCTGCTTCATGTAAACATTTATCCAGGGGTGGAAGATCTGCCTGCCAACAAGAAAAGGATAATGACTAATTAGTTATGTACTGTTCTACATAAAAAAGTATGACAATACAAAATACAATATTTTCTTTCACAAAAGCTATAAATCAAATCCCAGGACATGCACTTTGGATTTAATACTTTGAAAAAAACCAAAAATACATCAATGTCCAATATTCTCTTCCCTTTTCTCTATTGTATTTTTTTAAGGACTTTATTGAATACCTTTGAATGGAGGTAGTTAATTTCATCAGAACTAGCGGCGCACTTGGCACAACACTTGATCATCAGGTCCCTGTTGTCAGGAATCAGCTTCAGTAGGTCTATAGCCAACTCCCTGTACATAAACATTGTATTGTGAAAAAAAATCAGTAAACAAACACATTTTCTTCTGGAAAAAAAAAACATTACTCATCAAATTCTACTCATCGAAATACACATGAATGCCAAATATTGGCAGTAAACCAAATATGTATCATTTCAAAGGAAAAAAATCATCAAAATATGCCAGAAAATGTTGACATTCTTTCTTGAATTAAGCAATGAGGAATCAATGTTTAGTGTTAGTTCATTCACCTTACTGAAATAACAATGCAGTATTTCTGGCATTCAGCTTTGACAGAAACTAAAAAAAATCTTCACCATTTTCCTATGTGTTCACATCTTCGAGACAAATACTCCAGGGCTTGGTAAGTCTGTTTTGGCACATTACCCAGAACCACACCCACTGATGCTGCTAACTCCAGTTCATGGCCCTGGATCAAACGCTGAACTGCTTGCTGTTTTGAATTTAAAAATTTCAATTAAATTTCATAAATTCTTTTATAATACATGATATTAAATAATTCTACTTCTTACAAATAATATTATTTAAAAAAACAAAACAAAAAAAACCCCCATGAAATTAAGTACAAACTAATATACATGTAAGTTATGACCTACCTGACAATCGTCCACACTGAGATGACAACAGGCAGCTAATACCGGGGATCCTCTATAAAAATACCAATCAGCCAGCTTCTGAACAGCATCTGTCAATAATCTATAATAACGATTTGTCAATGAATTATCTTTTTTAGAAATGCATGTCATTTTACATACATGTACTGTAAATCACTTTTTATTCGCGAGAACTTTATTTTGGCGTAATTACGCGAGACAAAAAATTTAATTCTCATATATAGTATTCCTTAATTATATAGAGCAATAACCACAATTTCAAAATTTTGTCTCGCTAATAAAGAGTCAATGACTATCTCGCGAAAATAAAAAATTAATCTAGAGTATTTCATATCAGATGCCTGCTCTCTTTCAAATTCACTGCCAAAAGTTATTAATACTTAAATTTAAAGATACACCAAAGGCTTTTTTCAAGAATGTTGTCAATTTTGAGATTTTCGGCTAATCACAGGTTTATAATGCATGAAAAATTCTTGCTGATTATTAAATGGTTTACTAATTATCTAACAATTATCAAACATAAACACTACCTCATGTGAATATTCCGTTACATGTATTGAAGCTTCTGATTTGATCTGTGACTGCCTGCTCCTGAAAGGAGCAATAAATCTCTGTGACCACTTGGGGAATTCTTCAATAGCCACACAGAGGTTATCAGTAATTAAACTACAGGGACTCTAGGTTTAGGGAAGGAGATCTAACAGGTCACTAATGACCATGGAATAGGAGGTGGAGCTTAGCTCTTGCCATTTTGCCTAAATCTTTCTGATTCAGTTTTTTTACTTCATTAAAAGCAAAAAAAGAACAGAACCTCCCATTCTTGTGAATATGCATAGGAAATCTCTATAAGTGACAGTGTTTCCAAAGCTGAATCTCCAAGGTGTCATATATTTAGCTTTGGCAGACTTTGATGTGTAATGGGTTTTTGCCCTACTGTAAAGTAATATCAGACAGTTGGTCTCTCTCTTTGAAAGGAAATTATTACCAATTTCTCTGAAAACTGGCCAGAATGCCTCTCAAATGTGTGTTCACAAAACCGTATCTCAGATTTTTGATATCTTGCTCATTCTAATTATTGGGGGAAATGTAGAATTAGGCTAATAAATTGGTAACATTGAAAGACAAATGGATGTAACTTTTGACAAGAAGATTTATCAAAAATCTAGTTTTTAAAGTTCAATCTTTATTACATTGATTTTGACTTTGAGAGGTGGAATACAAAAAAGTTGATTTATAAAATTTAAATGCACTAATATTTACATTAAAAAAATATTAATTTTTTAATGAGATAAAAATTAAAGATTAAATTTAAATCATTAAATAGTGAATTTAACAAGCTTTCAAATGATATATACTTTTAATATGTTATCTTTGTTAATGAAAGAATTACAAGCAAATTAAATTTTGCCCTTTGGAAACCTTTGGTGTATCCTTAACATGCTAACATGATACACCAACTGTTTTAAAAATGTTCTTTTTCAGCTGTAACCTAAGAACTAACTTTTGGTAAGATTTATTTGGTTCTACACCATTGCACAATCCCTTGGAAGGATGATCTGTCTGGGACGCTATATCAAACGTCCCCTCGCAGGCGACTTGAGCTGTTAACACAGCGTCAGAGAGCTGACCCCGAGAACTAGAGAATTCAACAAGGGTCTCTGGGTCTCCAATAGCTGTACAAAAGGGGATTATGTTCTCATCGTCTTCTTTGGATAAAAATTGGGTATACCTGAAAAGATTTTAATTTAAAGAAAAATAAGGTATGGAAAGTCTCAAAAAATAATATAAGTGGGAAACAACCAATCAATGAACTACATGTATTATTTTCATCATGTTCAATACCAATAAACCATGTGACTTTTTACCTTTTTGTAAGAGATCTCCAATATTCTATGGAAACTCCTGGGGAAACTGCAATAGCCCTCTCCCACTACAAAAATTGATGTTTTGGTAGATAATGTTCATAAAAGATAATCATATACTTATGAGTTTTTTTTCCACACTGAAGGAGAATCAATGTAAACACAACAACCAGAAGTCTCTGATAAGACTGTAGCTCTACTGGTCTGTACGTATAACAAAGGAAAAGTAGCACTTGAAATTGAAACTTAGCAACAGGCAGCAATAAATAAAATTATGTATCTTAGTGTTTATTGTGTGCCAAATATTAAAATCAACAAAACTGTAGTATTTTACACAGAGAATTTCTATTTTTAAACATCGTTCATAGAAATAAAACCGATGCACTAATTTATGTATCTAAGTGTAGTTTACTCGTGTGCCAACTTAATTGAAATCAGACAAAAACTGTAGGGGGAGTAGCATTTTAAAGGAATTTCACAAAATTTCTATTTTTAGTAACCATGGCAATACCATTCATCATAATCCAAAATCGATGCACTAATTTATGTATCTTAGTGTAGTCTATTTGTGTGCCAATTTATATTAAAATCAGACCAAAACTGTAGTAGGAGTACCGTTTTAAATGAATTTCACAGAAATTTCTATTTTTAGTAACCATGGCAAAACCGTTCATCGTAATCCAAACTGATGCACTAATTCATGCATCTTAGTGTAGTCTACTTGTGTGCCAAGTTATACTGAAGTCAGACCAAAACTGTAGGAGGAATAGCATTTTAAAAAATTGTTTACAGACAGATGGACAGCTACACAGACGGATGGACGCACTACTATCACATAAGCTCTTCTGATCTCTGACCAGTAGAGTTAAAAATTGTTACTTCTCCCAACTCCACCATAAGTTCACAATATCTTTGTAGATTTCCCAGTCGGATGTGAATTTTAGCAGCCTCTCGGAGTTTTCCTTCTTTTGAAATACTTCCAACACCACCACGAAATGATGACATTTTCACCATTTCTTGCTCTTGAGCTTCTGACTACAATATATATATGCACATTTAATACTTATATTAATAGTAAGCCACTACGTTCATGATTAAATTTTAGTATTTTGTAAAGATTTCCAAAATCAAACACATGTATATGTTTTTATAATTCAGAGTTTTAAGAATGAAAATGCTTTATTTTGAAAATGTTTGTGATTGTCTTGATTTTTTACTTATGTGGCAGATTAGGTTTATTTACATTTTCATAATTATTTCATTTTGATCCTGATGTAAATTACCGATGTTTTATTTGGAAATGCCCACTTTTATCTTTTGGCCAATAAGGTTTTTGACAGTTTCTTTTGTTCTTTTTTTTATATATAAAGCTAAGCAACTATTACATCAGGGAGGGAGACAGCTGGCTTCGCTAGCTACACTCTTCATATACTGGAATTGTCCTTTGTTCGTCTGTCTTAATTAAATTATATTACTTTAGGTTAGACTATATTTGGGTTAAGTAATGCTATATTTGGGTTGGGGAAATAAGGTTTTCATATTGTGTACTATTATAACTGTAAGACTGGTAATAAATTGTAAAGGCGTGTTAATCTTATTTTCTTTTATAGTTCATTACAATTTACAAATATTTCCAAGGTGTAATCTAATGAAGAGGTCTTATATTCAGAAAGTCGTCTCAAAATAAAAAATAAACACAACGCGAAGTACAGGCTATATGAACACCAGACCTGCTACACTTACATCAATAGTATGGCATTCTGATTTCAAACATGTACCAGTACTTTAAATATCAACTAATATTTGACTTACTGCTTTGAATTTTGTCAGATGCTTGACATGCATGATGCCTTTCTTGTATCTCTGAGACAACAGGGAATCATCTAACCCCTTCACCACAGAGACCAGCTCCCACAGGTTATCTGCCCCTGTCGGTGGCTAAAAGAAATAAATGTTTTGTTTTCACAGTTATGCTGTTTACCCACATTACCTACAATAAATACTCACTTGTTCAAACTACAAGTAGTTTTCACTGCATTTGGCTGGTGGAGTAGATCTTTAACATTTATTAGACAATTTTATATCTCCTACATGTAATGTTTATCACTTACACTAAGAGTTTAGGTGGATCTCTCTGTTATTACAAGGAAGACCTGCTTCCATCTCAGCTTTTATATCTCTACTGCCTTTTCCACATAACAGAGGAGGATTTCCAATTGCCATTGCAGAATCTGAAATAAAAATAATAATAAACTCAACTTATTTCAATGCATCTTATTATTTAAGGTGCTATAAAAGTTACACCTTTCATAACTGATATAAATCCTTCACATACTTTATATCTACAACGTTGACATTTACCAGTGGTTCCTAGAACACTTGTCCAGGGTTTCCCGGCCAGAATGCTGAGTTCTATGGGCTGGACTAGAGAGTTGAGTGACCACAGCCTGACAGTGGAATCTCTGGAGGAGGAAGCCATCAGAAACGGTCTCTCAGGGTGACTTGTTAATCCTGTAAAATATACATTACTGTGCCATAAAGCTAGCTTGAATAAATCCTCTTTAAATTTGGCAAAAAAGATTTTCTTCCCATGAAAGCTGTCTTATTTTGTCCAGAAGGCCAAGTTTAGTCAAAATAAGCTTAGCAATAAACAAATGATAAATTTAATAAAAACATAATTTGGGACAGAAAATAAAATTCTTTATTTTATTGCAAAGCCTATCCACAAATCAGGAAAAAAAATCTTGCAAAGAAATTTAGTTTTCATCTTGTTTTCAACAAAGGCAACTTGTTTTCAACAAGGGAAGAAACCTTACCATAGACATCAGCACCATGGTCTAACAGGGTTTCCACACAAGCACCATCCCTGATGTCCCAGATCCTGATTTTGTAATCCCAGCTCCCTGACATCAGAAGGTAAGGGATCTCCCAGTTCCACATGATCCCTCTAACGGGCCCCTCGTGCCCTCGCAAAACTTGGAAGCAGGATTCCTGGGAGTAATCCCATACATGGATTGTACTGCAAAATTCAATGTTTACTTTAAATAAAAAATCCTTACAATGTGCAATCTACAATTTGTATATACAAACTGATACATGTTGATGTACAATATAAACATGTAATCTTCATAAAGATATCTTGCATAATATAACTACTCTACCCTATTAATATACATGTAATATCAAGAAACTAAATTCAGTAAGTTAAGTTATAAAATGTATTACAATTAACAGATGTAACAATAATTGGCCAGGAATAATTTCATCAAAAGAAATATTCTACCAGTCATCGGAGCCACTAGCCAGCATGCCTTCTTTTAATGGAGACCATTTAATGTGGAACACTTTAGCAGTATGACCTGCAAAAAGAAGCAAAATTAAATTGAATTTGCCTTGTAAAAAATCTAACCCCCCCCTCAATCCCATTCCAAAGCTAAAACAATTTTACTCTCTAGCATTTTTACTGTGCATTTAGCATTTAGAAAATCTTTAATGGCTGATCAGTGACAGTGGCTAAATAGTAAATTCTAACTAGTTTATCCTCACATCCAGTGGCCAACATATCTCTAGAAAGAAAAATCTTTAATGGGTAACCATTACAGTAAAATTCAGTGACAGTGGCTAAATTTATCTCTGTAAATCCTACACTAGTTTGGATAACTTTTTTTCACATCCAGTTCTTTGTAAACATCAGAGTCTAATAAACTGTGTCTTAACCTATCGATAATATTTACTGTGCACAAAAATGCATCGTGATGTCATGTCATTTGCTTTTTATCATAGAAAAACTATGCATTGAGACATTATGTTTTATTTACCCCCGACTCAAGTCCTGTGCACGGAAATTTACACCCGACTCTGTAACCGATAGTGTTACAAGCTACATAGGAAAAAATGTTAATTAAACATGTACTTCAGTTTAGGAAATTAAAAACTTTCAGAAGTTTTATACTTATTGTCTGGGCTCCAGTCACAACCATACACAGCCGCTGGGTGTTTGTACTTCTGAATGATATCCCCATTCACTTGTCTGACAATACTTCAGAATAAAAACAAAAAGAACAATTAAAATCCATTAACAAATTCTGACAAATAATTTCAACACAAATGCTTTGATATCTTTCACTAAATAATCCTGTCTTGTTTGAGTTAAGTTTGATTGGCTTACCAATATCCATCTGCTCCTGCTGACATTATGCGCTTGGAATCTTTTTGGTTCCAGGCAACACAAAATATGGCTGTTTTATTTGCCTTCAACGAAAAAAATATCAATCAGTTATTATTAATGTCAAAAACCTTTTTACACTATATCAACTTTATGAAATTCAAGTTCAATGGGATATGCACCTTCCCTAACAAAGGATTTCTAATCCACTTTGCAAACCATTGGCTTATCATGACCATTCATGAAATAACAAGATATTGATTTAATACATGTATGATGTACCAGTAAATGACACTTACATCTTGAAACCTTTGTATGATCCTTCCCTTGCCAATGTCCCAGATGAACATGCCATGTTTAGAGGTACTGGCCACAATACAGTTCAAATCCCCTGGGGCCCAAGACAGGGAGTAAACCACACCCTCATTTCCCGGAGAGCTGTCTACCTAAAAGATGATACAATTATATCAGCAACACAAGCTGAGGAGAAAGGATAATTAGACACTATACTTTCTGCTTACAAACATAAATTCAGAACTGAATCAATTCAGAATTATATGATAATGTGTACTAACTGGATTTAAGGAATTTACGTCCCAAAGTTTGATTGTTCCATCGAAACTACCAGTAGCCAGTATATCTCTGTCGTATGGGCAGAATTTGCAGTCAAATATTGTCTCTATGTGTCCCTGTGACAAAAAAATAAGATGCAATAACTTAATCTGATTCATCAAAATCCATAAAGGTGATGTGCTTGTATCAACTGAATTGGTTTAAATAACCATGAAATAACTTATACAAGCTGCATTTACTGTCAAATATTTTCTCTATGTGTTTCCACGGAATCTCTATTTCTGTGTTCTCTTAATTTGATTCACAAAATCCATATAGCCTAACACGTATATTAGGTTCATTGGACAAATTTTCACAGAAAATTTGTGACAGTGTACAAAGCGTAAATTAATACCACGCGGAAAAAAGTACTTCTACAGTATTTAAAGGTATAGATGTTGAAACCTGTTCCCTGAGGAAATCCCACTTTCTTCCACCTAAATCATACAGTCCTACACCCCCATCTAGGAATGTACACACAATTTTGGCTGGAGGGAGAGCAAACTGGGAGCTTGTAGTGATAGCAGGAGCTAGAGCTGGGCTATTGGATGATAACTGACCATCCTTTACTTCTTTTTTCTTTGTTCGATGCTCAACACTTATGGTCTGAAAGGCATGAATCCCTGTCTTCTTAATTCTAATATTTTCCACAGGTGTTGATTTTGACACATTCCAGATTCTCAGAATTCCACTTTTGACATCTGAAATGGAAGTGAAAATTTTAATAAAAAGCACACATTTGACAGACCTCAAATATTGTAAATCAAAATATAATCTTTTGTAATCCCCCCCCCCCCCCGGAAAAAAAGTGGTCGTTGAATTTGAGGACTCACCCCCTGTTACAAACATCCCAGGAGCCCCAGAAATCCAGGCCAGGGTGTGGACATTTGCTGCTACACTGGGCATTTTGAACTCTGTAATGATAGTCCCTGACACAGTGTCTATCAGCCTCACAGGATTATACGTGTTTGTCATGATTAGATAATCCGCTGACAGGGGGTCCCACTCAAGGGCAGTAACTGGGTCATCCTCTTCCTCCTCAACACTCTCGGGCCGACATATTCCCTTCTGACTTTTACCTCCTGCAAATTTCAACGCAAAATATCTAAAAGTTCTTTTTGTCTGTTAAAAATGCTCCCCCCTTTTTCTTTTATTACAAAAAGAACACATATTCATTGATTATTATTTTTTCAATTGCTCCTCTCCTTTTTGCAATGAAAGAAATATAATGAAACCCAAAATAAGAATACAAGCTGTTTTAGTAGAGAAATGTCTACAACCTAGCTAGTGAACCTACCTATATTGCAAACTGATATACTCCCATCCATATGACCAAAAGCAATTCTACTGGAATTTTTGGGATGCCACCTAAACTGACAAACATGAGAACTGAATCCAGATGCCTCCTTGAATGTCTGGAGTTTTTGTTCATTTTGATAGTCCCACACATAGAACGGTCCCGTTCCCTGAATAAAACACACAACATCGCTGAACTTCAGATTCGTCCATCCAACAGCTTTTGGTGCATCTCTAGTGGTCACAGACATTTTTGCTGTCACTTGCTGTTTTGCAATATTCCAGACAATGACCTGTTTATCCATGCCAGTTGTAACAATCAAATCTGGATTTGTTGGATGAAATTTGACACAGTTGATGGTCTTTGTGTGCTCAGACATGATGGAGATTAAGCGAAATTCATTAAATTTTCTATCCAGCTGAAAAATACAAGTAGTGAATGTTGTTGTCATCACTAAATCTTTAGCTCAAACTCTATCTTAAAAAAAAGACAAAATAATATATATACATGTTCTTTAGATCACCAAATTCCATGTCACCTTGCTTTTGTAAGATGTTTACTGTATTTTCAAGCAAGAAAAATTTCCAATTTCATTATTATTGTAATACTACTAATATTCAATAATATAAACGTACGAGCAAAGAAAATTTTGCCATTATTAACTTTCGACATAATTGAACAGCAACTGTAAAATACTTTTTATTAGCTTGAACTTTATAATTATTTTTGTGTCATAACACGAGAGAAAGCGCTTGTGGAAATGAAATTCTTGCACATAATAGTATTCCATAAGATTTTATGAGGCAATAACCACAATTCGTGAAATTTTTTTCTTGTTATAAAGAGTTAATAAGTATCTCACCAAAATAAGGTGTCATGAAAATTCAGTGATCTACAGTACATGGTATACTTTAACATTGCTAGCAATAACTCATCCAAATTGAATGATCCTGGCATTACCTGATAGATGTACATAGCCAGAGTGGCGCAGTATACAAAGCGGTCCCCACTGGTTGCCACCACATCATTGTTCCACGGCTGACAACCGGCCGGCAACAATCCCACCTGTCTCACCATATTCACTGTCTAGTGTCTAGACAACTGTCTAATGTATAGACAACTGTCTAGTGTGGCAACATTCAGCTCAACTGAATCTTCTGTGGACAAAATACAGCAGGTGTGAAATACATCTTATTATGCTTTTAAATACTAAGAGACAGGCCAATTAAATTCCTCGTAGAAGAAACTTCTGTTCATTTCAAATTTAAAAAAAAAGAAACTGATTAATAGAGCAATGCTACAAAGACTGAACTCTGTATTTTATCATACTAGTACATGTACCTTACTTAATTAGAATGTCAGAGGGAAAAAAAGAAAATTAATAATAAATGTGGTAGAATTAACGAGGAGATTTCATGTTTGCTAGTCATGCATTATGGAGATCCTGCATTATTCTGTATCATCTAATACATGTAATTAAATCTGATAATACAAGCAGTTTCATTGATTTTGTTTAAGGGTACATTCTTCAGGTTTTGCTAATTAGCAGTCATAAAAGTAACAGAAAATGCTCACAAAAATGTCACTTTATTAACAAAATAATTTAATAAATCATCATTACATAAATACATTTTAGTACAATATTGGAATTTTTTTTTAGTTTTGAATCAATTGTGCACTTTCTAATTAACAAGAGGCCCTGGGGCCCTAATTATCATCTGAGTATAATGTACATGTATTATGTAACACTAAATGTAAAGATCCATAAATTGAAATTACAACTGTAGTATAAAATAAAATAAGTTGATGAATGAAACTTTGTTGGAAAAACCCAGGAGCATAGAGGATTTTCTAAGAATGAATGTATTTTCAAGAGAATCCAATCTAGAATTCCATCATAAGCACTTGGTTTAATTTCAGTAGCAGAAAAGGATTCACAAACAGGAATAATGCATGTTTACTATATAATCAATGGAGCAACTCCTGCATCCCAAAGAAACTTTGACCCCAGGGCCATACATTTAACATTTAACAATACTGGAATCTATTGAACATCATAACTGTGCAGTTGGTTTATCTGAAAATAAAATTCAAAATTTTTGAAGAGGCGCCCTTGTTCATCATAACTATGCACTAACTGTGGTTTCATTGTTAATAATAATATATGTGATTACACCCCTTTTTTCCCAACAAGTTGACTTTACAAAAATTGTTTTTCATCATTTAAGGAATCCAAAGTTTCTGATGAGACTAGAGCTCCACTGGACCATGGTTTGTAGTACTTTGTACTTCGAACAAAGCAAGAGAAAAGTAGCACTTGGATTTTGAAAGTATGCAACAACAATAAATAGATCTATGTATCTTAGTATAGTCTACTTGTGTGCCAAATTATACTGAAATCAGACAAAAAACTACAGGAGGACTAGCATTTCAAAATTATTTCACAGAAATTACTAATTTTGTTCCCATGGCAACACCATTCATCGCAATCCAAAACCTGTAAAAATGATTCTGTATTATAGTGTAGTCTACTTGTGTGCCAACTGCCAAGTCATATTAAAATCAAACCAAAACAGTGAAAACTGTTAGAGTAGCGTATTGAAAAGTGTTTACAGAGAGGCAAACAGCTAACATGGCTAAACAGATAGACAGACGGACAGACAACAGACACCTTACTATTGCATAAGCTCTTCTTTTCTCTGACCAGTGAAGCTTAAAAGAAGAATGAAATTCTTTATAGATAATTACTTAACATTTTTGAGTCAATTAAATTGTTAAAATATTCTGCACAGAGATATAAACAAACAACATGTAGATCTGACGAGATGGAGCATTTACCAAGCAGTGGTTATATACCAAAGGATGATCATAAGATGTAAATCCATGTATGTAAACAATTTGTTATTCTCAAACATTTATGTAATATTTCCAACACCAATTATCACCTGTCCTATAAAAAAAAACAATTGCTAGTACCGGTAAATGATAAAATGTCAATATTAGAAATAAGTATTAAATACTCTCTGTTCATAACAGGCTTAAATCATACAAATCATAAAATTAACAAATCCTTGTTTGACTTTCATTTAGAAACATATCTACATACTAGTATGTATTTTGTTATACAGGAGATCAGTTAACAGATAATAATATGTATACAATGTTGGTTGCAAATGCTCTGCGTTTTGAAGACCTTTGCAGATTTTTTGTTGTTTACAACTAAAATCTCCTGAAATCTATATGTACTTGTATTTTTACGTCATGTTGTATTATTTATTATTGTACAATGATTTCATTATTGTATTATTGTGAACATGCTTATAGGGCCCCGAGGAAGACTAGTGCATTGCACTAATCGGGTCACCCTCTTAAAATAAAGTATTATTATTATTATTATTATTATTATTATATTATTATTTTGCATACTGTAGACGTACTTTTTTCCATGGGGTCATAATTCCGCGGATTCATAATTTCTGCTTAATCTGTGGGTAGATTATTCAGTAATAATTCTGCGGATTTCTTCGACTGTCATGATAAGCCTGACATTTATATTAAGTACACTTGGACAAATTTTCGTGGAAAATTTAAAATTTGTGACCGCGTACATAGCGTAAATTAATACCATGCGGAAAAAAGTACTTCTGCAGTATCTAAGTGTGAAGTGTTGATGTGTTTATTCTGATATACGGGTAACTACAAACAAGGGGGATCAGAGTTTCACCATCAAGTCTAGATTCATCATGCTATGGATTGAAAAATTGGTCTCTAAAACCATTTTGTAAATTATTAAAAATATTTTATTACTTTTAATACCTTGTTGCCACAATTACTGGGTAATTATCATCCATACCTGCATCAAAAAGATAAATTCAAACTGTCTTAATATTGTAAGATATACTTGCACTCTTTCTTCAAAAACATTGATTTAACATGAAATTAAAATTCAATTTACAATAATTAATTGTTTTTTATATCTGTTTCAATTTAAGATGTTTAATTGGCCCATAGAAGTCATAAAATCAATAGTCACTTTTTTAAAAATAAACTACTTTATATCTATTATTTAGCAAAGTCGTTCCGCTTACGTTTTCCTGCAAATGGCAGACAATTATTCCAATTTATGAACTATAAGACAGTAAATAAACTGAATTTGGACAGAAAGATTCGTCTTGAAATACTTTAATTCATAAGGATATCTGTATATTTCATGGTGAACTTTATCTAACCTAAAATTAAATTTCAAACTATTGATCCTAATAATCGTCTGCTACCTATGCAATTTAATAATCCATAGAAAGTATGGTCCAATTTGAATTTCTGAACACAAAACACTGCTACAATACAGATAAAAACCATTTATCAAAGATAGAACTTGCAAGAGGCAGTTATTATGTTTCAAATATTTTCTGTTAATCTGACAAATTTCTTTCTAACATATGCATTATTTTTTTTTTTTCAAAAAGAGTGTTTTTTAATTGCACCAAAATAAATCACAGTAAATATGATAAAAATCATAGTTAACCGTCAAAATGCACACATTAAAAAATCTTAGTAATACCCTCATTATTACTAACAGGATGCAGGTATAATCAGGGCAAAACTAATGAAGGTAAAAGTAGCTGTTACATACTAGGGGAGTACATGTATATACATGTATCATAGAACATAAGGTTCTGATGACGACCGTCTCAGGTCGAAATCGATCAACAAAATAAATTTACTGCTGCATTCTCACGAAGTGTTGGTGATCTGCTTTTATACTTTAAAGTTTGCATGTATCATATAAGACAGAGTATCGCAAGCTACCTAATGACACGATGCAATACAACACGTATCATGATACAGCTGCCATCAGTAAAATGTTTAAACATCCTTGCTTGTTAACCTTCACAGTTAAAGAAAATATAAAAAGAATATCTGCCCCCCCCCTCCCTCAAAGTTATTTATAGGTGGGCATATAGTCTTAGCATTGATTATATTTTTTCATCGCTACCTTGTTTTCGACATTTGTAACATTGAAATTTCTCAGCTTGGATGTAGAATTTTCAAATAAGACAATGAACATTAACTTATACTGTATCCTGATACATACATGGCGATACAATACCGGTATGTGTATCGTGAGGCATTGTGATCCAAGTATTCGATATGATCGATTTTTCACTGTATTGTTACATTTCTAGTATCATATTATACCGTATAGCGGGTTTTCTTGGTGGGTGTAAAATTTGGCATTTTATCTGCTCAAAGGTATGCCAATAATTTTGGTGTAATTTATTTTAGCGGTCACAGGGTTTCAATTCTTTGCAGATGAAAACTAAAAAGAGTTGTGAATATTTTCATGGTTAAAATTTTGGTGGGCTACTTTCAAAATGCCAAAATTAGCACCCAGCTAAAATAATCCGCTACACGGTATATTGACGTTGACACACCAGAATGTTTGCCCCAACGTGACACAAAAGTCCTAGAGTACTATGTCACCTGATGCCAAAAACTTACTTTAAAATGTTTGCTATCAACCCAGTGCATTGTATGGCAAATCTCTAGGAGAATGCATAATAATTTGACAGACATTGATAGGAAAAGCTATAACAAACTGCCACTTGGACTAGAACATGAAATTTTAAACTATATTTATTGCTCACAAAAATTTTACAATGTGCGACTGTTTTATCGATTTATTTCTCCATGTTTTTAAAAATATAATTTCAAAATATTGCCAGCCGTGTATTCTTAACAAAAGCTTTCACTGTTTTCACAACAAAACATACCTTACAGTTGCTGTTTATAGCCCTCCTAAAATGCCCTGAAACACATACTGAAACCAGATCATAGAAAATGTATATCCTTGTCTTTTGTAAAGAGTTTGTTCTTTGACTTCTAATTTGGCTCCAACGCGCTTCGTGTCATGATGTCAAAATGGCTACGAAAGTACTTATTTAGTAAGAGGATTTCAATTTTTGGGAATTTTATTAAATTGACTAATTTTTTTGCAATTGATTTGGTAAGAATTTGGAAGAATTAATTTTACACAAGCTTAAATTTTTGTCCCCTTGATTTAAATTTTATGCCATTCCTACTATAAAGATGCTTAAATTTTACTTACCTAAGACACTTATATATCGTAATTTTTTTTTATGAAAAACCGCACAATTTTGGCGGCGGAGAAGAGATATTAACAGGTTCTGCAGCTATAAAACCGTGATTTTTTTTATCAACCCAGTGCATTGTATGGCAAATATCTATTCATATGTGAAAACATTAGCTATAAAGCACTCAATCTCACTGGACATTGATATGGAAAAATATTACAAATAGGTAAAAACTAGTTTAACAGTTACAACATATATATTACATTGTTCAATTTTACATATTTTTCCTGACCTATGTTTGATCCATGGTTTACTGAATTAAATAATTTTACAATGTGAAGACGTGTCTTAATGTAGAGCAAAGAGATATTACATGTAATCATGAGCCACAAGACATGTACCTGTTTCTTTAGAAAAGTGGTTAGGTTTTCACATACATCCATGAAGATGTAGGTGAAAGCCTGTCCACTTCTCTAAAAAGAATAAATCACCCACTGGAATCCAAGAAAGAGAGTGTTTACCTTTTTGTCATTTCATTAAAAAAAAAATGAAAATATCAGCTATTTTTCATTAATGTGTATTTAGACATGCCTAGAAAAACTCATAAAATGCAAAAATCCCAAAACAGCATACTGAAACCAGTCACCTATACTATAGGAAAATGTATATCCTTGAGTACCAATAACCTCCGCTTGTAAAGAGTTATCGTTCTTTGACTTCTAATATCGGTCAGAAGATATTTTGAAATGAGTTCAATAGAAATTGTGAAATCGGTCCTCAGCCAGGTTGAGGATCAAATAAAAATACAGAAATTCCATAGAAAACTTATCATAATTCCATCTAATTACCGATTGTTGAAGGATTCCAATTTTTTTTCTATTTAATATCTTGACGAATTCTGTTTTGCTGCTGTTTGCCACCATGTTAGTCACGTGATCAAACTTTCTGCAGAGAGACTGGAAATTGGGTAGGAAAATCCTCTTAGGACAATTAAAAAGCATCAGGCGTATGGTTAAAACGTTAAATCAACTAATGGATATATATTATCATTCAATATCTAAAATACAATTGATAAGAATTGTTATTCCATTAAAATTCGTGAACTCGAATAGTAAGAGAACAACTTGTTTTCAGAATATGGTATACAAAACGAATCTCCAACGTTAGAGAGTGTCTGTTGACACAAAGTAGAGAAGATTCAGGTAAGTGCCTTATCACTCTACTCCATAGACTGGTCTCGCTGTCTGAGACAGACAATGCCAGTCTATTTACTCTATGCAACTTAAAGTTGAAATCCATTTGTATTTAGCTCACCTGTTCTAAATTTCTAGTATTTAGCTCACCTGTTCTAAATTTCTAGTATTTAGCTCACCTGTCTGTAGTTAGAATAATCTAAGTCTCTCGGTCCAAGCCCTCAACACAGTTAGAATACATACCATTTACTTCGAATGCAGCAAATTGGAGTGGATTCACTCCGAAATGATTTTGAAAAACACAAAAGAGGTTGTACTGAAAATAACTACCTTATTCAAAAGAAATCTGTTGCCCACATGGTGCAGAGGTTAGAGCTTCTGCTCTAGAGTTGCGAAGTAAGTAGTTGATCCTTACATTGCAGGTTCGAATCCCACTGTGGGACGTGGAGACTGGTCCTTTGGATGAGACCATACAAACTGAGGTCCCATGTTGTTGCAGTAGGTGCTGGCACAAAAAAGATCCTCCCTGCTCAATGGCCTTGAGTGCCGAGTACTGTAAAACGAGAATATTTGGCGCACTACTAATTTTAGCGCCTTTGGCGCAAGAGCCCCTGAGGGCTAAAATTTATTGTGTGCTAAAGGATTTCTAAATATCATTTTTTTTGTGTGTGTTCAAAGCTTTTACATAAGTAAATGTAAACCGGAACGCGCGATTACGTAATGTCGAAGGTCATTGGATTTTATATACACACTAGCACTGCACATGCTCGGAAGACAGCAAGTTCTGCCAAATTATAATTTAATTAAACTATTGTTACCCCAGTAGTTGTTACCCGATTATTTTCATAAGCACCTTCAAAGTTTGACTTCTCGGCGTGTCAATCATCTATCGCCTCAAGGTAAACAGTGCAATCAAGCATGGCGATTGAGCTTGCAGACAATATTACCTGATTAGGATTACCGTTTTATCTAAGTAATTTTCTGTCGATGCGTGCATTGTTTTAATATATGTTTTAAATGAGTAAATACTCCATTTCTTTTAATTGAAAATAGAAATAAAATAGATTTTAACATTGTGCCATGTCCATGTGATAGCAACACGTACCGCCGTAAAGTTAACGAATGTTTACTGATATACGGGAGTACTAATGTATTTCGGTGCTTGACTAACCAAAAATTCAAATACGGGTGTGGATAAACAAAACACAAATCTTACTGACAGGTGCAAGTGCTAAAATTTTTTTGCGCCAATGCATTCCCACTTGCGTTTGCGCTAAAATATGTATGCGCCAAATTTTCTCGTTTTACAGTATAGGACAAAATTTGCAGCTCTCCATCGGCAAATGGTGACGTCTCCATATGAGTGAAAAATTCTCAAGAGGGACGTTAAACAATATACAATCAATCAATCAAAACAAACCTCTAAAGATATTGTTTATGTCTTTTTATCCTAACAAATAATCCTTGTAAAGACGAATATCCAACATATTTACTCAGTGCTTTTTCACACTTCAAATTTACATGCCATGTTTCCAATGAATCTCTCTGGATTGTCTATAGTAAATGCAGGTAGTGCCAGTTATTGCCCTGTTTTTTTTCGCTACATATTATACCGTATATACTCGCCTATAAGTCGGTTTTTTGGGAGTTAATCTCTGGTCTAAAACTCTTTGAACGACTTATAGGCGAGCTATTAAAAGTATGGTTTTATATGAGGTCAGTCCATCTGGTATACAAGCTTATTAAATACAACCAACTTATAGGCGGACCGACTTATAGGCGAGTATATACGGTAGTTACATGGAACAAATTTTATTATTATACTAGATATCATTGAGATGGTGGCCATCTCAAAGAGCCCCACTTTTAGCAATGAACATGAAAATGTAAGGTAGCTGAAAAGGATTTATTTTGAGGGTGTTTAAGATTAAAGGGGACAAAAAGTAAGTACTCCCTGAAAAATAGTACAATTAAAAAACTTGAAGAAATGTATCCTCTATGAAAATTGTTGCATATCTTTTATTAAAATATGGAAGGAAAATCACAAATGTTCTGTACCCAGTCAATTTGTTTGAGGCTGAGTGGACTTAAGGGAAAGAAATTATGCACCAAACAAAGATTTTAAACAGAGAGGCTATTTTTGACCTTGACCTAGAAACTTTGTTCAAGGTCACTGCACATCCATTGACCACTGGCACTCTGTGAGTTAAGTATGATACACATTGGACAAAGGCAAGAGAAGACATGCTCTGGACAAGGATTTTTTATGTAATTCTGCTATAACCTTAACCTTTGACCTAGAAAAATGGTTCAAGGTCACTGCACATCGATTACCCAAAGGCACTCTGTGGGTGAAGTATTAGCCAGATTGGGCCAAGGAAAAAGAAAATATGCTCCAGACAAGAATTAAAACAGAAAGGCTATTTTTGATCTTGACCTAGAAACTTTGTTCAAGGTCAGTGCACATTCACTGACCACCAGCACTCTGTGAGTGAAGAATGAGCCACTTGGACAAAGGGGAGAGAAGATATGCTCAGAACAAGGATTTTTCATATAGTTCTGCTATGACCTTAACCTTTGACCTAGAAACACGATTCAAGGTCACAGCACACCCTTTACCCAAAAGCGCTCTGTGGGTGAAGTATGTGCCAGATTGGGACAAGGGGAGAGAAGATATGCTTCAGACAAGAATTTAAACAGAAAGGCTATTTTTGACCTCGACCATTGACCTAGAAACTTTGCTCAAGGTCACTGCACATTCATTGACCACTGGCACTCTGTGAGTGAAGTGTGAGCCAAATTGGACAAAGGGGAGAGAAGATATGCTCAGAACAAGGATTTTTCATGTAATTCTGCTATGACCTTAACTTTTGACCTAGAAAGATGGTTCAAAGTCACTGCACACCCTTTACCCAAAGGCACTCTGTGGGTGAAGTATGAGCCAGATTGGGCCAAGGAGAGAGAAGATATGCTCCCGACAAAAGATCTTGGACGGACAGACAGATGGAAGGACAGCTAGACGGATGGACAGACTGATCACTATAGAGCGGGGCCCTTACTAGCTTAAACTTGGTCTGTAGGATTATATCATTTTAATGATGCAATGTTCTACCTAAGCTGACTGAGCTGAATGCTAAGATAAGCTCTTTAAAACTTTTATATTTAAAACTCTTCTTGAATGGTGCACCTCAGTGATTTTTCTCAAGATGAAAATTTTGGACTGATTATCTCTTTGTATCTCAGACAATCTCTCTTTAGAGATATGGAAAGCAGCTTTTGCCCACACCCACTTCTCTTCACAAGCCTTCATGGTTCTGGAAAACATGTAAAGTGTAGCATACACATGATTCGATGGAAAGTTCTATTGTTAAAATGATATTGTCCTATGTACCAGGTGTAATAATAGAATTCATTCCGTGTATTCGCAGTAAATCAAAATAAACACAGGAGATAACTCAAACTCAGTGCATTTTATGCTACATATGTACTACAAACAATCCAGAGAGTTCGAAAAGTAAACATGGCAGGTAAATTTGAAGAGAGAAAAAAAGTTAAGAAAATTAGTATATTCATATCATTCTATGATATGGATTAATTTTTTGGATAAACAGCTTAAATAATCTCCAAAAATGTTTGTTTTGAATAACTTTATTGTTGTTATTTTCAGCTCAACCCCTTTTGTATTCTTCAAAATTATTTCCGAGCAGATCCGCTTCAATTTGTTACATTATATGGGATGTATTCTAACTGTAGTGAGGGCTTGTCCTGAGACACAGTTAGATTATTCAACTAACACATGATATGTACCAGCATGTACAAAAGTCACATATTTTTACCCACAGCTGTATGACAAAATTCATGGTATTAAGATATTAAAATGAAAAATTTTTACCGTTATTTTGAAATGTTTACTGAAAACTGCCATTTTTCTTTCATCTTTGCTCTCACGAAATCCTGTCCATTGTGCAACTTATTGTGCTTGGTCAATGTAAATGTTAAAATGTTCAAATTATTACTATAGTTACAGTAACAATGCTAAACAAGAGGCCCATGGGCCACATCGCTCACCTAAGAAGCTTTGAACATTCCGTTTTTTACCAGATTTCCCCCTTGTAATACATATTGTGACCCCACCTTACCCCACTGATCATAATTTAAACGATCTGAAATCTATACTACCATAGGATGCTTTGATTCAACATTTTAAAACTTTGATTCCCCATTGTGTCCCCGTCCTACCCCTGGGGGTCATGATTAGAACAATTTAGAATCTACACTACCCCGGGATGCTTCCACATAAGTTTCAGCTTTTCTGGCTCAGTGGTTCTTGACAAGAAGATTTTCAAAGATTTTTCCTATATATTTCTATGTAAAACTTTGATTCCCCATTATGGCCCCGCCCAACCCCGGGGGGTCATGACTTTAACAATTTAGAATCTACACTACCCTGGGTTGCTTCCACAGAAGTTTCAGCTTTTCTGGCCCAGTGGTTCTTGAGTAGAAGATTTTTAAAGATTTTTCCTATATATTTCTATGTAAAACTTTGATTCCCCATTGTGGCCCCGCCCAACCCCCGGGGTCATGATTTGAACAATTTAGAATCTGCACTACCCCAGGATGCTTCCATGTAAGTTTCAGCTTTTCTGGCCCAGTGGTTCTTGAGAAGAAGATTTTTAAAGATTTTTCCCTCATATTTCTATATACAACTTTGATTCCCCATTGTGGCCCTGCCCAACCCCCGGGGGGTCATGATTTTAACAATTTACAATCTACACTACCTAAGGATGCTTCCATAAAAGTTTCAGCTTTTCTGGCCCAGTGGTTCTTGAGAAGAAGATTTTTAAAGATTTTTCCTATATATTTCTATGTAAAACTTTGATTCCCCATTGTGGCCCCGCCCTATCCTCGGGGGTCATGATTTTAACAATTTAGAATCTGCACTACCTAAGGGATGCTTACACATAAGTTTCAGCTTTTCTGGCCCAGTGGTTCTTGAGAAGAAGATTTTTAAAGATTTTTTCTATATATTTCTATGTAAAACTTTGATTCCTCATTGTGGCCCCGCCCTATCCCTGGGGGTCATGATGTTAACAATTTAGAATCTGCACTACCTAAGGATGCTTCCAAATAAGTTTCAGCTTTTCTGGCCCAGTGGTTCTTGAGAAGAAGATTTTTAAAGATTTTTCCTATATATTTCTATGTAAAACTTTGATTCCCCATTGTGGCCCCGCCCTATCCCTGGGGGTCATGATTTGAACAATTTAGAATCTACACTACCCCAGGATGCTTCCACATAAGTTTCAGCTTTTCTGGCCCAGTGGTTCTTGAGAAGAAGATTTTTTAATGACCCCACCCTATTTTTGTCTTTTCTTTATTATCTCCCCTTGTGAGGGGACTTGGCCCTTCATTTTCACAATTTAAATTCCCCTTCACCCAAGGATGCTTTATATAAAGTTTGGTCAAAATTGGCCCATTGGTTCTTGAGAAGAAGTCGAAAATGTGAAAAGTTTACAGACGGACAGACAGACGGACGGACAGACAGACAGATGGACGGACGGACGACGGACAAAATGTGATCAGAAAAGCTCACTCGAGCCTTCGGCTCAGGTGAGCTAATGAATGTGGAGCAGTGTAGAAATATGTGTGAAGAATTTGGAGGATATATACATTGATGTCAAATATATCGATAAAACATTGTGCACTGGACATACCTTACCCTAGAAAATTACACTGATTGTAAATACAGTAAAACCCGCTTTACATAACGAAGTGCTCGGGATGGACTAGGGATTGTACCGGACCTGTTATATTTACATCCACTGAATAGTTTCTCCTTTATTTCTTAAGAAAACCCATTGCTGTTAATCAGTGCATGAACAACACTAGGCATATCACCTGTATTGATTTTTTGATCAGTGGCTGTTCCATCAATGAAATGTATAAAGATGGACGTATCATTAATACAATAATTAATCTTTTTAATCCTCCTTTAAATGATTATTTAAACAGATATAAATATAAACAATAAAATGCATTTCTTTGGTTGTTAGAACAGGAATGAATGTCGCAGCTTTTGCAGAAAAAATTTACATAACCCGCTTACGTGGGTTATGTATTTTTTATGCTACAGATGCGACATTCATTCCCGTAATAACAACCAAAGAAAGGCATTTTATTGTTAAATAAGCCTAGGGGAATAAGAATCACTTTTTGTAAGAATCAATTCAAAGTAAGCATGTTCATAGAGTGAAACAGCAAAACCTGTGTTTTACTGTATTACATGTTGAAATTTCATTTTCTAGCATGGAGGAGTCTGATAGCTCAATGACCAGTGTAGATCCTTCCTCCAGAAGTGACCCATCATTGACACAAAGTAAAACAGTCTTGGTGGAGACTGAGCAGGGTCAGTCCAGTGACATCACCATCTCAGATTCCGACACAATCGCCACCGACTTGAACAACACCTTAACAAGCCTTACCCCCGACCCCGATTTAAGTAACACTGATGTTGATTACTCGGCAGGGGTCAAGGGCAGTAAAGAAGATCAGTCTTGTACTTCCTGTATGTCCAGTAGTTGTTTTACAGATGAAAGCACAGACGAATCCTCACCTCAAAAACGCAGCAAAAATGTTCCAGAATTTTCTTCGCAAAATTGGCATATGAACAAGTGTTTTAATAGATACTGGAAACATTATTACCAGTCTATGGCCTGGTGCAAGAGACACTTTTATGTCATGAAGCATATGTCCAGTTATAATATGAATTATTCTCATCCTTTTTATCAAATGAATATGCCAAATCCAATGACTCCTCCAAATTTAGGAAGAGGGCAGCAGTTCAAAAAGGCACCAGGTGAAGGTCGTGGAAGGGGTCATGGGAGGTCAAGAGGTGGCTTGAGAAGGGGAACAGGTCAGTATAAGAATGCAGCTAACAGACACAAACAGCATGGGTTATCGAACCAAACCAAGCCTGTGAAGCAACCCCAGGAGACAGAATCAGACTTAGCAGGGGTGGACTCAGACGATAGTGAGGTGTATGAAATGGAGGTGACAAAAGAAATGGTTCAGTTCTTTGCTCATTCTCATGAGCATAGGAAAAAAAGAGGTAAGTTGTGTATGATATTGCGTTTTTATAATTGACTGAATTTAATTTCCATGATTTGTTATACATGTACACACAAGATGACATTAAAAAATGTGTGCTTCTTGTAACCAGTGGATTTGAAAAGCAAATTCATCATTATACAGTGTAAATGTTAAAGTGTAAAACCAATGATTTTTGCCATGTCTGTTCGTTTAGAATGTAAACAAGTCATGTTTACAAAGTAAGAAAGAGAAAGAAATTTGATTTGTAAACACTGTTAATCTTTTGTTTACAGATGCCTCAAAAGAAATTATTGGAGAAGATGGAACTGTCCAGAAAAGGATTCAAATAGAAGAAGGTTTGTCATCTAACAGAATACATGTATATTTAAAATTGAAAATAATTAAGATTACCAGTGTAAATTATTTTGAAAATTTGTGTGATGTCTTTCAAAGAGTTTACAACTTTTTTTGCAAATTTGAAATTTCAATGAGATCATAAAATGTTAACTTTTAAATTGAAAACTTTACTTTGTTTAATGCTTTTCTAATTTTGAATTGTACATCTATTTGTGGAAATAGATTGGACACAAAACCCTTGGCTTGTGTCGATGTATATTTACGTGTTAATAAGTCTTTTATTTAAGGATATACCATATACATTTCCATGCTCATTTTCAGTTAAAGCAAACAAAAAGGCTCCAACCATAGAAGCCCCTTCAGAAAGACCTGGAGTTCGACGGACAGCAGAAATGATGAAGCTGTATGGAAAGGGTGCCGCAATGATTCACGGAATGGAGACTGCAATACAGATGACTTATGATAGGACTATGGACATTAAGCAACCAAAATTCTGGCCAAATATGCCTCTTAAAATTGTATTTTCTTAACATTGCATAATCATTTAGTATTTAAAGAGATGTAGAAGAGTTATCTTTTATTTCATTTGCTGGTTTTGATTACCAAATACACTTATGTACAGAAGGGGAGTATGATAAAATTGCGATATGTTTCATATGAACTGGCAGGTTTATGTTTGTTAAAGGACAAGGGCATCATAACAGCTTAATTCACTTTCCATTTAAAAGAACGATTTATGTCAGGTTGATAACTGGTACTTGATAAAAGACAGTTAAAACTTAGCTTACCTCTTTTAAATTTGTTTGGAAAATTTGCATGCCCATATTTACCTGGTATCATATGTAAGATTATCTTGATACAACAAGTTCAAAACTGATAAAAAATTAAGCAGGTATACATTGAGGATACACAGAAAACAAGCTAATTCAGAGAATCTGTGTCCATCGCATTAGGGAAAAAAAGAGCATGTGCAAATCTAAAGGGGATAGGGATGGATGGGTTGGGAGCGGTGCACTTTAAGAGGAAGCAAAAACTTCTTGAAATATTGCTCGGAAATGAAAGTTTGAACCAGAACGTATGCATTTATGACCTTGACCTTTGATCTTTTGACCCCAAAATCAATGGGGGTCTTCCTTGGGCCACAGAGAGATGTATAAAATTTCAGTGCAAAAGCTCAAAGGCTTCTCGGAATGTCGCATGGAAACGTAAGTGTAAAAAGACATAGTTTATTTTATGACCTTAATCTTTCAATCTCAAATCAATAGGGGTCTTCTTTGGCCCACAGGGGGTTGTGTAAAAATTTATTGAAAACAAAAAATCAGAAAGGCTTGAGGTATCGTGCTGAAACAAAAATTTTTTAAAAAATCTAAAAATATTATTATATTGAAAGAAATTAATGAAAAACACACATTGTGTCAAACTTTAAGAAGAATTAAAAGTCAGCGACTTCAAGAAATTTCTGGAGTTGAAATATTTTTGACTGGAATGGACCCCTCCCACAGGAAAAAATTCCTGGATCCGCGCATGAATATTTCTTAGTTGTAAGTTCTTAGCTATCTTCCCTTGGAAGAGGGCATGACCCTACATTTGAACAAACTTGAATCCTCGCCACCCCATGATACTTTGTGGCAAGTTTGGTTGAAATTGTCCAGGCGCGGATCCAGAATTTTTTCCAAGGGGGGGGGGTCCACCCCAGCCAAAAAAATTTACAACCCAGAAATTTCTTGACAAGCAAAACAAAAAACAAAACAAAACAAAAAAAAAAACAAAAAAAAAAAACAACACGTAAACTCATTTCCCATACGTGAAAAATCTATTTCGTGTGTGTGTGTGCGGGCGGGGGGGGGGGGGGGGGGTATCCTTAACTTTTAATGACCAATTTCACATACGTCCAGGTTTTCGAGGAGGTGTCTGCGTTTTCTACGGGAGTGGGGGGATCCATCCGCGCATGTTGGCCAAGTGGTTCTTGATTAGAAAATGAAAATTAGAAGAGTTTACAGACAGACGTACTACAGACAAAATGTGATCAGAAAAGCTCTTATGAGCTTTCACCTCAGTTGAGGTTAAAATCAGCATTTACTATAATTTGTATGTGCTTTAAGTTTGAAAAAAAAATAATCAAATGTATTTTTAGACCATGCTATATTTTAGGAAAAGAATAGTTAGGTCTAGGGCTAGTATAGAACAGAGAGTAACTCCGCCCACCGTAGTCCCGTTATAAAAATGGAAAGTTCAAAGAAAAACTCCGCTATCGTGTCGCAAAATTCAAATTGAGCTGAAATGTACCAATGAAATGAATAAATGAATATTAATCAGCCACGTAATTTTAAAAAATGTAACGATGTTGGATATTCAAGAATTATAAAAGGATGCTTTTATGAATCCTTATTTCGCACACATAATTTTATTTTAATAGATACATTCAGAAACAATTAAATCGACTGAAACATTAGTATTTCTATGTACATGCAAAATTGTATATACAATTAACTTACCATTATGCTTTGTAAAATGATAAGTGTATAGAATTTGACCTGTTAACAATTATATTGTTATCCTTTTAATAATTTTTCTACCATATTATAGGTCTTCTTGACTTTTTTTGACGCTTCCATTAAATTGCACGCGAGTAACACTGCAAAGATGACGTACACTGAAAAACAAATGCTTGGTGACGTCATAATAAAGGAAAAAAAACAAATCTATAACGGAAGCAACAACCATGGCATCTGAAATAAGCAGTGTTTGGAATGAAATTCTCTCTGCAATTAAAAGACTACTGAAGACATCTACCAAAGAAAAGCTTGTATTTTGCAGCTTTTTCGGATTTACATTTGCTCTCATTAGTGCCCACGATAGGACCGATTTTGTCGACAAATTCATCGCTGGAATCATCTACTTCCTATGGGCGGTGTTCTTGCTACCCACCCTGAAATCAAAACTCAGTGTGGAATTTCTATGGAACGCTGGAACAATCTTTTTGACTTTATTTGCAGCAGATATGATGTACTTTGGATTTTATCATCACGCCAAGAATACATGGTTTTCAAATAAACCACACAAATTCGTAGAATACCAGTCGTTGATTTTCTTCATGAATGTCGTACGCATCTTTGTTATTCTGTTCTGCCTTGTCACTTCGAGTTCTGCGTTTATAAGACACCATTTCAAATCCATGCCATTCCGAAAGCCCAAAAAGGAAGAACCAATCGAACTGACGCCACATTCCATGAAGCTCCGGAGTTCCTGTAGATCGAAATAGAAGACACACAAAAGCTATGGTGTCGAAACAAAGGACGAACATGGACATCACTGTAACATTTCCTTGGCAATTTTTGTTTTTGAAAATGTTTGTTTAATTTGTTATAGAAACGATATAAACATATTTTAAAAAATTACCTTGAGTTTTTACTTAAGAAATGAGAGATTAACATGCTTGCAATTCTTGCGATAATGTTTCGGAAAAAAATTGAAAATAAGAAATTAGTACAATTTTCTGTTTTCCTTGGATTTCCAGTAGCGTGGCGTTTTCGACTTTCCCTAATTAGGCCACAGTTTTTATATCTTTCGGTTTACGGATCCGCCGACCCGATTTTTTCAGGTTCTAGAAAATAAAAATAATGGATTTTATCACCACTTCTGATAATTTTCCGGAAAAATCATGCCTGACCATCAGGGTTTTAATATTTATAATGCGTCTGAGTCCTAAACATGTAATAAAACGTCCCATTCTTTCAAACGTTTCAGTGACTATAAACAGAAACGTGTAAACATGGCGGCAAGCATGTCTTTATTTTAAAGTGCAGTTAAAATGTCTTGGAGATTGTCCAGAAACTTTTCCCAGAGAATGAAAGAAGAGCAAACTATGGGAGATGCAATATTTCTTTTCCCCACAGAGTCCTGTTAAAAACGTAATCTTCTATGATTTTTATGGAAATAAAAATAACCACCAAATATCAGCTGTTTCAATGACATAACTTGGCTATTTTTTTTCCCAGTGGTAATATTTTTCTTCCAATTCAAAAGTAAAGAATTAATATGTTGAAACAGGACAAAAATTGTAGAATTGCACACAAAGACTATGTACGTTTTTTTAAAACTTTAATTTATTCCGGGCTAACCCAGACACATGCTAAATTATGTGTGATAAGTGTATGAAACAATAAAAATATCAATATAACCAGATAAATAGATCGTTTTCATGGTTATAAGTCCCAGATACAATATGCCTTGTTGTTGACATTTTACTTTTACCATAGCTATATGGTCATGCTAATAAAAGGAGATAGGCAACTGTGTAGGGTTTCACTAAAAGAAGAAAAGATAATCTGTGACTTCATCTTGATAATTAATATAATATAGTTTACAAGATTATGAATCTAAATCAAATTAAATTAGTTTGTTTTTGTAAAAAAAAAAATAATAAATGAATATTAAATAAAATAAATGAATATTTCGATATATCATGTTCCCAATATTCTATGATCAACATCTTTAATATTTAAAAAGAGATTTTTTTAATGATTTCAAATAAGATCTGAAGTAAACCTTCAGTAAAATCATTTGTAGTTCCTTTTATTTGATTCTCATTTTACTACAAATAATTTTTCCAAATTTCAGGAAATGTTTCTAATTTTTATCAATTCAAAAGAAGGGTGGTGGTGTTTTTGTGTTTTTGTGTTTTTTGAAATCAGCGATGTTCCGTTTGAAAAAAGTTTCAAATTATTTTTATTTTTATTTTGTCGCCACCCAATGGACATTTTGGTAGAAAAAATCCGTAAACCTAAAGATAAAATAACTTTGGCCTTAGCGTCTGAAATTTACACAGCTTGCATTCACTGTTGAAATATACATAAGATATAAATTCGGGCGAATGTCAACAAGTGTAGGAAATGTCCAATGACAGCATCTCGTACGGCAAAGAGGTGGGGCTGAAGTCGTCTCATCGTTGTCAACAACACCAATTTTAAAAAGTTCACGATGTTATTAATTTCTTACCAATGAGAATCTATTCGCCATTTGAAAGACGCTAATTACGTAGCGCCGAGAATGTCACGCCTTACTGAAAGTCCAAGGATGACAGAGAATTGTATTTTCTTTTCCTATTGCAGAGTACGTTTTACACAAATAATTGCAAATATATTACAAAACTTTTTAAAAGGGCGAAAAAAGACGGGGCAAAATTGTCCCTGTTTACAGTGTCATTTCCTAAGAATACCATAATATATTAATCATTTCAAATATCAATATAGATATTTTTTGCAGAAAATACAAGACACTAGAATTGGAACAAGAAGCTCGTACGTTGCCACAACGCTCAACTAAGTTATATAAAGCTCTTTATGCAGCAGATTCCTCCTCCTTTTCTATTCCAGTTGTAGCTGCACCCCCTTGAAGCCATTGGTCCTCTCATAAAATCTGAGAATGGCACCATATACATGTAAATATGAATTATAGGTTTGCTGTTCTTAAATAAGAAAATTATTTTATAAACAACTTTCCCATTGTAATACATGTACTTTGGTCACTCATGATTCCTCCATCCTATCCTTTGAGACTTTGAGATTTTAAGAAAGGTGAATCTACTCTACACTAGGAAGTTTCCTTGTATATAATTATGCCCCTGTCAACGAAGTTTCGGGGGTATATAGTTTTTGTACTGACCGTCCGTCTGTCTGTCTGTTTGTCCGCAAAAACTTTAACCTTGACCATAAATTTTGAGTATGGCTGTCATATTTCACAGGTGTACTCCTTGTGACAAAATCTTTCTTTGGGTACCACCTTTGACCCCTTGACCTTGGAGTTTTTTACAAAGAAAATACCACATTTTAAACCTTGGCCATAACTTTTGAAGCTATGGCTTTCATTCTCCTCATGTGTATTGACTGAGACAAGACCTTTCAGTGGGTTTAAATATTTTTTAACTTGACGTTAAAGGTTGATCCTTTAAAAAAAAAAAACCTTGAGCTTAATTTATGAACTGTTGGAAGTAGGGATTTCTTATTTCATAGGTGTATAACACCTATCCTTGTATAACAACCCCTTCCTTTGGATACCAACACTTTTGATTTTGACCTTTGAAGTTTGGCTTGCATTCATTTTGAGAAGATTCAGCACTCGCCACGAGCTGCCATACGGGGGTATCAGTGTTTCACAAACACATCTTGTTACTACATGTATAAGCACGACAACTCAACTGTTTCTTTACCATTGTTTCCATGCCCAATGTCATCAAATGTTATACAAAGTTTTATAAATTTCCATCAAGACTAAGACCTTGGACTGACAAAAACGAATTGCATTCTTTGATTTTAAAATCATTTATCAAAACTGATGTTTTTTCTATTTCACTGATATCAAGTTAATATTGAACTACAATGTATAACTATTTGTTAATGACGTTTAACACTTTTATCAAATTATTAAAAGATTGTTGTCAGTTTCAATAAAAAATTCCCAGTATCTTAGATCCGCCAACCGTTACCACCACTGTCTTCTCCATTTTGCTATTTTTTACGACTATTTAACAAAAACGAAAATAGACTTTTAATCAAATTTATAATAACTTCTATATAAGTGAAGGCTTAATATAGGTTATGGATGTTATCGTACACCTACAGTATTATTAGTGGAATAAGTATGAACTCTGGTTCAAGCGTTTTGGAGTTTATTTTTGCAAAATATGAATTTTTAAGTAGAAAAAGTTTGCTCATAATCTATGCTGACGAGTGTGTAATTGCTTGTATTAAGGCTGAATGAAAAAATGAATATATGTAAAGTAATAAATAAATGAATGACGGAGTGACAGAGAAACAGAGGAGGATTTATAACTACTCATTAGCAAAAAGACAAATAAACATAGAGAGCAAAATTTTAATTAATGCTTGTCTACATTTGATTGAACAGTACCTGAAAAAGCATGCATACAATGAAATATAGAATAACATTAAATCCATAGTCCTGGATTTTTAGAAAGAGAAAACAATAAATATACAACTGTAATAATTACAATCGATCAACTGTTCTAGGCGGGGGTGGAGGGGGTGCTGGCTTTATCACTAAATCTCTATATCCCTGTATTTGCTTTCTTCGTGGCAATTCTTCAAACTTTTCAATATTTTGATAATCACTGACGGGGCTTTTCTTCTCCCCTTGTTTAATACTGCCTGGAGAAGCAGACACTTCAACCTGTTCAATCGTTTTGAAATCTGAAAATGGCGAACCACCCGAGCCTTCTTTTGAAGGTGATTTTGGAGAAGATCTTGTTGGTCTTTCGCTAGTCTTCCCCTGTTTCTGAATTTGACTGAGCTCTGATCTCGTACTGGAGTTCGAATGACTTGAAGAGGTAAGCGAGTTGCTTGGAGAAATGTCCGAATCTTTTTTCGAATCCATTTCAACTTGACCGGGAGTCGTCGGCAAGTTTAAAATATTCCCGCTCATGGAATTACTTTGGGAGATCATGCTTCCAGTTGTGTTTGTTGAGTAATAATCACTGTCTGGTGTTTTCACGAAAAGTGCCGTATCTTGCGAAGATGTGCTTTCCGTGCTTTGTACGGAGTATTGAGAATCTCGGTAAGACTTCGAGTTCCGGAACTCCGGTGGAGGCGCGATCTTGGGCGCTCTTGTAAGTTTCAACTCCAGCCTGTTACCACTGGCGTCTTGAGGTGGACAAGGGGTAATTATATGTCCATTGTCTTTTAAAAACCCCTGCCCATCAAAATTTTCATCGAATCCACTAGCAAATGGATTTCCCGTAACGGCAGCTATATCTTCCACTACCTGGCAAATTGTTCCCGGAGCAAAGTCTGTGGGCGAACTGAGAGAAATCAGCTCTCCATTTAAAACATTCTGCCAGTAAGATGTATTGGATTTTTGAAACTGCACAAGGTTTTCTGTCGACATTTCTTTATGCCCACTGTCTGGCGAGTCCGTATCAAAGTCCGTTACGAAGGTCTTTTCGAAAGCATTGCCCTTGAAATATTCCGGAGTATACACTGGGCCTACTTGTGGTGTTGTGGGGTCTGGTAATACAGACATCTGCAAAGAGCAAGACAAACTATCCTAAAAATATATTTTTAAAATTTTTTATATGTATATACATGTAACATACCACTACATAAAATTTATCGAAAAAATAGTGGTTAATTTTAAATTTTTTGCAAAGAATTTGGAACTGAACATTTTTGGAGAACTTTACTTGGAAGAAACCCAGAATGCTCAAGCAATGTCACACCTATAACATGTTTATGTGTGTAGAAAACAGATCTTTTCGTTCACTTTCTTTCAAATGATAAAGCAATCATTACGAACACGTGCGCGAATGATTTGTTTATTTAAATACATTACATAACATGGAAATTACGTGTTCGAAATCCCTCTACAAGTATACCTGTAATGTCGGAGGAGGGGGAAGAATATTCTGCACATTGGCTGTGTTTATGGCGCCGTTTACTTTGAGTTCCAATTCTTGCAATCGCGCCACCAACTGCGCCATCTGATCCAACATATCTCGGTTGTGCATCAATAATTGATGAGATTTCGCCTTTAGAAAGTGAAAGCAAAACAGATTAACTCTGTGTTTAACAGTGTTAGAGAGTTAAAGCAGGTTTAATGATTACGTAATAGAATATTTAGAATCTCCATGAATTTTTTGTCTTTTACACAAAATCAATTTTTGTACTCTGTGCTCAAGCATTTTCATATCATTTAAAATCTGCTTTGATGTCCGTAAGCACACAGGTCTCTTACATGTTGTAATTAAAAAATATCAATTTACAAAAGAGTCATAAAAGCTATGAGAATGTTTATTTTTCGTACGTATACTCTCAGTACAATAATGATATCAAGTATAAATACACCTACTGGAATTACTAAGTATACGCAACAAAAGGCAGATATACATGTACATGTTTTTTATCAGTTCAATGAATAATAGCTTTGTAGTATTTTGAGGAATACTGAGCTACTATATTTCTATGAGAAACTTTCTGCTGTCCTGGTACCCAACTCTGACAGAAAGATACATTAAGCTATATGTCCGTTTCAAAATCTATGATTTACATAAAATACAAAACAAGAAAACACTGATGTAACCATCAACTGTCGCCCGGGAAATATATAAAGTAAACTATGGAAATGACTCTTGATCATCAAACCGCTTCGATATGAGTGAAAAGGCATGCGTCTAATTGATGGAGACGATAGTCGCGAATATTTGGAAAACTTATAGTCGGATAAATGTTAAACAAAAACGATACCATTTTAAACTTCAATTCCTCGAGTAAATGTTGGCTGCATAAATTACAAATTTTAGTTATACACATGCATCACCTATATTCAAAAATGTATTTAATTTTCAATTTTAGAATATAAAACACGAACTGTGCACAGTGTTTTTATTCCGTGAAGTAAAATTCGATGTTCTAAAAAAAGGGACCTGTTTTTTTCGATAATAAATGATAAACAACTTTATATATTAGATATGAAAAACTCATATATTTTTACAGATCCACTTTATGGAAGTAAATATATTTTGTATGCCCGTAATTTATAAACATTAAATATGATTAACAATTTTTTAATGTTTAGAAAACCTTTAATTTTTAAAGGTATAACAATAAGCTATATGTCCAACACTTAAACTTATGATTTACATAAAAGCCCGGTACAAAATGAAGCTTGTGCTGAGCGGACATTAGGCTCTGTTTGTTGCACCTGAATTCTATTTTTGCGTATTCTTCAGTACTTTTGCACTGTTTGCATTTAAACCATGATGATCTTGATTTTTTAAACTTATTTATATACAATACGAGGATATTTGCATTTAAGACTACATCCATCTCCTATAATTTATAACTATCGCGACCTCTTTTAAACTACACACCAGGGTATTTGTTCATTTATTGTAATAAAAGTTTCAAGTATGTTTTGACTTCTGGAGAAAAAAAAAAATGAATCATCATTTCTTCACGATTCCTTTACTATCTCCCCTCTAAAGCAAATGAAGCTCTGTAGTTCCGTCAACATTTGCGAATTGGTTCTTGAGGGGTAAAAAATAAACGTTTAATTTAAGAGTTAATAAAAAACGCTGTACAAACTTTGATCAAATAGCTATCGCTAGTCCTTGCTGAGATGAACTTAGAACTTATAATCTCAATTTATGTTTCTATAAAGACGCTGTACACGTCATCTCTAAATTGATAAAAAGTTTTCTTTGATGGACTTCCAAAATATGTTGGTCTCCGTCTTCAATAAATTCAATATTTTTAGATCTCTTTCAAAAATACCCAACAGAACAGAAAAAAATGACCATTTCATTTAAAATACCATTTTGGTTTTCAATTCATATACAGTATATTCACCTGTGCTTCTATTCGCGCGGCAGTTTCTGACGTAAGTTGGTCTTTAAGCAGATGAACTTGACCAATGGCAATTTGCGTTTGATGCTGCTGTTGCTCTATCTGTTGCCTTAGCAACATGACATGCTGGTGTGTGCTGATTGGTGCAGGATCCGGGTTATTGACCTTGGGAATTTCTGGTGAAGGAAGTGGGGAGGGCCTTGCGCTGTTAGGGCTTTTCGCAGGAGAAGGCTATGAAAGAAAGAAATTTATTACAAAGAACATGAGTGAGAGAGAGAGAGACAGACCGACAAAGAAAGAGACTTACTAAAAGATGCGGACGAGGACTATCTGTTGGGACATTGATTTTCTCTTTAGATTTCCCTGAAATAAAACATTTTTTTATATTTAAAGCGTTATTGAGGAAATAATTCAACATGCAGCACTTTTTCCACATGCTCTGCTTTTACACAAAGCTTATTAAGAGCTATAGGATGCAACAAAACGGAACAAACCTTAAGTTACAAACCTTTTCTCCTTCTCTGAAACATCTTATTTTTTGGGTTGCTATCTTGCCAAACAGTCCAGAAATATCAGAAAATGCAATTGAACTTAATCCACATTATAGCGTCAAATGTTTGTTAAATCCAGAATATCAGCTACTAACCCAAAGAAGCAAACCCTGGTAGACACATTACTGTTTATCGTACGGCGTATGCACCTATCGAAATCGCACACCTCACTCAAAAATTCTCTTCATCTAAGCCATATTATGTAGGCAAAACTAAAGTTTATTCCTATCTAATGAGATTCGCATATTTATTGAATTATAGGAGATCGTTTAATTTACTTCCAACCGAAACAAAGCGAGTTTTGGGGGGATATTTTATCATCCCTCTCTACCTTTAGATGTATGTAAATCGCGAATTCCAGCCTCTGTTTTTATCTATCCCGCTGTTACGAGGATGCTTTTATCATTAAAACTAAACGAATTAGCAACTCAAATGTTTCAGGGCAAGCAAATATAATTTGAAGTTATAGTATCTATATCCTCGAAAACATTAAAAAATTAATAACTGTAAGATTAAACAAAGAAAAAAATTACTCCTTCAGAAAGTTTTATCAAAACAAAATTTTTCAGTCAAGATTGGACGCGTAATTTCTAACGCGCACCTGTCAATGCAGATAGTTTTATTTTATAACTTATTAACAGTCTCTTTCTCTCAGTCTTTATTTCCTTTGCTGCTGCCGGACTTTTGATATCTAATCAGATAAATTCTGAGATAATGTCTTACTAAAGTTAATCATCATTTATACTGCAGCTGTGTGGTTAATTCAAGAATGAAGAACGATTTTTTTGCTTTCTTATGAATACTGTACTCTATATACAATTTTTTTTACGATCAGTTCAGAGATGAGATATTAAAATCCAACGAAATCTGTGAATTATCTCTACAGATAATTTGGAAATTACACTGAAAACTCATAAAAATTCTTTCCATAATAAACAAATTAGAATTATATCAACATATCGAACGTTGGAATAAATCGCTTGAAACTACTTACTAGCACATCAGAAACTCTCTACCGTTTACTATACTTCATTAGTCTCAGATTTGGAAAACAAATTATAGATACCGATTAGGGTTATACTAATGTCAGTTTTAAACACCTAGGATACCATCAATTGCGAAAGTTTTTTCCACCTTTCCGACTACAAACGCCATATATCATTTAGTCTTCCATAGTCTCGTAAATCTAAATTGAATGCAACGACTTGGAAAACAGGGTGAGGAGATGAGAGATTTTCATACAGGAAATCTCTTCAACCAGTAATTGCTTGTTTCATTGCTGAAGTCAACCTTTTTAATGTTTTTAGTAATTTACACAATTTTAGAAATGGAAATGTATTATCGTAAGTAAACAACAGCTAGACCTTTCTGAAATTAACACTGAAATTACGTCGCAGACTTAATTGTTCTCTGTGACTCTCTGGAATTTTTCAAGAAATTAATTGTGTTCTCGACAGAAACTCTATCAGGAGCCAAAGTTTAAACGATTGGTTACAAGACAAATCAATTTCTATAAAAAAGAATGAGAATGGAAGCTCTTGTTTTCACAAGAGTAATGCCATTTGGAAGTGTAAAAGCATGCCAATATAGCCGAATAACGAGTTCAATGGATTAATAAAAGCAAGAATTAACATGGAGCATTTTACAAGTTTGGAGAACAAGCAACAGTTATTTCTTCCCGAATATGTTCGTCCATCAAAAATGATCACCTACTTTCGTTCGTGATTTCCTAACCGATTTTTGACAAAGTGCAGCAATGTATCAATAAAATGCATCATTAAAACAAATGGAAAATACCAAGCACCCTGATGTATGTAATCGTAGTCATGCATGTACAAAAATTTGCAAATGCAAAGTAGTTTGTTTAATTTTAGAAGCAATTTGAACATACGAGTAGACTCGACGAAAGAACGCTTTTGCTCATTACTAGTATTTTTACCACATATTTGATGTTCATGTATCAAAGATGCGAGCCTCATGCTCTGAATTTTTTTTCAAAATAAAAAATCATTATATATTGAAAGTATCAGATATATACATGTATATACAGAGCTTACCGAATGACGACTCTTCGTTGTTTTTCATTGCTACCTGGGATTGTTGGTCGTGTTTATGACAGACTTCAAACGCTTGTCCTATGGTTCTTACTATCCTCATTGCCTGATTCTACAACAACAAGTTAACATATATGTAATATGTTGTTAAATGAAAGAAGCATTTTCCTGTTGGTAAAAAATATAAAGGATAAAAAATATACATCAACATTGAATCCTTTTTTGGGTGACATTTTTGATTTATTCTAAGTTCTAGGAACCTTAACAATTTTGGAAATCGCTTGCACGCGGTGAACTTTTATTGAGTTGATTTAAAAGAATAAAATACGGATATAAATAAGAAAAAGTGTCAAAACAAACAAAAAACAAGCAAAAAAAAATCATAATACATGTAATAATAAACTTCGCAAAAAGAAAACAAACAAAAACAAATGTCAAACAAAAAAAGTAGCATTTGAAAATGTTAAATTGAATCAAATACATATAGATGGTCCCATGTATTTGTTCAAATTTTATATTTTTTCTTTAATGTAAAATACATTGAAACATTCGTTGTACTCTGGAAATGAAAGAAAAATCCGAGCAACACTAAATAGTAGGCATTTGAAATACATGTATTTTTTGTCCAACTCAATATCACCCCTATCAATAATAAAAATATGCCATCTGCATTTGTATGAAAAACTATAAAATAGCTGACGCTTATTTGATTATTTGAAAAGAAATTGTAAAAATTATTTTTAAAACGTTGCATGACTTCAGATACCATAGATTCGTTCAATTGTTTCTGACAAGGGGACACAAAATGTGCATAGTTTTTGGAACATTATTAACAAAATTGAATGTAAATCAACTTCTTTTTGTTTATTGTCCTGGGAATATGAAAATGTTATCTCTTCCAAGTATGAAGTCTGTAGCATATAACACAATGTTTAAATGAAATAAACACGATAATTAATAGAGGCAACAGAAGAAGCGCTAGAAGAAGAAATTTTACAATATGTTATACGTCTCGCTAAATATCCCAAAAACTAAATAACACCAGCCCATATGTTTCATGTAAAGATGAATTGATAGGACTTACGCAATGAGAATAAAAGCATTGCAGTGGAGGGCCGATATGGCTGTCTGTAACAGGCTATTTAGCTCTGAATCCCCCTCAAGAAAGGGGCATGTTGATATCTTTGAAGAAATACCTACATATACTTTCTTTGTACTTGGAAAGAGAGAGAGATAAATAAAAGAGAGAGAGAGAGAAGGGGGCTTTTACAATAAATTATGCAAGATCTTCACCTTTTGAACCTTATGATAAATGGAACCGTATATCTTCCAGAGAGAAGATAAAAATTGCAGAGATACTTTTTTCTGCAATAAAACACGCGGCCAGGAAATTAATTGTTATTGGATGTAATGCTAAGTTGGAGAATGTCAATATTTTATTTCCAGTTTTATATTTTTCTGTTTTCATATAAGAAATACAAATCTGATATGCATTGCTCATTTCAAGTCAATTAAATTTTAAATACAGAATTTGAGCATCGTTTACGACTTTACGTATTTCTTACTATTATGTTTTATAAAGTACATAGTTCTACTCAATATTGAAATCAATAATAAATAAATAAATGAAAATAATGAGAACGCAATAGTGAAAAAAAAATCCAAAGAATTGATCAGCAAATAACGCATTTAAAATAAGTAGAGATATGGACATATAATGATTTTCTCTGGGGAAAAATATTGCAAAGGAGGCTTATTATTCTAAAATTACCTTTTTGAAGGCCTTAAATACGGAGCATTTAAAGCAGTTTGTCGGTCCATCTCTAGCAATGAAACTCCAAATCTTTAAGTCTTGAGAATCATGGGAGACATAGAATATCCTGAAATTGAAAACTGAAATTTCACTTTTTATTGTAGGGGGGGGGGGGGTTCCTTCACCTTTTTTACTCATCTGAATCGGGTCTTATCTAGAATTTTATTCCCTAACAACAAGTTAAGAATATTTTGTATGAACATCTTTGTCTGTGAAAGGGCTAGCAGAATTAATACATTTTAGGAGTAATTATAGAGCTTTGTAATGTCTTTATTTTATGATATACAACTTTTTTTTAAAGTTCTACGATACGTTATGATATACTCCTTTTAAGCTGGCAGAAATGTTTTTGGACGAACAGAGACTGTTAAATTTTGAGCAGTTTTATTACCTCAAGAAATAAGAGCTGCTGCCTTTGATTTCTTCCAAGAGCAGACCAGTTTGCATTCTTTGCTTATTTCAAGCCAAACATTTTATTGAACTCCCATTTAAGTGACATTTGATTAGACTAAATAAAAGTCCAACTTTACCGAAATATGGGATGCTGAAGCAGCAACTCTCTATTTTCCTCAGTATGCGCAGCAGACAGCGATCTCTGAAATTGAGAAAATACCCCCGCTAAGTGTTTGTCTTTAGGCGATGCCAATACGCTGCTAACTATTACACTGTATTGCTTCATTAAATCGACTCTCTGGCCAATTTTCTTAAAAGGTCCGTATCGTTCTGTGTTCATTTTAAACCCACCAAATTGTTTTTCTGTTGATGCGTTAGGACTCAGTGCCTAGCAATTTGCCTTCTTTAGAAAAAATAACTTAAAATTATACCCTCGTCTTAAAATAATATTTATTGTCTATGTTAACGTTAAGATTTTGATATATTTCAGCTTTAATATCTCTTCTTTGTTCGATATTGGGAGAAATTGCTTGTTAGTATCAACCATTATTCATACAAATAAAAGGCTTCCAAAATTATGAATCTTTTATGATACTCCTATGCCTGTAAATCATTTCCCCAAGGTAAAAAAGTGTTTACAGAGGAATGATCTACGTGTATTTGGAATGCGTATCACAAAACAATTGTGTTTGCCGCTGTTAACAGATCATAAACCTGTTCCCATTGGTGCTGGGCTGCAAGGAATAATGACTTGAAATACAACAAGACTGCATAATAATTCGAACTTAATGAAATTAGCGAAAGAATCGTATGTGACAAAAGAATTATGAATCAATACCAGTAACAAATAAACTTTGTTTGGGGATTTCCCGGAAAATAATGATTTCATCAATGTCTTGGTGCATTCGAACACGTAGGGTAAATTGAATTAATGAAAACTCACGCCTATCGTTGACAGAAAGTGGCGTTTGAATTGCCAAAACACGTTCTTGTCATAAAATTCTTTTTGCATCTTGGCATTGGTATATTTCTTATTTGATATGTATGTGACTTTAAAGAAACTGATTGATTATATATATTAATTATATAAGTTCTTAAAGTGATTTACAGTAGTAATTTTTTATAGGAAAATTCAGTCAAACCCACGCGCTGCAAAATTTCAGTGTTTTTAAAATGTTGTCATTTTTATTACGTTAATTTAAAAAGCACTTCATCCTTTTTTTTTTTATTTTAAAGAACAATGAATTTAAAATTTTTTTTAATTTAAAGATGTTGTCGTAAAATTAAAAACAAAAGAAAAGAAGAAGAAAGAATTACTGGCTTATATTTCAAATCATTTTATTTTAGAGTTGAAGAAGAACAGCGACTTTTTGTAAATTATTTGATAAAAAATATCTCATAAATGCTTTTAAATTCTCTCTGGAAAAAGCTCCTCTTTAAAACACAACACACAGCTATTGATTTCTGATCACCCCTTCTTATTTCCCGGAAATAAAAGCTTTTTAAGACGTTAGTTTGCGTCGATGGATGGGTGACGGAAACCCGGGCTCGTTAGAAGGATTCTAATTTAATCCCGGGGCACCAAGTGTCGACGGCGTTATTAATTGACTTAGAAGTCCCCCTCCTCTAATACACAAACCTTTCAGATTCTGATCAAACCTAATGACGAATGTATAGCACTTAGGAGGAATCCCAAATTACGAGAAAAACATAGCTTAGAATATACCTAAAATTGGATACAAATGAAACCGAAACGTAGACAGGGAACCACTTAATGATGAGAAAAATTGCATTTTGAGGAGCTCTGTGGTTCACTATACTTCGTGACTCTAAACGCCGTAACCACAGTGCCACGCGGGCGACTTAACCCAGGGGGAGGCGGGGGGGGGGGGGGGTATATTAGTAATTGCTAGAAAGATGCAAACATGAATATCGTTAATTACAAAGCTTTATACCACCCCTAATGACAGAGAAATTGTAATATTTGGCTTTAGAAATGTCGATTAAAAGTCGTCAAGATGTAATTTGGAGATATTCATTGCTAAGAAAATTACAAGCGTTCTTGCTCTCCATAGATTATTTTCACTCGCATTAAGGAAGTTTTTTTTTCAAGAATACTTTTATTCAATACGTTGAGTATGGCTAATTTACTTCTACGTTCGACAAAATTTCTCTTTAAAATGTGTTTTTCTTTTCTATGGATCAGAAAGGAAATATATTTTTCCCATTTTTAGCCGGGCTTATTGCTCAAAGAGCAATTGCCGGCTTATGTCATCCTGTTCAAGGCAGGAACATAGACTTTTGGCAACCCCATAGTCGCCATTTTAAAGTTACGTGCAAAAATATAGTTCTTACTCTCAACCGCTTTTGAGATAATACAAACGCTAAATATATATATTAATTATATAAGCAACAAAATGTTATAAAACGAAGTTTATCTATATGAATAAACATTAGTAGTAATAACTTTGAAAACTTCAGTCATAAGTCAAAGAACATACTGCAGTGGTTCATTAGCGTAAGAATTTTTGATAATCAGTGCTATCGTAATTCTCTACACATACGAGGTAAAGCAGGAGAGGGAACCAGACTGGCCTGTTTGTTACATTCAGCTGCGGTACCAGATTAATTCTGATTCTGACAAAATCGGACAGTGGTATTAGGATTGAAAACTCACTGTCAGTGTCTTGTCATTTATATTGATAGTTTAAAAAAAAAAATTTTTCATCAGAATATAAACGTGATTCATGTAAGAAATTCATTTTACTCTGTAAAAGAGCCCGGCTCTCTGTACTTTTGAGTACATGTACTTTGATTCCCCTACACCACAGTGTTAGCTTCAAAGAAGGAATGAGTGATTTTATGAAATACAAATTCAGTTTCATTGAATATTAATATACGAATTCATTTGTTGCAAAAATCAGTTAAGTTCAATGCATTAATGATTACCAGGTTAACATGTTTTACTAAAAGAAGCCAAGTTTATGAACTTAAATGAAGATTATTTAACATTATGAAAAACAAAGAAAATGTTTAATAAGAATTAGAATGCTTTTATTTTGAAATATGGTTTTAAAAGTATGTGTGTATAAGTAAGGTTAAGATAGCGAACTAAATCTGGCAAAGACTATGGATTATGAACAGAACAGAATAAAAGTCCTCTAGACACACCAGAAGAGGGATCATGTACGTAAGAGGAGTAAACATCCCCTGTCGACTGGCCTCACCCACCGTGAGCCGTGCGTATTGATCAGGTATTCCATAGTCAAATTTAGTGTATAAAATCAATCATCCAGCAATTCCTAGAAAACGTGCCAGACAACATACAAAAAAACAAAAACAAAAACAAAACATTTTAACGAGCATAGGATTTGAAAAATGCTTGATTGTAACTGAAATTGTTGAAATCTTTGAAAAATCAACTTATTTATCAATAACTAAGTTTAACAGTTTAAGGGTCATATAGGTTAGTTCAGTGGATTCAAAGATGAATTAGTTCAGTTGTTTCAAAGATGAAGCGTCGCCCGCGTGGCGCAGTGGTTAGAGCGCCTGCTCTACAGTCGCGAAGTAAGGAGTTGATCCTTACGTCGCGGGTTTGAGTCTCACTGTGGGGCGTGGAGACTGGTCGTTTGGATGAGACCATATAAACCAAGGTCCCGTGTCGCAGTAGGTGCTGGCACAAAAAAGATCCCTTACTGCTCAATGGCCCTAACTGCAGAGTGTAGGACAAAATCTGCAGCTCTGCATTGGTAAGTGGTTGCGTCTCCATATGAGTGAAAAATTTTCGAGAGGGAAGTTAAACAATATACAATCGATAAATTAATCACTCACGTTAAAATGTTTACAGACGACGCACGATGACGGACGAAAACAGATAGGAATAGGTCACCTGAGTAAAATTTGATCACAATCAGTTCATAGATTTTGACTTATCCTTCAGATTAAAACACACACTTTAGCTTACCTGTTGGCTTTAAACACAATCTTTGATTTACCCGTTAGATAAAAACAAACTAAAAAAAACACACATTTTGATCATAACTGTCGGATAAAATGCACACTTTGGACTTACCCGTCGTATTCAAACACATACATTTATTTACTAGATTAAAATACAGGCTTTAACAAGTTCCGTAGGACAAAAAAAAAACATTCATTCTGTTTACCCGTTAGATAAAAACAAACTATCCTACACGTCGGATTAAAACACACACTTTGACTTACCCGTCAGACTAAAAAAAAAGACCTTATCATAACTGTCGGATAAAAACGCACACTTTGGGCTTACCAGTCGTTTTCAAACACAGACTTTTATTTACATTTTGCTTACCCGTTGTTTCCTGGAATGTGTGACAAAATAAAACACTTTATACATGTATATAGGTTTCACTTTGAAGTCATATACACAAATTAAAAAGTTTACAACACAGTTTTCAAATCTTACATCTAACAGTAAAATTAAATTATGAAGCGAATTCATTTCTATGGCGGGATTTGTACAATGATATCAATATTATATGTACATGTAATACTATATTATTTATTAAAACAGATATTTCATACAAGAAAAAAATCTATCACTTTTCAATATCAAAACTATTTTGAATTTTTTTCTGTTTCAAATAAAAACGTTTCATGACTTACTCTTAATTTTCTCATGGCTGCTACTATTTCAACTCGACTGCTGGGTCTTGGCACGTCCATGGTACCAATATACTACAACAATTAGAATAATACTATATACTATTGTGTATATGTTAAAATCTATGATATAACGAGAGAAAATATTTTGTTTCGTATGCTGTTTCCTGTCTCAGAAAAAAACATTCAAGTGACATCATAATTTTGACTCAGAAATTATATTTTTCGGGGAAATTTTCGCCCCTTTTGTTTTCGCCTTCGTCAAAAAATGAATAAATTCAAAATTGGTGGATTCAAAGAAAACGGCGTCATCTGCTTATCAGAAATTCTTCTGACAGGTCTGCATTTTCGAAAATTTCGAGGCAAATTTGTAAATATAAAGTACACTCAAACACACACAGAACTCGATTTTTCAATTTTCAATGTAAAAACAAATCATTTTTTTTTAATATATCGTTTTCCAGTGCAACTCTGGAAATATTTATTTTCAGGAAATAAATAAATACAAGCTCTGCATTTTCGAAAAAAAAATTGCAGCCAGAAAATTGTTGTTATCACACGTTTTATATATTTTCATTTTTTAAAAATTGCAAATATGAATGTTGGTTATCACGTTTTATTATTTTTTTTTTAATTTAATGAGTAAAAAATGAAGTTTGGTTATCATATGCTTTAAGCCTATTAAATTTTTTATAGTAAAAACTTTTCTATTTCTCAATGACTTTTTTTCCTTTAAGCTCTTTGCTGCAATAATCATGAAAGTTCTAAGCAATTTGGGGATCAAGAAAAACAAACTAACTGACCGCCCAAACGCCACTGTGGTCGTCAATTTCTCCAGATAACCCTTAATTGTACAGTTAGGCAAAGAAAAATAAGACAAAAGAATTTTTTCATGATAAGTTGATGTGTAATTGACGCATGACATTTCACCGTAGTGGTCGAGACAAATTAAATCAGAAACGAAAGACAAATTGGACTTTTCGCTTAGCCGCGGAGTGTGATCGATGGTAACTCTCCTTTTCTCTAGATCTGAAGATTGCTTGACCGTATTCATTCCTCAATTTTTTTCGTATTTCTTTTCCAATTTTCATTTAAGCCCACGAATTTCACACTTGAGCAGAAGGCCAGGTAACTAGGCGGAAATGTTCCCGCGATATGGGGCCAAAATTTGAATAATGGGTGTAATTACGACCAAGAAGTCTGACTATATCTTAATTTTTGTGTGATTAAGTGATTAATGGGGAATGTAAACGATTATTTTAAACAGAGAGCAGGGTATAATATGCATTCAGTAAATTATCGATGCATCGGGTATATTCTCCAGCTAAAACTCTCCATTGGAACAGTTTTGAGCTACTGAATGAAATACCACAAAATCAACAATTTTAACAAAATAAACTAACTGTCCACGACATGAGCATAATTATTTGAATTGCTCCCATCGATTTCTTATGTTTTTTTAAAATTCTGATTTGTTTTGTTCATTTTTTATTTGTTGCTGATGATGTCCCTGATGTAATATTGGTGTAGTCAGTGCTAGTATTTATAAAAACACACATGTGTGAAAAGTAACATACACTTTTGTGATTAATGTAGAATAAAACTATTCCGAAAACAAATTTCTAACAGATAAAAAATACGAAATATGAAGACAACGAATAGTAAATACATGTATAACCAAAGACGTCCGCTGAAATAATACAAACTGTAAGCAGAGCCAACACGGACCTCTGAAAACATCTGAATTTAGATCAGGTGCCATGAAGTAGTAGCTTTTCCTATACAAAGACCGATAACAATATGTATGAAAGGCATCAGCCAACATTAAACCTAACGACAGATTGTACATGCAAACATCTTGAAACAAGGCCATTGCATGTTTCGACAAAATGATTTGCCAAATATTGATATTAAAAGGAATTGTGGATACCCTTGTATCACTAACTCATTTGTCAGTAGTCTGTCCCGGTATAAAAAATGTTAAACAAAAATTCACATTGTTTTAAAAGCAACAGGGAGACATATGAATCTAATTTCTCGGTGATAATGGTCATTACACCATAAAAACATTTCAAGTCATCAAGTTTACAGTGTCTCCTAAAATATCAGGTGCTTCATGGCCTATTTACGTCTATGTAGCTTATGTATTGTTATTTAATAAAAATATACCAAACTTATACAAACTTATATTGTAGTGAAATGTCCATTAACATTATTAAAAAAAAAATTAAATAAAAAAAAACCTGACATTTCATGATGTATTTTGTCGAATATGAAGAGTTGATTTGAAAAAGCGTCATTGCAGGAAAATATGTAGCATTAAATTCGTCAACTTCTATTTTAATGATCGTTAATTATTTTTGTATATTTTTGTATATAAAAATAATGCTAATATAATAGATGTTCAACTTTCGATTAGAAATTATTAAATTATAATTAATGTTAAAGCAAAAAAAAAGCCAATCTGATTAAAATCAGATCCTTTGATCCGCTCATATAGATCTCTACCCTTATGAGCGGATCAAAGGATCTGTTTTAAATTAGATCGAATAAAAAGCATGAATAAATTATAGTACCCGTATAATGATAACTTGCATTCAAACAAATCTTGATTGATATAGTTTTCGAAACAGAATTAAATATTCTGAAGGAAATAAAAAACGGATCAATCTTTCCCTGTTGCATTGTGAAATATTCCGTAATCGTAAGCGTTATCTGTGAAGTATTATTATATCCCAGATCCATTTTTCACATCATTTTTTAATTCTAGAAAGCAGAGAAGCTCTAAAATAGACAAAAGCTCAACTCCTATTTATCAAAGACAAAAACATATAGATATCTTTATAATTTTTCAAAAATTGTTTGAAATATAACCTTTGTTTGGAAGTGTATTCCGTGTTGGAAGGCGTCATCATTGTGTAGGGGTATCCTGGCGTCATATCCGTCCTCCGACACAAGGTCGTATTGCTTCTTGGACAACATTTCACTGTTCTAAAGCCAAAGTGTGTACGACACCAGTCACTAAAGAAAATTTCCAGCAGTCTTCATTTGATGGTACAAACTTGTCCTCATCCTGCGAGTCCAAAGCCTTGGATAGAGTACAGCAGGCATTTTATATGTGATGTATCCAAGACGGACATGGAATAATATAGACCCGCTACATAGTCTTAGTTTGATTACACCAATGAGATACTACTGTCGGCTGTAAAGACAAAAGGAGACTATTTTTGCCAATGTATCTTGTAATTATATTATCTGTGTCCGTTTTGTCGATTACAGAACGAACATGTATAATGAAGGCAGATGTTTTGTTTGAAGCATCTATACATAATGCAGATAATATCTGCATTATTTTTGTCCGTTTCCTTGTTTCTAAAACTTAGGACGGATATAAAAATCTTGACCCAGAAAATTCAGGATTTATTATTTTTTTTAATGTATACATGATTGTACTTTTAATATTTGCCATGTCGGAAAATAATTCCTTTTATTATTTTTTTTTTACAGAAGAACGCGTAAAAATTATGAATTAAATTTGATTAAAGAACCCATATAAACCTTGTTGTTTTAGATAGATGTTATCAAAGTGCACTTTGTTACAGGAAATTTTAGATAGCGACTTCGAATGATGCTCACAACAGAGCGCACTGAGAGCGCGCCAAAAATACGCGCTCCATCAACAGGTGTTACACATAGATATCTCACTGCGCGCAATTTATCACGTGAATTACAGGAAGGAACACTTGTTTACTTGTATATCTCAACTCGTCTGCTTCACTTCACGTAGAGAATGGACCTGATATATTTCAATATCATATTTTGTCTGGAAATCAACGTTAAAAGACAAGACAATCATGTTCAAGTGTAAAGTTCCTGCTATTTGAAAACTTGAAGAAACTAATAAATGGTATCAGTTGGAATATGTACATGTATATTCCATATCAAATGTATCATGTGATGATTCGTATAATTAATAATGAATGTATTTGTTTGTCTGCAGTAATTTACAAAGGTGTAATCTCTTTCATCGATGCACTGATTAATAAGAAACGAACATACGGCTAAAATGAAAGCAAGACATACAGCGCGTACAAATAATTTTAAGCAGAATACAGGGATATTCAATGAATTTCAGATATCATTGGAACCACATAGGCACTTGTTTCTGTAATAAGTTTTCAAATCCTTAAGCTTTGTGGTTAAAAAGAAATTCAATTAGAAATATGTTTATGTATTTGTAAATATTTCAATACTTTAATAAATAGCCCATAAAAAAATCGAAAGAAAACTGCGCAATGCAATCCAAGACCCTATTCAAATGCTTTAAACATACACTTTTAACACTAGTAGAAAAACAATTTTCCTCTTTTCTTTCTTTTAGAATTAATTGCATAACACTGTCTCTAAGAGTATTTGGGGATTACATTGATTAGAACCGCTTCAAACTCTTTAATGACAATGCGTTTCTTTCTCTTCCAATTATTGGTACATGTACGAAAATATTCCCCGTGTTACCATTCTCTCTGCTGTAGAAGTTATACAGTATCATTAAGCAAGATATTATGTCACAATTGGCACTTGGGAGGTGCGGAAGATTTCTAGCACTCTTAAGCGGTTGTAAAGTTAGAAACTCAATTTTTTTTAAATTTAACGGAATTCCAAATATCCCAAGAAGAAATGTGAAGTTGAAAAATATTGATACTTTTCAGATTTACATTTAAAATTTGATATTTCTCAATAATTTTCATGCATGTAAAAAAAATTCGATTTTATTCCGTTTTAAAAATATATAAATGCAGAAAAAAATTAAACACACTAAATTCTTGCACACCTGTCTCGTGTCAAAAATAAAACCCGATGGTTTTCGAACATACTTTGCTTTGGCAGCTTGTATCAGGAAGTTCGGCTTTGCCGAGTTTACTTCGCCACTGACATCCTTAATCTTGATATGTTTTCTTAAAAACTGAAAATATTTGATTTTTAAACCCATTTAACCCCTCGGCTCTTAACAAAAATAGGCTACAAGAGATAAGGACGATAAACTTGATATTCCACCCTTTATCGCTATAAAGTATCTTCGGTTATGGCGCCCATGGAGTTGTAAAGATGTATACATTTTTTTGTGTGCATGAAAATCGTGCATTTGACAACTCAAGCTCTAATTGAACTTTTATGTCCTATTAAAATCATTCAAAAATTCATTTTTCCCCAAGGATAATCAATAATGAAAATCTGAAATCTCTCTTTATCAATTTCAAATTAATTAGTTAACCATAACACAAAGAAATCTATTGAAATTGGTGCATGGCATTTTAAACGCATCCAAAAATTAAATCACAAAGGATTAGAGGCTTTTAAGACATAAAGTGTAAATAATCGTTAACATTACTTCAGCAAGTGCCATACTTACATACAGATGCTAGAGAAAGCGTAACACATGGCATCCTACAGGTGTTTATGATATCAAACATACACACTTACCCCCAGTAAAAAATGCATGAGAGCGAAAACTTCTGCGTCCGCAGTGAGAACCTGATACACACCGAACAGCGATGTAAATAAAATCCCCCCGGTATTCGTATAGATTAATACATATGCAAATACCAATATTGGCTCTCAGAATCCTTTTCAGAGCCTGGACAGTAATCGGAATAATTATCAGTCCCTACCGCTAATTGATCGTGGTAATTATTCTGTCAAGTCGTAAAACGCAAATGGGAATTCATTCGTTGTACGGGACAAAATCAGGGAAATTTACGCGCCTTGGAACCGTAAAGGGAAATTACTCTAGCTGCTTACAAAATTTCCAAACTTTTGACCTTTCTAAATCGCCAAGTGCGTATATATCATGAAAAGTAATAAAAAATTGAAAAATCATATTCTTAGTAATAAACAGACAAAGATGTCTCACAAAGTACTTGAGATAAATACATGTAAACCGCTTTTAAATATCTTTCAAACAAAATTATATCTCATTTAATAATAATTACAAGTGTAAGTAAATGAGATGTCTATTGCATTTTAAAAATTCAATTTGACGATTAGAATTATTTCCGATTTTTTCATATGTCGACTCGATATATCCCAATCAACTCGAAAGACAAGACCGTGCTAAGTCTGTTTCACATTTGAATGTTTTAATTACTGACTATATATACAACAAGGACCAACTACATGTAATAACTTTAAAATGTATGACAAACGAGATTGTCTATAAAACAGCTTCTCCGTCGTCAACTTCCCTTATTTATGTAGTAAATAATATTCCTTTATCACGTGAATATGGGGTTAACATCTTCCGGCTTATTCGATAATCTAGATCTGAGTACGATTAATCTTAAAACCGAGCAGACTACTGACAGATACGTTGATGATGCAAGGATCTCAACAACATCATATAAGTCGGCATTTCGTATATGCAATACATAAATTTAAAGCATTAACTGTTTTGGTTTAAAAACAGAGGAGGTTATGTTGAAAAAAATGAGTGCCCGCTGCGGTCTCTGTCTTCGTTAACCAAGTGTTTTCGGTCCACTTCGTTGAGAAGGAAAGTGGATCGAAAAACCCTTCACTTGCAAAGATGCCACAGATATTGTCCTTTTTAATAAAACTTAAAACCCTTATTACAGTTTATGGTCTATATCCCCCTGTCAATCAAATAAAAGTAAGGTCCATTATTGGGTACTTGAAATTCTTTGACAAGCAAAAAAAAAAAAAGTGTACATCTCAAACCTTGCTTGACACGCGTGGCCACCATCAAATTCTTTGACTTCTGAAAAAAAAAACCAATTGACCTTAAAAGTGAGGGAGCCATTTCGATGCAAACAATTTCAGCTTGATTATAATTAATTAATTATAATTATCTGTATTACAAACATGTCATTAAAAAAATGAATTTTTTTCTCATTGTACTTCAATAAAATATATCAAGATTGTGTATATTTTTACTAATGAAAATTGAATTTCAATTCCAATTTTTTTCACTAGTAAAAATTATACAACTATTTACTTCAAGACAAATGCTTAAAATTGTTGAAAATCAAAATAGAAAATCAAATTTAAAATTTTGCATGTGATTTTGATAACTAAGGATAAAAAAAAAATCTGTTAAAAACAACTTCGCCTGGTCAAGTCTTAATTAGTATAAAGAGTTTCTTTTTTTTCTTTTCCTTTTTATAACTTAAACTTTTAAATTACAGTAATATGGTACATATGGCATATAGTAACTGTTTTTACTAGCCTGCCGCATGTCTGGTTTATGGTATTAGATACTTTTATCATACTGGGTTTGAAGATTAAATGATTGTATATTGTTTAAAGTCCCTCTCGAGATTTTTTCACTTATATTGACGTTGGAAAGCTGCAAATTTTGTCCTATACTCGGCAATCATGGCCATTAAGCAGCGAGGGATCTTTTTCGTGCTAGCACCTACCGCGACACGGGGCCTCGGTTTATGCGGTCTCATCCGAAGGACCGGTCTCCACCTCCCAAAGTGGGATTCGAACCCGCGACGTAAGGATCGACTCCTTAATTCGCGACTCTAGACCAGACGCTTTAAATACTGCGCCACGCGGGCGACGTGGGTTTGAAAAAAGTATGCGATTTTGCGACCATACAAGAGTTCAGTAATCAAAGAAAATGACTCTTACTTAAACGACATTTACTCTGAGCATATAGAAGCGTACTCCTCATTGCATGTTATTTTCATGCGTAATTGAAAATTTCGGGGCATTAGGTTTTGGTCTGTCCGTCTGTCTGTTAATCTACCTGTTGGCAAAAACTTTGATCTTGCACATAATTATTAAATAGTTGGTTCAAGAGTCAAGACCCTTCATATTCCTTGAGTTTTCCTTGTGACCTGAACTATGTTTTGGTAGGAACCTTGACCAGGCTTGGGGTCAATTACTTTGAAATGTAATTAATTACTTTCAAATACATTGACAATTTTGTCAATTACTTGCAATTACAATTACATTATTTTTTTAAAATGTAATTAATTACTTTCAATTACTTTGACAAATGTAATTAAATACATTTCAATTACTTGAGTTTTATTTTTTAAAAAAATTTTATTTAAATTTTTTATAGTGAACTTTTTTTTCAATTTTTTTGTTCTTTGGAATGAGAGGGGCTCACACCTGTACAAAATTAAACCTTTACCAAATGCCTTGGGCAGTGTGACACACTGTATAAACAATTTAAACAATTAACATTATGAGACATTTAATTATTGTACAAACACAAGCCCATGCTACACCAGTATGGTGTATGGCAAGATCATTTTTGTTACTTTCTCAAATCCATATTTTTGAAAGAAATAAATATTTCTCACAAATCCATAATTTTCTATCTTAAAATGAATAGAATATAGGTAAATCTAAAAAGGGATGTAGTTAGTCTAATTACTGTAAAACATATTAACTATCTAAACAATCATTGTTATTTGCAATTGGGAATAGGTAGAATTGAGATTTTTAAAAGTGGGAATAGGCACTAAATATAAACTAACCATAATAAAAATTATGTATCAGTATAAACAACACATTTTTTATAAACTTTCATTTTGAAAAAAGTAATTGAAATGTAATTGAAAACTAATTGAAAATACATGACCTTTTTTGAAATGTATTTAAATACATTCAATTACTTGTAATTGAAGGCAAGCTCAAATACAAATTACTTCCAATTACTTTGAAAAATGTAATTAATTACGTCTAATTACAATTACTTTATTCAATTACCCCATCCCTGACCTTGACTTTAGAAATTGAAGTACTTTTGCTAAACTTTACCAAAATTTAACCTTGATTACAGCTTTTGTTTATTGAACAGAAGTTTCAAGGCTTTTACTGAAGTATGTATATTTCACATAGGCTTTTACATATCACATGAATATTCCTTCTGACATGCCTTCCTTTGGGTACCAACAATTTTTACCTCCTTACCATGGAATTTAACTTGAAATCTTTCTATAACTTTTGAATGGTTACTGATCGTGTTTTTATACATCGCTTATATCACGAGACCTTACGACAAAAATTCAGTCTAAGTCATATGTTTTGATTGAATGTTATTTCAAATGCAATTCGATAAACTCCTCATATGGAGATCGATGTCTTCATATAAGGCGAAGGGTCTCAAATTAAAACCTCTTCTTCGAACTTAATGTAATTGAGCGGTAAGAGATCTTTATCATGCCAACACCTGCCCTGAAACGGGGCTACAGTTGCAAGGTTTCATAGGAAGGGCCCATAACTTTCACTTAATAGTACCGAAGGCTTGGCAAAGGTACAGTTGCTTCCTTTTTTAACCAACCTCGGTCAGTTGCCAGGCTCCGAACCCATAACCTTCAGAACATGAAGCCAGATCTCTATCTACTTACTACCGTTTCAGCCCATATTTCTTAATGGTTGATGTTAGGACCTTATATTTTACATAAGAATTTCTTGCAACAAAACCATTCCTTGGGTATGAACATATATTACCTACTGACCTTGACCTTGGAGTTAAACTTACATTATTAAAAAAATTGCAGCATTTCCAATACAACTTTTAAACGGTTGCTAGGGTTTTATATTTCATTGAAATAATCCTTGTAATGAGACCTTTCCTCTGGTTCAAATATTTTTTACCTCATGACCTTGACCTTGGGATATAGCTTACTATAATTGTAAAACTCTTCATCAATTTTTTAAAATGGTTAAGACCTTCATATATTTTCACATATCAATTATTTCTTGCAATAAAACTTTTCTTCCAATATCAACATTTTAGAACTCTTGTATGAAAGACTTTCAACCTGGTCTTGAGCTACCATAAGGGGGCATCTTATTTATTTTCTCATAGAGTACAAAATCAAGGATTTTTTCAGACCATAGTGACCATTTCACATACTTCTTGTTTTCATAGTAGCAACCTTTAGAAATGATCCTTACTCTAAACTTTGCATTTGGGTAAAATGCATACAATTCTTTTCCCTTTGAAGATATTTGATTTATTCAGACATACAAGTACAATTTGTTCATACATGTGATCATACATCCAAATGAATGACTCTTTTCAAAGACATCTTTTAGAAAAGATACATGTTCACCTCCATATCACCAAGTTAAACTGATGGATAAAATAACTGTATGAGGAAACAGAGTGCTTAATCACTGAGTAGATAGTACATGTATATCATTCAAAACACCCTTTCAAAATGTTGGTCAGGGTTGGGAGCTGGTCTCTGAACTTGACCAGCAGGCATTCTCTGGCCGGGCCGCCTGGGTGGAGCCAGAAATTCGAACATGGAGGTGGAATGCTGTGACAACATATGAGCAAGTTCAGAGGGCATTGGGTCTGACCAGAAAAAGTCATGATTCAAAGCAGTGTCACTGTCTATCCTCTTTGAGGGGTCAAGGGTCAGCAGCTTGTCAATCAAATCTAGAGCATACTGGTCCTTCACATAGACCTTCAGCCTGTCTTTAACTTTGCGTTTTTGGCCTTGGGCAAGTTCCATCTGTCCATACATATCAAGTTTCACCACATTTGGCCACACTTCTTTGGTTATAGATCCACACAACTGACTAATCAACTGAAGCTGATGTTGTTCTGTTTTTCCTTGCATTATTGGAGTTCTTGTCCACATCTCTGCCATAATACATCCCGCTCCCCACAAGTCAATCGGAGGCCCATAGTTTCTCTCCCCTAGAAGGAGTTCAGGGGGTCGATACCACAGCGTGACCACTCTGTTTGTATACCTATTTTGTTTGTCTTTACCAGCTGTGCTAAAAGCCCTTGCTAAGCCAAAGTCTGCTAGTTTCAGAACTCCATGTTTTGTGATTAGAATATTTGCAGCTTTCATGTCTCTGTGTAAAATCTTGTTGCTATGAATGAAGTACAATCCGTTTAACAACTGCTGCATGACCTTTTTAATTTCACCAATATTAAATTTCACATTTGCGTTGCTCAGAAGTCCAGCAAGATCATGTTCACAGAATTCGAATATAAGGTAAAAGGTGCTCTTCATTCTGTTATAAGGAGTTGCTGAAAAAAGTGCATTTAATGGCCTTAGAAACAAACTGAAGCAATTTTTTTTTTTATTTGAAAGTAAAATGCAATAAAATAGGATTAATTTAAATAATCTTAATATGATCATATGTATTTTTTAAAAAATATTTTCTTAATAGCATTCAAAGTCTTTTTCTTATAACCAGAAGTCTTTTCACGAATTGTGGTCATTGCTCTATATAATCTTGGAATTCTATATAGCAAAGGAAGAGAAAGTACTTAAGCAGCTGAAAAGTGATTTACAGTACAACAAATCTTAATATGATCATATGTATTTTTTTAAAAATATATCTTATCAGCATTCAAAGTCTTTTAATTACAAAATGTCACATGCATTTGTGTATCCAAGCAATACTGAAATCAGACAAAAACTGTAGGCAGGAGTACCATTTTGAAACAATTTCAAAGATATTTCTATTTTTAGTCCAAATGACCGTTAAATGTTGACAGTGGAACTTGCAAAAACCGATGCACAAAATTATGTATTCTTAGTGTATCGTAATCTAAACTCTGTGTGCCAAGTTAAATTGAAATCAGAACACAACTGTCAAACTATGATAGGTAGAATTGATAAAACAATTTGTTACAGAAATTTCTATTTTTAAGTAACCACGAAACATCATTCATCAAAATCAAAATCCGATTGTGGCTATACAAAATAGTTATTGGTTTACTTATTGTATAGTCTACTTGTGTGCCAAGTTATACTGTAATCAGACCAAAACTGTAGGAGGAATCTACACATTTTGAAAGAATTTCATATAAATTTGAGCTATTTTTGCTATTCTTGACGAAGAAACAAAGAATTTTCCTATATATTTCATATAAAACTTTGGTCGATACACAGAATTATGTATCTTAATTGTACATTACTTGTTTGCCATATAAATATGAAATTATGATCTGCTGTTCTTGAGAAGAAGATTTTGAAAGAATTTTCCATATATTTCTATTTTTAGTAACCACAGCAACACCAGTCATCGAAATCAACAAACCGTTACACAGAATTATGTTCTATAAATATGAGTAATTCTACTTGTGTGCCAAGTTTTTTAAAAATTTTCCTATATATTTCTATATAAAACTGTAGGATTTTGGCCCTAGCCCTACCCCCGGGGGTCATGATTTTAACAAATTTGAATTTACTACCTTTTTCCATATAAATATGAGCAATCATGGCTTTGTTGTTCTTCGAAGAAGATTTTTAAAGAATTTTCACAATATATTTCTATGTAAAACTTTGTGACCAGTCTACCCGCCCTACCCCCGGGGGTCATGTGTGCCAAACAAACTTATACACTAATCAGGATGCTTCCAAATAAATGTAGGAGGAGTAGCATTTTGAGAAGAATTTTTACAGAAATTCTCTATTTTATATAAAACTTTGGTCGGCAACACCGTTACATTGAAATCAAAAATCAAATTTGATACACAGAATTATGTTTCCCCATAAGTTTCAGTTTCTGGCACAGTGGTGTGCCAAGTTATATTTTTAAATCAGACCAAATTTTCACTGTTCTCAGGAGGAGTAAGCATTTTGAAAGAATTTCACCCAAGGATATTTGTGGCAAGTTTAGTAAATTGGCACACCGGTTCTTGAGAAGAAGTCGAAAATGTGAAAAACCGATACACAGAATTATGAAAAGCTCTTAGTGGCTCAGGTGAGCTACTTGTGTGCCATGAGTTATATTGAAATCAGACAATCAAAACTGTAGAAGGAGTGTTTATCGAAATATGGTGCACAATGTATTGATAATAAAATCAAACAACGTTTTCATCTTTTTATCTAATTTTTTTTGGACTGATAGAAATCTCACTGGACTGACAAACTTCACATGGCAGTCAGTCCAAATGACTGACAGTGGAAAAAAAGATTTCAAGAACTCTGCTAAGGAGACATAAAAACCAGTTCTGGCAAATGTCGGAGAGTTAAAAAAAATAATAAGTTCGAAACCTATAGACACAAAAACAAATTAAGAAAAAATTCATTAAAATTTTTGTTTCAAGACAAACTAAAATTGGCAAAACATCTCTCACCTCTTGTTCTTGCAATTTCAATTAAATTCACTACATTTTCATGTCTCAGCAACTGCAGTATTTTTATTTCTCGTAATGCTGTTATAGGAAACTGAAATTATACATGTGTGTATTTAGATAATATATATACTTTATTGAATCCCATCAAGGGTGGATTACAGTCATTTTGTAAAATTTAGCTCAAAGTCTTTATAAACATATAAACACTAATTTATACATGTATTGGAGTGAAAATTAACTTTTGTTTTCCTTGCTCATTACATGTACCAAGAAAAGTATTCATACCCCTTCCTTTTCATTTTCCATTAACACTTTCTTCATCGCTACAAGCCTTCGTGTTTGGCGGTCCCTGGCTTTAAAAACTTCTCTGAAATAAAGCATATATAAATGTAGGTATTAATCAAGTTAATTAGGTAAAATAAAAGGAACATATCAAAATGAGTTGAAAACTTTTACTTGTGTTGTATTTTTCTTTATTGAAACTATATAGCCATCAATTAGGGTTCAATGTCCAAAATACTAAGACATTAACACAGAATTTTTTTTAGCTAGGATACTGATCATAATGACCATTTGAGATTCTGCACATGTTTTGTTTAAGTTTGCAGTATTTTATAAGTAACAATTTACAATGAGAACTTAATGAGAAGAGTCCACTTAGTGAAAATTTTGATCATAAATTATGTTACATATGAGGACTAGCTCCTCTCACAGAATTTATTAGGCTGGTTCAACAAATGGGCTCATAAATTCTACAATGATTAATCTCGCATTGATTGCATTCCATAGCGCATTTGCCCCTATCCCATAGACGTTTCCTACCTCCACTGCGAAAGAGCTCAGCTGAGTTAAAAAATGGCAATATGAATATCAAGTATTCTACAGGTCACTGGACTTCTTTGACAAACTACTTAGATTTTAAACAATCAGATAATGACATTAAAATAAGAAATTATCTTATGGGAATTATTGTAACTGTGGTGAGGGCTTGTCCCAATACACAGTTAGATAATTATAACTGCATGTAGACAAGTATGCCACAAACATACCTGTTTATTTTTAGAAATGACTTATTCTGTTTAGGAGTGGGTATAGACAATGGAGTATACTATTATTAAGTACTCCGGTATTTTATGAAATATATAAAATCTTTTTTCAAGTTATGATAAGAACATGCCAATAATATAATTAACAGAACGACTCTCAAGTTTTCAAAAAAGGAACTTGAGAATTACCCAAAAGTTCCCTGACCAATCTTGGCCAATTTTTCATATTTGTTGGCATCTGGACAGTATGGAAATTCCATATCTTCTACTTTACTACTGTAGCTAGAAGACCCACTCCCTGAATAATGCGAACTACCACTGCCAGTTGCCCCACTACCATAGTTTTGTGAGGAACTTGTCGAACCGTGCCCATGCTGCATGTTGACAGTTTTCCTTCCTTACACATGAGCTCTACGTCACCAGAACTCGTGTACTTATAACATTGAAAATATGATTAACATTCAAAATACAGTTAATATGCTATTTATTGAATGTATATTTCTTCAAAATACACATTTATCTTTTGTTTTTATACACACTTGAGTGTTATTAACATTACATTTTAATAAACATTATTTTATTTTTATTGATGTAAGAGTTGTGTGACGTTTTACACACGTACTTGTAAAACTTGCTGAAAAAGAAAATGCCAAAAGTAGTTTCTCGCAGCGTTGTGTGCACAGATGTTAAAGATCAAGAAGAATACCAGGGTGAAAAACCCCTCTATGTGTATTACTGCATATGTGGACAAATATCTTTGATCTTAGGTCTGTAGCAAACTGTTTTTCTGGAAAATTTGTTCCTAATACTGCTGTGTCTGTTTCAGTGTTTGTAGCTTTTGCGATCTTTCTCAAAACAATCTCATAAACATAATAAGACGATATTTATTCATGGACTTTTATAACAAAAATTAAAGGCCTGGGTCTAGATATGGTGCTGGGGGAGGCAATGAAATACCAAATAGTAAACCATTCAATATAGAGAATAGCTACATGTACTTGTATAGTTAGAATAATCTAACTGTGTCTCGGTACAAGCCCTCAAACCGGGTTCGTAGGACAATATCATTTTAACGATAGAACATTCTATCTAGTACTTGTACAGAATGAATATTAAAGTGTCTGATCCTACTTTCGTTTAAAAAGATACTCATAATTGTTCTACTGGATCAGGTTTATGTGGTGAGTGGTTGTCCCGACAAAGAGATTAATCCAACTCATTAAATTCCCCTAGCGCATTAAATAATATTTTATTTAAATAATAAATATTATTTCATTAAAAATATTTTATTTCAAGAATTTAATCTGATAATACATATTTTTCTGATTTCTCTTTTAAGCATTTACATGTGTTTTGTAGATTGTCCTATAGACAAACTTCCAATGAGGAGACGAGATAATGCCAGAGTTATTGATGGACAGAAACATGCTCACAAGCTGACCTGTGATCCTGATGATATTGTTTACTTGAAAAGGTATTCCAAGAAATTGATATACACGTATTCTAAACTATTTAATTCATATTTTATTGACTTCAATCTCAACTCAGTAAAATGATGAAAATAAATTTGATATTGATAGAAATTAGAACTTTAAAAAAAAATTACATTTATAATTCACAGAAATAATGCAAGATACAAATACACTCTCCAATATCTATTATGTCTGTTTCAGTTTGCAAATAAAAGCTTCAAAATATTTTTTAAACATTTTTATGCCTGGTTCTCAAACATTTTTACATAAATATTAATTTGCTCTTGCAGGCCTGAAGGAATTGAAAAACAATACAGACAAAAATGCAAAAGGTACAGGTGTATTCTATTGAAATAAAAAGGAACTATATATTTTGTTAAAATATGAGGCATTTTCAAATTTAATAATATATGTATATACAAAGTAAAAGTTTTTAAGGAAAAGTAAAATATGTAAAGTGCTAAAAATAATATTTTCTGTCATCTATAAACCGTTTTCATAAATTAACAGATACCAGGTATAAACTTTTATTTTCTTAATTTGTTACAGATGTGGATTATGGTTATATTACCATCACCAAGGAAACAGTGGGGTCATGTTTGTTGTAGATGGGGCCCTCAAAAGGGACTCGGCCAAGACTGATGTGTATAGTCAAATATCTGAACCCAAAAAGGTAGCAATGTTTTATAAACTGAAAATTCAAAGAAATTCAACTTTTAAAAAGAGATTGTTGCAGTTGTATAGTTTTGATAATTTTGTTTTTGTTAAATTTCTAATAGGTGACACTTACCAAACATACAAAGAACATGGGCAAATTCAGTTCTGTGACAGTCTCAACAGTTGATGAAGAAGAGGATGAAATTGAAGCTGTGAGTAATTGGCACATTTACACCGAGGGAAATATTTGAAAATTAATTACAAAAAATAACATACAAGTCTACAAGAGGAATCGCTCTTACTGTATGAGTTAAAATGAATAAGCTCTATGTTGCTTTTTTTGCTAGTACTAGTAAGCAACTTTAAATTTTTTGACATATAAAAAAAAATGTTTTATGATCACAATATACCCCAGTAAGCAATAAGGTCTCTAGCAAACATGTGAAAATTATTATCTCTAGAATCCAATATTCATACCCAATCAGATGGGGTTTAATTGATCAAGGGTTACAAATCTATAAAATGTATATTGAAGTTGTGTTGAAAATCCATGATTATTAATTCAAATTTTAAACTTGACCTATTTTAACTTTGTATTGCAGAAAGAAATAGCTGATTCATATGCAGCCAATGCTAAAGTGATAGAAAAGCAACTTTTCAGGAAAGGCATGAACAAGCGAAGACAGGAAGAGGTAATGCCTTTTTATTATTTGTTTTTGTTGATATATTGTTTTTTTTTTGGGAGTTACCAAAAGTCTATGTCCGACTTATAGGTGAGTTATAAAAGGGTTGGTATATTTCTGGTCGGCGAAACTTAGTCTTTTATGAACATGGTTATCGTTGAATAAAGTCTGGATATATCATACCATTATGATTTATGTATTCTAAGATTAAATGTAAAGTACAAGTATTTAAATACATATATCTATTCTTTTTTTTCTTAACAATGCATTATTTATTTTTTTATGATTTAAAGTAAAATATCGACTAAATTTCTAAAAATATTGATTGAAATGAATTTATTGAAATTATCATCTGATTCAAATATTATAGGCATTAAAATAACCTAAAAAAAATACAACTGACTTGTAGGCAGACCGACTTATAAGCGAGTATATATGGTACATGTATATGAATGCAGTAAAGTGTGGTCAATATTTATTAACTATTTGGCAATATACAAAGTGGATAATTTGTTATAATGAAACATATGGCAACAGCATTCAAGACATAAACATAGCAGCACTAAAATCTGTGCAACAACAATGAATCTAACTTGACCTCTGAACAACTCATTTCATCATCCTTATAAGGGGAAAAATCTTTCTTTTATTTTTCTGCTTTTTGTAAATTTTTTCTAAATGTTATTTCAGGCTGCAGAAGAGGCGAAGAAGAAAGTAAAGGGAACCTTGATTGACAAGTGAAATGACAAAATGACAGCCAGTGAGAGGATTGATTGACATGAATGATAGGTGTATGGGCATTGTATATCATTGAAATGTTTGCTTGTGTTTGATTCAGCTGTTATGAATGAAAGCATATGCAATAAATATAAAATAAAACCAAAATTAAAATGTTAACAGTGGCAGTAGCCAGGCTTCTTTTGATGTGGACGCAAGAGTAGGCAGGGGGTTTCCAATGTTTTCCAGAGGGCGATGGCCCCGACAGCTATTGAATTTCGATGAGCATATTAAGTTTGTTATGCACCCATGTTTTTGAGGTCTGTTTTGTTTTAGTACAAAATATGGACAAACACTCTAAAATGAGAAAGGATATGCCCAATTCATTGTATCGTTGTTCATGTAATATGAAGAGCCCACTTAAAACAATTTTAGTTTTTTGAAGAGACAAAATACTTATGATAAATTAATCGGTTGGAGTGGTACATGTATGTAAGAATGTAATGCACTTAGAAAAAAATCAGAAATACGTAAACCGGATTCAAGGAAAATCTAATGATTTCAGAAATAGAGATGTCTACTATCATATCCCCCCCCCCCCCCCCCCCAACTGATTCTGTTAATTTTTCAGTTATTATTTATGGTTTATTAAATTGTTTCTAAACATTTCTTTTATTTTTAAAAGTATTTATTTATTGCAGAATGATTTCAGAGCTTAAAAATTTCGCCTGCCTCTCCCTCTCTCCTTTTTTCCTTAAGATGATGTGGACGTTTTGGCGTACAAACGTACGCCTGGCTACGCGCCTGGTAAAGAAAGTATGTTGTCATTTCCATTCACCTCAGAATTACAGGATAGAGATTGGGGGACATTTGATAAATGTGGGCACATTTCAAACTGTAGTTTTAGTTATGTGCAATCAATTTAATTGGGTAAGTGAAAAAGAGGAACTTTTATTATTTGGCAGGCAGTTCAATAGATCATACCGTTATACAGTCCAAACTTGCTTACATATTGTCTTGTTGTTAAGTTTAAATTCTCAGACAGTGCCAATATCGCTTATCAGCCAGAAGTAACAGATTGTTATAATATCACCTTAGTATTATATCTAGATCTCAGATACTAAACAGGTTTTCACTATGTCTTCATTTTTCTCTAATTGCATGGTAAAACGTAAATTTTATAAAATAGTACATAAACTTTTCTCTTTCACCGATTGTTTGTTGTTTAACGTCCCTCGAGAGAATTTTTCACGCTCATGGAGACGCCTTTTCACCGACTATTGAGATCATGACTGTATGGTACAAATAAAAAATCAAATTTGTTTTGGAGGTCGTGGAACAAATGTGTCACTGCTATGGAATACTTGCGAGTATCTTCTGATCACGGGTGATAAGTTAACAACCATAGGCGCTTGGTTTCAGGATGATGTATTATGTGTTTTTCTAGGTGTGTCATAATAACCTCATTCAAATGAAAATAAAAATTCGCTGAAATTATCAAGTTTTAAAAATGTCATATATATTTTTGCAAATGTTTATACAAATATAGGTTTAAACAGTGTTGTGATGGAAACTTAATTAACAAACCCATGGTTAGATTGTATACAGAAAATATGTAATATGTGTGGTTTATCAAATGTTATGGTACGAACAGACTGTCAAAATGAATTGCAAATGGATAAATGCCAATGTAAAACAAATATTACATGATCAATTGATTCAAAAGTGGTCTAGTGACGCAAATAACTCTTCAAAAGGACAAATCTACAAAATCTTTAAATAAAACTTTGGATTAGATCATTATATTGATATTAAGTTATCTCCAAAATTTAGATTTTTTTTTTTATAAAATTTCGTACTGCAAATCAATTTTATGATTTACCAGTAGAGACTGGACGATGGCATTGAATACCGCTGTGTGATAGAATATGTAAACTTTGTAACAGTACTCTAACTGTTGATGAGTTTCATTATTTATTAGAATGTAAAACTTTAGCTTATGTAAGAAAAAATTACCTGGGCAATTATTATTCCCACAGACCAAATTTTATTAAATTCATGGAACTAATGTCAACCAAAAGCGAGAAAATGTTGAAACAGTTATGCATGTTTATTCTAAAAATTTACGATGCTGTCTCTCCTCCTTAATATACAGTATTTTCCCTCTCATTTTATCGAACTCTTTCCTCCTTTATTCATATGTCATCTTTTTGTTATATAAAAATTATGTACCTCTGACCATGCAGTTTGTGCATATATGATGAATATATGTTATGTGAACCCCATGTATCCATCTTGGTTTGGGTGTATAAAATGAACTTGAACTGTATATAAAAAGAGTGCTCTTTTTATATACAGTAATTAATATGTTTCAAATCGTGCTAATTTCAGCAAATTTTTATTTTTATATTAATGAAGGTATTAAGACACACCTAGAAAAACACATAATACATAAAATACACCATCCTGAAACCAAACGTTTATGTTAACAACGAGGCAATATGTGTATATCTCACGATCCCCCTCCCACGCCCCCCCCCCCCCCCCCCAAAAAAAAAAAAACAACAAAAACAAAGCACAACACCAAATTATCACTTTTAAGAAAAAAATAAGTATAGCCCATTTGAAGGAAATTAGTTTCTTTATTTTGAAGAAAACGAACACGTCACAGAGAATACCAATTTCAAATCGGGTTAGGATATGGGGAGAATCTCTATCAATGACGTTGCCTATTGTGACGTCACAATTGCTTATGTAGAAGAACGCAAAGACTTGTGATTTTTAGCAGCGGAGCTGAGACTAAGCTTAACATTAACTTGAAAAGTTCTCAATTAAAACTATGGTAAGTAAAATAATTTTACTAACTTATATTGAATGATAACTTTATTAACTATTTCAGTTGTCTATGAAAATTAAAAAAAATATAAATATTTCTAAGACAATGGTAAATATATATATATGTAGAATACCAGTTAACATTTTTTTTTAAATCAGCTGACGAAGCTGACGAAATAAGCAAAAAAGTAATTTTATCCTTGATAATTTTCAATATTTGTAGTAAGTGTAATTCATAAGATATAGTAATTCTAATATTTATGAATCTGAAAAAAAAATGTGAACAACAAAACAATTCTAATCGGGTGCGTAATCATAGGGTAACAGCGTTTCTATGATGGGGGTTTTCTATTATGACGTCATAATCGATTTAATGTTACAAATGCAAAGACGCGCAGCCAAAGCAGACAAGTTAGCAAAAGTAAAAACGATGGTAAATAACATTTGATATTTTTTTTTATAATAAATTAATTTAAATAAAAAATATAAACATTTGCCTGTGAAATGTCTTGATATTCTTCCATTTAGGATAAGAAAGGTGAAACAGAATACAGAAGTGGTGGAGAATTTCTGATGAGCGTGAACAACAAAATGCACCAGATGATTGTAAGTCAACAATGTCTAGAAGTCTTTTTTAAGAGCGAGAGTTACAATGTAAGGTTTTGATTAATATTCTTTTAATCACTGCCCTTTGAATTTTTGTCTTTACGAATTGTTTTATGATTATAGAAGTCTCAGTAAAAATCATTTATTTTTTTATAGGAAACCAAGAAAGAAATTGAAAACGTTTCCCAGTACTGCTTGAGAGGAGACGATTTCACAGAGATCCCAGAAAATCTTTTGAAGGTACTTTTTGCTCATTTATTTATCTTCTAAAAGACTATTTCGCGTATATTATTTAAAAAAAAAACCAATCCTCTTTTTAATTGTTTGACAATTTGAAAGATAATTTTACAGATTTATCTTCCGGACGATGAAACCATTGCAAGAGAGCTGTGGAGGATTCAAGAATACGCAGAGGATTTGGACACAATTAAGGTAAGAAAAAAAACTTCCAAGGTGTACAATTTTTTAAAACTTTATTCAAAGTGACAAAACAACATCGGTATTAAGTGTTGTATAATGTTTTTAAAGGAGGAAGCAGAGGAAGAACTATTTAAAGAAAACACAGATGACGTCAAACCAGAATTTACCAGTGGGACGGAATATCTCGCTTGGTTGCAGCAACAACTTCCTTTCCTTGAAGTAAATAATAATAGTAAAATAATATAATGTAATGTAAGATATGTTTCTATATTAAAAAGAAAATGAATGATTACTATTTCAATGATATAAACATTTAAGATGTTCCCAATAATTTGTTTAAAAAACAGGATGAAAGAAAAAATGTTTAAGTTGCAGAACTGAATATAATTAAGAAGATGTTAACCTTTTTTCTAGCCATTCTTACCAGACGATGAAGATCATGAGCTTTTCTTCCATCAATGGAGTCGCAATGATTTTAAATACACCCCTCGCCTTCAGACACTTATTGTGAGTCTAATTATGTTAAAAGCTAATTTAAACGATAAAATGTTACTTTTAATTGCATTCAATTCAAGTTTATTCAATTTAGAAAAAACAATGCTGTAGAATATATTTTACTTACGTTTTATGTATTTTTTACAGGAGGAAGAGCTTGAGGAAAAATCAACAGCAGAAAATAACAAAGAAGACATCAAACCAGAATTTGCCACTGGGGCAGATTATCTCAGATGGTTGGAGCAACAACTCCCTTTCTTCGAAGTAAGTAGAAAAAATATAATTTAACTACAATGTAACAGAAATGATGTTTGTAAAATGAAAAAAAAAATTGATTCTGTTTCAAGTCGCATGTTTATTCATTTTCCCCAAAAATTTCACAGAAATGTTAGAATCATAGAATATATTTTTAATTTAATTTGTAGGTTTTAATATTTGTCTTTTTTGTTTAGCCATTTTTACCAGACGATGAAGATCATGAGCATTTCTTCCATCAATGGAGTCGCGATGATTTCAAATTCACAACATGTCTTGAGGCACTTAATGTGAGTCATTTTTATTATATAACATTCTCTTTTTTTGTTTATCAATATTTAAGTGAACCTAGATTGTACACAAATGCGAGATTTAATAATTTATTTATTTTTTATAATACCAAACCGAATCCCCCCCCCCCCAACTTTTCATCACAAAACAACATTGGTATTAATTAAGACTTGGTTTCTTTATTTTTTAGGAGGAAACAGAGGAAGAGGCATACAAAGAAAACACTGAAAAAGACGTCAAGCCAGAATTTACCAGTGGGATGGAATATCTTGATTGGTTGGAGCAAAAACTCCCTTTCCTAGAAGTAAGTATAAGATAGGATTATTTTCTTAACGTAATTTCGTAGAAATTTCGGGATCATAACCTAAGAAAATGACATTAGTTTCTGTTGTTGATTTTAAAATCGCATTTCCTTTTCTTGTAGCCATTTTTACCAGAGTATGAAGTTCATGAGTATTTCTTCCGTGAATGGAGTCGTCATGATTTCAGTTACTTCTCCAGTCTTGAGACAGTTTTTGTGAGTCATTTTCATTTACAAATGAATCATAATGTTACAAGATACGACTAATTCAAATGATGAAATGTTACTTTATCAATACAAATTACTTTTCATTGTCATCAGATTCATTCAATTTTTCAAAATAACACTTCCTTCAAATATTTTTTACTAATATTTCTTAATTTTTTCTTACAGGAAGACGAACCTGATGAAAATTTAACAGAAGAAGATGATGAAGACATAGAACCAGAGTTTATTAGCGGAGAGGAATACCTTGGGTGGTTGGGCAGACAGCTCCCATGTCTTGAGGTAAAGTACTTTTTCCCTTTCTCATAGTTAAACATTACAATGAGATATACATGTAATTTTTATCCTAAATTTAAGATATTTATAAGTATTAAATTATGTATTATTCTATATGACAGCCATTTGTTGGAGATGGAACAATTCATGCTTGCTACGAATTCGAGTGGTGCAAGAGAAATGGTTATGCTCCAAAACTGGACACTTTGATTGTAAGTTTCATAGATTGTTCTTGTGAACTATCCATTTTCAAGTTTACAATATTTTTTCTACTTTAAAGAAATATTTCGTGTAAGATTTTCCTACTGTATATATCAAAGACATGTACAATTGCTTAAGGCCTGATTTATAAATAATAAGAAGTCATTTTTTTAAAGTTTCAATATTGACATTTTCTTTCTTTTTTAGGAGGAGAATGAGAATGAAGAGCATAATGAATACAAAGTCAGCTCTGAAGTAAATGATGCAAGGGAGTTAAAAGTGAGTAGACATTCTGATGGTTTATTGAACATGTTTTTGAAAAAAAATGGAAATTAGATACTGCAAAGATTTTGATAAAACTTTGAAACCAAAAAGTGGCAAAAACCTAACATTACATTGATCCTTTTGTTTTAGGATGAGGAATTGAATCCCTACATTAAATTAATGTTACAGCCTAGCATATTCTGCATGGAGATCTTAGTGACACAGGTACGGGATTATTTAAAATTTTGAACTCAAATTTACAAAGAGAGAGAGAGAGCATCTTAAAATGTTGTAATATAAGTGATATACAGTGTACATCTTTTATTTTTAGAGTCCAGCATCATTGGTCAATATATGCACCCAGATGATCCCTACTGAGCTAACAACAGATGCTAGTCACCCTGAATATGAGACAAACCCCTTTGATACAAAACAACAAATAGAACAGGTATTTCTAGAGTATATAATATCTTAATTCTTACTGTACATTAAATAATTTCAGTAATGATATGTCCATGTTTTGTTACTTATTACTTTTTAATTATGTGACTTCTTCCTCTCTCATTTTTGCTACTTAAAATATGGAGTTAATTATTTGGAATAAATAATTTTTTCAACAGAATCTAGTGTGCAAGAAAGCAAGAAGACGAAATTTTTCTTTCAAGTTCCTAAACAGAAATGTAAGTAAAATCTGCTTTGTTCAATTTCGATTACTAGTAACTTATACATGTATATTCATTTAATACAAATACATGTCCAACATAGTTTTAGACAGTGGTCTTTTTGACAATAGTTTATCAAAAGTACTCAGTAACTCCGTTATTTTGGACTGTTTTCTGTTTGCGTACTTAGAAAAATTATTATTATTTCTATTTTTAATTGTTTTTGATTTATTTTTAGAAGAAGGAAAAAGAAGATAAGAAGAGAAGTCCTGGTTTCTTTGCCCGATTTTTTCACTGATGTTCACCAAGATGCTTCTTAAAACTTTTCGAAGTTCATCCAATAAACTGTTTACAGATATTGCCATAATGGATCACAGTTTTGCTTTGTAAAGACATTTCTGGCCGGACCATCTATTCATTTATTAGAAGCATTATTTGTTAGTCATGAATAAATTCTTTTATTTAAAATCTTTATTTGCTTTTGATGTTGTCTGTACAATAAAAAAGTTAAAGATGACGAAATGATCCTTGAAGTTTTTGGATATCACTGGAAACAGAAGATGTGAGATCGGGTATCTCGAGGAGTAATCCCTCTATATTGATAGTGGAACGGATTCACCCCTAGCTGATATGAAGAAAAAGTTTGCAAGTTACATACTAGTACTACACTCTCCCCACCGCTAGACATTCTACCCATGATGATTGTAAATATATGAATTGGTAAAAAAAGAAAGAATCATCCCATTCCGTTGTCAAAGCATTTTTGAATGAAACAATTTTCTTTGCTCTCCATATGCAGTTTCAATACCTTGGATCTGTTCAGCTATTTCTTCTTCTTGTGCCAGCTTGTATGCTTGATAGAGGTCATTCACTGCTTCAGTCCAGAGATCTTTGTCCACATCCGTTTTATGAAGGATATGGAGATAACGAACAGTATTCAATATCAAAGTCCGTAACGGAAAAATCCGTTTTCGATTCAGTGATTTATAAATAATGGACTACCAATTAGTATGAAAAACGTCAGACAGCATTTCACTTAATGATAAACTGTATTTGCTGACAAGGTCGTTGTATCGACCATAGAACTTACAAGATGATGACTTTAAACGTGACTGCTGATATTCTTGTTTCATCAACTTGCTTGTCAATAATTTACCTCGTTTTAGAAATTGTTTATACGTAGAGCATGCTCTTGCGTATCGAATCAGCTGAGATATACCTGGGTATACACTCCGTAAGCAGGTGACGAAGGTATATTGCTGCTGCTGAAGTTGACGATAGAAAAGTTTAGTCATCTAGCTTGGTTGTTAGATTACCATTAATGTCTTTTTCAAGTAAAATATCCAAGTATGAAACAGATGTGTCAGACTCTGTGGTATCTTTTATCTCAAGCTCACGAGGATATATCGTATCGACGTAGGAATGGAAATTACTGTTGTTAATTGACAATACGTCGTCGATATATCTAAATGTCGAGTTGAATGCCACAGAAAGTGTTTTCTTCTTTTCACGCATGGGATTTTGCACAAAATCTGCTTCATATGAATATAATTTTTTTATTATTGACAAACACAAACATACATACAAAGATACAGACACACCAAAAAGTTAAAAATTGACAGTTTTGGAATATCATGGATAAACAAAAGATATGAATACACACATTACACAAATATGATAAAATAGATGACATTATATCTAGATGTTTATGTTTTCAAATACATGTGTATGTGGTTCAAGTCATTTCATCTTTTATACACATGGAGTTCATTGTTAGCCTTATACAGTTTTTTTTATATCAAATTTATAATACACATAAAAGTATTTAATGACATTTTGGATAGTTATACTAGCATTTTGGTTTTTTTTTGATTGTTGAAATATGTATTGTTTAATAAGTAGCAATATAAGATTGATAGCTGTGTCTTCTGTTGAAGAACCAAGTATAACTGTACATACATCAAATTTTATTATTTTTCCAGTTTTTTTTTTCAAGTATCCATTCTTCTCAAAGAGACCGAATTGGCTTTACTTTGGAACAATAAAAGAAAATATGTGTAGAGAGATAGAGAACATAGCTCATTTTCTCTAATTTTAGACAAAATTAAGTACTTATTTGTACCAAGAATCCTATGTATAATTCTAAAATTAAACCATAAAAGCCTTGTGTCATTTGTTTTTGAATAATATTTTTTATGAATCAATTTCCAATTAAGTTCCCGGTGTAACTGCAGTTCTTTAGCCCATTTTGATTCACACTTTGGTGAAGTATATATACACAAAGTTATGTATGTATCATACATTGTTTTAGAACCTTTTTTATCTTTGTTGAGAATTTCCACAAATTTTGGCAGACAAGGTCTTATGATAGATTTTATGCCTATATTTCTAATATTAGACCAAGAATGCAAAATTGCTCTTTTTATACCTTCGTATAAAGTAAAAGGGATCTTTAAGGAATATTCTTGGACAAGATCATCAAAGCAGAAAAAATTACGATTATTATCAAATAAATCACCTACTACAATAAATCCCTTTTCATACAATGGTCTTGAAAAAACATACTTATTTTGAACCATAATTTTATTCTTATACCAGAGAGGTTCTAACAAAATATCTCCCTGGTTCAAGTTACATGTTATCAAACTTAAAAATTCTGAAAATATATGCAATACTTCTTTCCAAAAGCTATTTTGTGTCTTCTTTGCTTTAACTTTTGTATATTCTGGTCCAAAATGGGCCAGGTGTACAATATTACATTTTGTTATTTCAGTGAACAGTGGAATCCAATCAGATTTTGTAAATAATAATCTTTTGATCCAAGTTAATTTTAGAGATTTAATAAAATAGTCAATATTTGTCATTTTAAGCCCACTTTTTTAAAAACATATTTTATTGTATAAACAAAAGGACTGGAAACAAGTTCTTTCAACTTACGAGTTCCTCCATTCTCTTTGAAAAGTTGCATTGTTTTTCTTGAGGTTTTCTCTGTTTTGTTATTCCAGATGAATTCATAAAAAAGTTTTTCCAATTCCTTATCCACTTTTTATCCGGCTTTGGGAGAACAGTAAATAAATGTTTTAGTTCGGATAAGAATAGATTTTTTTTTTACTGTAACTTTCCCTAGTGGGGTTAAATTTCTTTTTGACCATGAAGTGGTTTCCTTTTTAATGTTTTGAAGACATTTCTCAAAATTAAGTTGCTCCATATTTTTTTTAGGTCACCAGTATATGTAATGCCAAGAATTGAAAAAGGTTCCACTGTCCACTGAAGTCCTGTTTCATTACATGGAGTTTTTCTGCAATTTATTTCAGAACCTACCGGTATCCATATTGATTTTGATTTAGACGAAATTTTTCTTTCAAGTTCCTAAACAGAAATGTAAGTTAAATCTGCATTGTTCAACTTCGATTAACTTATACATGTACAATGTATATTCATTTAGACCTAATACAAAGTCCAACATCGTTTTAGACAGTGGTCTTTTTGACAATAGTTTATCAAAAGTATGACTAGTACTCAGTAACTCGGTTATCTTGGACTACTTTCTGTTTGCGTACTTAGAAAAATTATTATTATTTTTATTTTTAATTGTTTTTAATTTATTTTTTAGAAGAAGGAAAAAGAAGAGAAGAAAAAAAGGCCAGGTTTCTTTGCCCGATTTTTTCAATGATGTTCACCAAGATGGTTCTTTAAACTTTTCCAAGATATTGCCATAATGGATCACAGTTTCGCTTTTAAAAGACATTTCTCGCTGGATCACCTATTAATTTATTAGAAGCTGTTTATGTAAATCATGAATAAATTCTTTTATTTGAAATCTTTATCTGATTTTAATTTTGTCTGTACAATAAAAAAGTTAGAGACGACGAAATGATCCTTAAATTTTTTGGATCCGCCAGAAGATGGGAGATCGGGTACCTCGGAGGAGTAATCCGTCTATATTGATAGTGGAACGGATTCACCCTAGGCCGATCCGAAGAAAAAGTTAGCAAGCTACATACACTATACTCTCCCCAATGCTAGACAATTCTACCCATGATGATTGTAAATATTATACATTGGTAAAAAAAAAAAATCACCTCCGTTCCCTTGTCAAAACATTTTTAAACGAAAATGAAAAAAAAACAACTCCTCTTCGTCTGACGTTTAAAATAGTTTCAAAGAAGAATCTGAAAATGATCAAATGTTATCGGAGGACGATGGACGAATACAAATGGTGCTAGGTCACCTTATATAGGGACTCATGATCTAAAAAGCTGTATGTCTTTTTCATATCTATATTTCGAAATATCACACACACTAGCACATGCTGGGCGTCACATGACAAATTTCGGCTATCTTATTGTATTAAGAAATAAATATTGTTATCAACTTACTGTTTACATTTATTATGTTGGTAAAGGTCACATCATTCCGTTATATTATCTTAAAATTGATAAGTTCTATCATCAGCTCATTGTGTAATACTATATAAGGTGTGTTTTGACAATATTAGAGGGTATCTGTCCTTGCAAACAAGATGACGCTTTTAAACTTTGTGATCTCAGCAGTATTAGGTAGGTTAATAAAAAAAATTATCGCAAGAATTGTGTATATTAATTTTGGTCATTACAATCGCAATACTTATCTCAAGCTCTAAAATAATAAAATACGTTATTTTATGATAAACCAGAATAGAAATTGTTTTAGGACAAATCACGGTTATAGTGTGCAACATTTTCATCTTCGCAATTTGTAAAAGTTAAGCTGATCGAAAACTCTTGGGTTGTGAAGATACATTAACCTGTAATATATATTTACGTTGTCGAGGGAAATTTAAATAAATGTGTAAGAGTGATACATGGAGATACATGTATATATGCTTTTTTGCATAATGATCTGGAAATTGTACCTTGAATTTACTTCCTTGTTGAAATCGGAGAGTTTTCATAAAGTTGTCGAATTAAGGTACAGCATGCAAAACAATGTCATATTCTTTATATTTACAGTTGCACAATGTGTGGAATCTCAAATCCCCGGTCTTCGGATATCTGTAGTAACGGATGGAACCTACAGCATCAGTGTGAAAGATAAAATATGGCTGAACAGTGCACCAACTTATTTTATGGCGGATGGTTCCATGTACATGAGTGGAACCAATGGGAACCTTTCTCTGCTGCAGTCGTCTGCGAGGAGCGGATATGACAAAATCGGGGAATGGCAAACGACCGATTTCTTCTACGCTGCAGGGAGCAGTAATATTACTGCCTCAATCAAAACGTATCCATATGAACTGGAGAACGATTTCATAATATTTTCTCAGGTTTGTTTAATGTTTTTGTCCATTATTAATAAAATAAATACCTTGATTTGGAGAAAGAAAAACCTGCAAAAGTCTTTTGCCAGCTGCAAGCATACTAGTATTCCATATCTAGAACAAAGAAATTTATCAAATTATCTATAGTTAACATGTGTCTGAAAATACTTTGATTATTAAATATTTACACGTTTCTCCTTGTAGCTTTTTTTTTCCAGGGACATAAAACTCAAAGCATGAATACACGTCTGCTGTTTTTCTACATCATAATATCTATGTTTTAGACTTACCACAACGGTGCACAGAGAACCAACCGTGCTGATGTGAGTTCTATCATCGGAAGATTCCCCGCCTTTAATGTCGGAAGTCAGGACAAGAATGTCAACTTGTATTATCTCTCTTATGGAGGAATCATGGTCGGGGACACGGGCAAAAGCATAGGCGTGTAAGATCAGTTAACACGCGTGTAAGATCTGTTAACATGCACGTGTATTATGAATATTGTAGACCTCTGCAGGATGAACGATTTGCACAAATGAAGCACAATAATCAGATATTACTTCCTCTTATGGATTGAAGTCATTCTGCCAAAAGACAACTTCATATAATAAAAAAAAAATGTGTCATTTACAAATCTGCGAAAACAAACAGCTATATGTAGTATAGTTCAACCCTTTTAAAAAAGTTTTTGATTGCAGAATGTAACTTTTTCAGATGGAACAAAACAAATGTCTCTATGGCGTATGGATTAGCAGGCGGTCCGCTGGCTCTCTTTGATGAGGAGGGCAATACAGTAATCATTTCCCCCTTCTCCCAGTTTATGGCGTCGTCTATAACACATCCAGACATTGACAACAGCGTGGGGTGGGGCGTGATGGGAGGGGTACAAATGGTCCCTCCTAACTACCAATACGACACGATCCTCTATTATGCTAAAGGGATAAACAAAGTATGTTCACTGTTTTGTATTTTTGTGTGATGTTGAAAAGATTTTCGTGTGATTTTGAAGATTGTTGTTTATTATATCAAACCATTTAAAATTGAAGGTCTGAATACAATACAAATTCACTTCATGTATTGAAAATTGAAACAGTACTACTACTACTACAATCGCTTTGTGTTCATTGATAATCCTGAAAGAACGTCTATAACATTATTTTCTTTGCAAAATATAATATAAACTTGTTTAAACAGGCATTTCAAGGGTGGGGAAAACTGATGAGGAAATGGTATGGTAGAACTGATAATTTCATACAGACAGACATAACCATTAGTCACCTTGGATACTGGACTGATAATGGTATCCCAATTTCGTCTACCTTTTCTTCTTTTTGCCAATGGTGTGAGATACTTGAAGAATGTTCTGTTTCAAATCACATAATTCCAAGCGATTTAAATATCGAATTCAAATATCCTTTGCCCTTATTCAGCAGAATAAAAACATTACAAAAAGTTACCTTGTACGACTTAGAATAACACAAAAAATTGTGCAATCATTTTAATGGTCAAAGTGTAATTTTCTTCTAGATGCTTCAGATGTTGAGCAAAGATAATGTGCTTTCTTTCTCCACCAAATTAACACCGTACCTAAATTCATTTATTAGGCAAAAACAGGATAAATAGTTTGAAAATTTAGTCCTTTGATCTTTACTTTTTTCAGGAGCATACTACTATTACTTAACAGAACAAAATAAGACTTACGAGGACACAATGTTGGACGTCAAGAAGTATGCTGATAGCCAGAATATTCCCTACAGGTAGACCATGTCCTGAAATAGACAGATAAGCTACAGCAGCTTCTCAATCAAAGCCATGAGGCAAAACAAAAAGTCAACTAAAATTGAAAAAAAAAGCATTAAGAAAAATTTTATTTTTACTTCTTTTAACTAGCATCAACCTTATTCGAAGTTACAGTTGTTTACATGATTACTGAAATAAAAACTGGTATCTCATTTAAGTTTCATGAAAATATAATATCAGTATTCTTTATAAATGTATCTCATTTAAGTTTCATGAAAATATAATATCAGTATTCTTTATAAATTATTTCTTTCCTACCTTTTTGGTTTGGCTTCTAAGTTTATATCGCTTCATTTTGAAAGCAAAATGTAGAGTTCTCTCCGTAACAGATTTTTTCTCAAATGTAAAAACACAATTTTTGAATAATTTGTCATGAAATCCCTTGTTTAAGGTATTTTCAGTTCGATTCTTGGTGGTACTTCAAAGGGGACCACGACGGGGTCAAAGAATGGGAGCCTCGACCTGACATATTCCCTGGAGGTGCCAAGTGAGTACGATAGTATTTATTGTATAAGAGTGAAAATAAAATATTTGCTAAAGAATTGTTGTTTTTTTTTCTTTTTGGCGAAGTATAAGTTAGGGGAAATTTGACTGCTCATTTGTATTTCTGCAGATCATTGGTTCAAAAGATTGGTTTGCCAATTGCACTACACAACCGATTCTGGTAAGTGGAAAATCTTTACATCTTTTAATTAAGAAAATAGAAAAATCTTAAAATGTATTAAACTAAATTGTGAACGTAAATATATTATCCTATTCATTTTAGCTGGATTCATTTTACAATCTGAAACCGTTTTGTATACTCCATAGGTCCAAAGATACAGTTTATGCTGTCCAGAATAAAGGAAGATATCTGTTTCAGATTGATAAGAATGGAACCGTGTCTGCTCCTTTATCGCCGGTAGTACTAATGGACTTAGAAACTGCCACTCAAAACATTTGATTTTAAATTAGTAATAGCTATAAAATTTTAAAAGAGTCTTCATTTTACTTTCAGGATTTTTGGATTTATTTGTTGGGACGTGCTCAAGGCGAATGGGGATTAGTTCTTTATGAACAGGTGTGGTACCAATACAATACTAGTAATCTATAAGTTCATTAATTAGTTTAGTATGTTACATAGTTACAAAAATCTAATATAAAATATTTTTATGAAAACCCTAGGACTGGTTGAATGTGGAATTCGCTGGACTTCCGTCTTTTATGAGCTCTATAGGTCTCGGTAATTTATGGCTAGAAGAAATGGCTGACGCAGCGAAGTTGCTGAATATGCCGATTCAGTACTGCATGTCAAACACCAGACATGCCATGAAAGCCCTGGAATTGGACATTGTTACACAGGTCATTCATATTATAATGTAATCTAAGAAATGTTATAAACTTTAATAAACATCTGCCTCCAACCAAAAAAAAATCAATCGGACTTTACCTTTTGGTGACTAGAAATACCATTCTTGTTTTCGTTGCCTATAGTATACATTGTATACATGTACAATGATCTGTGAAGCTCTGAGGAGGGTTCTACTAATATATCTTTTCTAGTGTTTACTATATCTGTCGTATTTCGTACCATTTTTTTTTCCTTTCAAAAATTCCTTTAAAAGAATCTAAAAAAAGGCTTCCATTAATATTCGTATAATTTAAAATATTTCATTCTAATATCACTATCTAGTTTTCTAAAATTTGACAACATACTGAAACAATTTTGTTGCGTGTTCGAAAGAGATGCTTATAAATTTATAAATACTTGCCTTTATTGTAGGCCAGGGTGAGTGGTGATTATCATCCAGGGAAAGATCAGTGGAAGATCGGGGTCTCCTCAATGCTTGCTGACGCTATTGGGATCCGGCCTTTCAAGGATACTTTCTGGACAACGACAACCCAACCCGGAAACAAATATAGTAAACTTTTAGTTTTAATTTTAAAAATCGAGTATTTAAATGAAAAAACAAAATATGTTCTTGTAAATGCCACAAAATAAAGAAAACAAAATTCTTTCTAAAAGAAATTCTGCTATTTCCAATATGCATTTAATTTTTTCAGACGTATGCATGCATTTATGTTCATTTGTAGATTGAGACACAGTTGAAACAATATAGGAATATTCGTTTTTATACGTTATGAATTTGAAATGCATATGTAAAAAAATGCTTTTGAATTTCCAAAATACAGAAACCACGGAGCCCTTCCCTGGTCTAAATGCGGTGGTATCTACCCTAAGTACCGGACCAGTTGGACCTGGAGATATGATAGGAGGAACTAATGTTTCGATGCTCATGAGGTACGGGGTTATAGATATTACATTTCTTTGATCAATACTTCTGTATGTATTCACCGGATATTTTCCATGATGTCCTTTTAATATTTATCTATATAAGAATAACATTATTTGATTCAAGATGTTGCAACACAGATGGAAAGATTTTAAAGCCTTCAAAGCCAGCAACAGCTATTGACAGACAAATGATACTGGTAACATAAATTGAAAATTTAGAGACAAAAAGAGACAAAATTGCAGTACTCAGCATCTTTATAGTCCAATTACAATGAATTTCGCTTTTAATTAGACTGCTTCTCGAGTGACCAGAGATATGGAAGTCTGGAGCACATACACTGAAATGTCTGTAGGGGGTCAAACCAAGTATTTTGGAACGGTTCTGGGAGTTGATACGATCACTGGATTTAAACTGATGAATACAGATTTAGATTTTATGGTATGATTATCAATGTAAACTCTAGTATTTTGAACACTTAAAAAATTAATTTTAAAATAATCCTTAGAGGGTCAAAAATTTCCCTTCATTTCAAAGATTTGAACCTCTGTTTCTAATTTGTTGATTTATATGCGTGCAATATAGCTGATTAATTGAAAGTCCTTAATTCCAGACGAATGGTCAGAGAGAGGAATATATTGTATATGGACATCGCTCTCCACAGAAAACGATGTCATTCACGACATCCTTACTCATGCCAAAGTGCACCAAAACAGATTTCTGTCTTTATCACTTCATTCCCGAAATGAAATTTGGGTAAGAAACAATTTGTATGTTTTTAAAATTGTCTGAAAAAGTTTGTAAAGATAGTTTTTCATACAGGGGTACATGATTCAATTACATTATCGAACAAACACTTCAATTAATTGTAAAAGGATTCAAGGAATGATGACTCTTTAAGAGAAGAAATTGTAAATATTTTTAAGTACATGAAATTTTACAATTTCATTTTCCGTTCAAGAACTCACTCTGTATTTTTGCTTGGAGAGACGGGGAAATGGGTACCTGTGTCACAGCAGCGAATAAGTGCAATAACGCCGATTCAGGATACGGACCTTGTATTAACTGTAGAAGGCGGGCAGGGAGAGTCTGTATACATTTCTTACCTCCTTGATGGAACTCTTCAGAATGTGGAGTGCCATTTCAAACTTAGTTCTTCTCTTTTGTTGTCAATTGCAGACAAAACGTGTTGATGAACGTTTAAAATGCATACTTTTAGTGCATTTTTAAAATCAAAATATTGAAATATTCTTTGGCTGAAGACTAATTATTTGAATGTCATAAGTGAATTTGAATTATTCTATTTTGGAATGTGCTAATGCTATATAAAGATATGCTAACACTTAAAAATTTATACAATTCAGTGACTTTTTCTTTCTTTGATAATAATCAAGATAACGACAAATTCCAAAAACAATGCTAGGGTTTTATATCTGAGTATGTAATTTGAATATCAAAATGTCATAAAACTTATAAACATTTATGGAAAAATAGTAATGTTTGGAAAGAGCATTACAATAGATTGATTAAAACGATTACATGCAATAACGCGTGTTAGGATACATGATACTGTATCATTTATCATAACACACGTTATTCATTATTTAGATTGCATACTTCATTATAGGAATTTTATCTTTTTATAAATTGTGAATTAAATTATTAAAATTGCTTCATTTTAAAAATATCTTTAATTTATTGCTTATGGTAAAATACTGTAACATTCTCAAAAATTTATTTTGTTTTGTAAGTTTTCCATTTCACACCTTCTTGATATTATCGGATCATTGTAATTATATATAAAATTAAAATTTAAAGTTCAAAAATCCAAATCAATGTCTCTAAAGGATAAAAACAGTAAAAGAAAAGACAATTCCAAAAAAGTGAAATTTATTGATAATCTCTAATGCATGAACATTTAAACATTGTGAATTTGTAAAATATATTTTTTATCTATGCTAAATCTGACGTAATGTAAAAACGATACGAGAATGAAGCACCACACAAACTACACTTAATATATCAGGTGTATATAAATATATACCCATAAATATATACAAAAGAACATCTCTGATTGCTGCCCACAACACTGCAATAATCCTCCTTTCCAGGTTTTCAAAAATAAACCTAATTTCCTTAATTAATTAGAAGTTAATTGCTTCGTCTAGCGAAATTCTGAAGCAAAGTACCTTATTTCACAGTCTGTCTCTCTGTTGTTACTTGTATAAAAAATGAAGAAACATGCAAGTATGAAGGTCACTATGGAGTTTTCTTTGACGAGAAAAAAAGCTGCCAAAGAAAACGCACAGTAATATTCCTTCAAACATATTTGTAGTTTACAAAATATACAAACGATTGCAATACACCTACCGTTTGATTATCAAATGTAATATAATATCATTTACATCTGAGGAAGATTTGTATAAGAATAGCTCTGCAAAAGCACAACAAACTATATATGAATATGATAACGTAACAATGACTAAAGCAAACACACAGTGAAGGCACATTTATAATAGAAGCACACAGTTAATACTTCCAAATAAAATAGAAAGTTTGATGTAGATTTAGGGTATATCCAAAAAACAACAAATAATTATAAAAGATTAAAACTTTGTAAAATATAAAATCATTCTCACTTTTTTGTAATACCCAGCATTTCAACAAAAACAATCAAATTTCACAACCAATGTATTGAGTTTTATTGTAAATGTCAACATTTTTCGTACAAAAATGTTAATGGAATGTATTCGAAATAAGCAGATTTTGTACTGGAATTCTCACAACACCTATTATATCAGCTTCTTCTTAGTTCGTAATGGTCATCTTGAGTGAAGCCTTTTCCTAAAACAAGGCAAAATGTTTTAAGACTTAATGAAACTGTCTTGTGTTAAAGATTTCTACGAGACATTTCTGTTGGATTTTCAGAAAAAAGTTAGTACACCTCGTTGTACTCTTAATTATGGTACATATGTCAAAGAAACTTACTGTATTATAACTGAAATTTACTTCTTCAATTTAAACTTTAATTCATACTTTAAAGGATATATTAATTATTCATTTTCATGCAAACGCTTTGAATTCTGACTTACGTTATTGTACTCGTCTGTGAGGACGTAACTTCCGCCTCCCGCGTGCCAAGTGAAGAAGTCGCAGACGATGTCATTATCCGACTGTTTCATGTCCGCAGCGCCACCACTGTATAGCTGTAAAAAAAAAATAATAAGTCAGATATTTCACAATAAAATGAGCGTTTTTTCTTGAAGTTTGTAAATAGAATAAAAACGTTCGATTTTACCTTGATCTTTTGTCCTGGTCCCAGCGTTAGGTCATTCTTAAATTCATATGTGCACTTAGTTTTATTTCCAATTTCGCGCCTGATTTTCCATCCTTTCAAATTCACACTCTGAAAAGAATTATATTTATTTATTTATATTTCTTGTTTCACAAACAAGTAATGTAATACTGAAAGGAAAAAAGTTGGGATAAATATTTTGTATTGCAGTTTCAATATCATGTTTTAGAAATAAGTTTGAAGAAAATTATTAACATCAGTTGATAATAAAATATTCATTCAACTCTGTGAAGGTAACACAAAAAAGAAAAATAAGAAAGAAAATCATTTTACGAATTAAATGAAAGGGTAACAAAATATCAAACTTTGAATATAAAAACAAACACTCCTACTAAAAAACTACAAAATGGAGGATAGGGTAGAGAATGCACCTTATTCCAATGTAAATAAAAGTTAATCCTAAAGGTAAGTGTGTATTATACATTGAGGGTGAAGTCATTGTTGTTTTAGAATTGGTTACCATTTCTTACCTTATCTTTTGAATGAATACCCTGATAAATAATTCGAAACAATTTAAGTTTTCAGACTTTATTTAAAATTCTGTATATTTCTATATCTAAATAAAATGTGGTTAAACTACATGTAATACATGTACATGTAGTAGGAAATAATTTTTAAAAAGTTATTTTTAACATATCTGAAGGCTTTTTATCAAGATTAATCGAAAGAAAAATTGATCTCTTTAATGTGCAATTTTTGAACGATATTAGTACGTGTATGAAACAAATTCGTAAATTAAATATTCAACTTACTTTTTATATATTCGACCATTGCTTTTAAAAACATAGTATCAATCTTAATCAGCAAATATTTGAACGTGAATATTGTATGTTTTAATTGTCATTTTGTATGCATTTTTTTTAAATTAATTGAATCTAACAGAGAATAACTTTGAAAATTTGACTTTTTCGTAGATATGAAAAACAATTATTGTTCGTCCTGCACCCTCCTTGTTTACAAAAATATATAATATATGCCATTCTCTGACCGACAATTTTTTTTCATGAATTACTAATAGCCTAATTATTACAATATTCATTTTACGTGTAAAACTCTTGTCATTATTGTTTGTTATATTCATACATTCCTGAAAAATTTCTAGTTCAAATTGTGTGCAAGGCTTGCAAATTGAGCATTAAAAATGGCTGCCTCAAACGGAAGACAACTCGTCATGCAAAGTAGAAAACTATCTAGAAAAACTCATTAAATTTAAATAAACTGTAAAATTGTGAAAAAAAGAACAAACAATATTATAAAGATGGATTCAAGAGAACACTAGCTCTAATATAAAAAAAATGCTTAGTATAGAAAATATAACGAATACCACAGACTGAAACTTCAAAGGCCATGTTATAGAATGTTTTATGTCATTTGTCGTGAGTGCAATACATATGCACAGTATATGCGTTGCAAAAGTCTGTTTTCACTATTTGGAACTGAGGAACAAAAATACAAGATTGCTCTAAACATTAAGAAAATATACGCCAGTTTCAGTCATATAGTATAGCAACAAGAGAGATCGTTTGCAACAGAGGGGACAATTAAGCTGTTAGTTTCTCCGAGACATACCAATCGAATTTCTTGGTTATGTGGTAACCTATATTTAGTCCTGTTTAAAACACTGATATGGATTTATATTTTCTTATTGTGTATTGTGTGTGTGAGATGGTGACAGCGAAACCAAAGTACATATAGACAAATATGGTTAAAGACGAGTTACCTTTCCTTTAGCACCGGATGTGTTATTCTCGATACCAACACTACTTCCGTCTGGGGCTGCGTCGGAGAAGGCAATGTTCCCGCGGCAAGATCTATGAACTGTTAGCTTACCAGTTGATTCGCTGGATTTCAGATCTTGAAAAGAAACAACAAAACTATCCACTCTCTAATTCTTGAAGGGAAATTGGTCGACCTGATTTTGATGTCATAATTGTTAATACTTTTTAGAGTGAATGAAAATACCCTAAAAACCCTAACAAAAATTTTCTATAGTTAACTATAGTTTACCCTAAAATTACATTAGCGAATACTTTGAAATTCTATGAGAATTTACTCTAAATCTTTTTTTGCTTAAACGTTTCTTACTTTACTTAACAAAAATGACTGTAAATTTTTAAATAATTTGAAAAAAATACATGCAATATTTTATCTAAATCTAAGAAAATTGTTTGTAGGAATATTTTAAAAAAATAAAAACAACGATCAGAAATTTTATTTTAAATTTTCTTTGATTAACTGTAGCAAAAACTTTGATTTACTATGGTAAAAACTTTGATACTATAAAAAAAAACTATAGTTTTCCATAGTACTTTTTGTTAGGGTATTTAGGAGATTATAAAGTGTAGGTGTGTTATTAAGGAATAAAACATTTGTGGAAGAAATATATTTTCTATATATTTGTGTTGTATAATAGTATTTGCCACAATATTTAAGATAAAATCCTTCTTTAAGAGGCAGGGGAATCCATAGTTCTTGAAATCATGCGTAATATGTTACATTTGAACAATGTTTAAACATGTTTATAATTTTTAATATGAAATCTAATCTACTTTATTTATTGGGCATGAATATTTCATTCACTTCAATAGTTCCTTATTTTATATGATGCCTTTAGTTGAGATCCAATATTGACTTAAAATTCACCAAAGAAACATATCAGAAGCATCTTTGAGACCAATTCCTGGCTTTATATTTACCCATTAAAACATACCAGAAGCATCTTTGATGCTATAAAAACTTCATATTAGTACAGCTCTTTCCGTAAATAGCATTAAAAGAAATTCAGCACACTCGATTTATTTTCAAACCAATTGTTAGAAAACTCAGAAAAATTAAACCACCAACACCAAACCACGTAGAAAAGATGAACTGAAAACAGAATTTTGTGTTAATGAGTATGAAAACTGATTCTTCAGCACCCTTCTTTTCCAATCAGAGTTATTAAACATCTGCAAAGTGATCATTCATGCATTTTGCGACAACCAAGAGCAAGTCGTGACGTAAGTGAAAAATACCACTTCCGGTTCCTCTCTGACCACCTGATTGGTCATAATAACTACCACTGGACAAGCTTGTGCTGGTCTGTCCAAGGAGTTCCTCTTGTGAATAGCGTGATCCGTAACTTGAACTGTAGGACGAACCTGTGCGATTAAATCTCATGTCAATGTGAATCAAACCATTTCATGTTTGTTGTAGAAGCCATAATCTGAATCAGTGTTATTCCTTCCCGCTCTTCAGAATAGCAGCTCTTTTTTTGTAACATTCTGCATGCAATAGTACAATACCCATTCCTGTCATCCCAGTTTGACCCAATTTTGTAAGTATTATATACCAAGTCTTATTTTGGCATTACTTTACAAGCTTCCCTCACAAGATACTAGCAAAGTTCCTTGCACTAGCTTGAAGGGACAGTTTTTACTAAGTAAATAAATTTATCAACATGCAAATCAAAACCTTGGCAAATTCTTTCTATTATTGAATAATTTTTGCAAGTTAGTAAAGGGTGTTTAAGATACAAATATGAAAATTACAGTTACAATTTACATTTATAAAAGAGGGATTTTGGAATAAAAGAATATTAAATATAATCTTTAAAATCTATCTATTGATATACAGTATAGGTATATTGACTTTCATTTTGACTTAAAATACAATTAACTGAAATAATATTTTTTGCTATTGTAAAATATCTCAAAGTGTACTTCATCACCCATTTTTGCATAATTTTCTTTATTAGCCTCTTCACTGCATCACGTTTCCTTTGCCATTAAAACCAAAGTCATTTTTCTCACACCAAATTCAAGCCATCTCTAACCTTGGCATGCAATTATTAAGTTAACGTGCATTCTCTGATTGGTAGATGGAGTTTAAGAGCAGAAAAAAAAGAGCGTTTAGTGCTACCTAAATACTAGGTTAGACTATTAGAAAGAAAAAATAAACTCTGAAAAATGTTATTATATCAAGAGAACACCAGCGCACATACAGAAAATTGAAAACGATATTTTTTCGTTTAAATATAATAAAATTTTGAACATATGATTTCAAATACCGGAAGTTGTTAAAAATAGAAATGATGTCGAGGGGAGAGATGGCTTTATCTGAAATCCTGTTATTTTGTGCAATGAAATACATCAACTTGACATGCATATTGAAGACTTGTACATTTAATGTTATCATATATACAACTTCTACCTACATAAAATCAATATGTATATATATAAACCAATGCATATTAATTATGATAAAAGCTTTATTAGCAATCGTTAATAAAAACAAATCATTATAAAGCCTACAGGTGCCAAATTGAAATGTAAGGTATATAAAAAAGTCAATTTTTTTTTTTTACATCTAATCTTCTCTAGCGCAGTAAGGCTAACATACTAAAAAGATACTATACACATTGGCATACTTTTATACTTAGAAAGGATTGTTAATTTTAATTGAGTAAAGACTGTTCCATAGAAAATCTCTTCGATCAGCACTGTCATATATATATATATAATTCTCACTAATTCAAACTTAGACACATGGCAAAGGACCTTTTAGCTCCAAATATAGCAATTTATATAGCTAAACGATTATCGCTACAATTTTCTGTATGCATGCACATTGACGCCACAGGAACACGAATTTTTTTGTTTAATTAGGGGTACTAACTGCTTTTTTGCACAATGTCGGCCAACTGGTTGGCTCCTTTGCTTCTGGCACCAGTTGAATTTTCTACTACATTTTTCAAGCTGCAAAAGACAAATGACATATTGATGAAATTTTCCCATATATCTTTATAAAGTTATTTGATTAAAACATAAAAAAACTCCATTTATATTTGTTCCATTTGCAAAGATACACGTAATTCCAAATATCAGAGTGAATTTACGAGTTTACCCTATGCATGATTTTACATCATAAAAGATCCAATTTAATTGCATTAAGTTTCCTTATTTTCATTGGAGTAGTATGTTGAGTGTTTTCCTTCATCAGCTGACAAAAAATGACCAATGGATAATGATATTACCTATTTTCCTCCGACTCCAGCAGCTTCCTGTAGCAGCTGATCTCGAGTTCCAGGGACAGTTTGGCGTCCTGGAGAACCTGTAACTCTCGGATGACCTCTTCCAGACTGGCCTCCAGACCGGCGATTCTCTCGGCGTTCTTATCGTTCTCTCTGTCATGTTCCTTCTGCATGTCAGACATCTCATTCTCCAAGGCAATGATTTGGTTGCGCAGTTTTGCATTCTGTACAGAATTGCCATTTTAAATTGGTCAACTTTTGTAATATTATATAGGTAAAATACGTTTTTGTATCTGATAATCTTCAGTAAAGTAAGAAATATTTTCAAAAAATGAAAATAAAGTAAAAAATTGGATTCGATTCTACATGAGGTGTACTTTACCTCAGCCTCGAGTTCAGCGACACGTGGTCCGAGATCTCCAAGTCTGCTCTTGAGTTTCTTAGACTCCTCCTTGGCTTGGAGAGCCTCCATGTTGTCTCTATTGACGCCAGCCTGGAGCTCTCTAAGCTAAATGATTGAAAGCAAAATCCTTGTCAAGCCAACATTCAACAAACACAGGAACACGTTAGTACCAGACCAGCATTAACCCAGCCTACTTACCTGTGCATCCATTCGGTTCTCGCAGTCCATTCTGATCTGGTTGATCTGGTTGTCGTACTCCTTCTGGAGCTCGCTGACGGCCTTGGACATCTCTCCCTTCCAGATGTCTCTCATCTCCATTCCCTTGTCTCTGTCGATCAGGGCCTGCAACTCCTTGATCTCCTACACAACAAACACGGGGATAAATTAAAATGAAGTTTTCTTACACAGCCATTGCTTTGTAAAGATATAAAACCAGTCATCTGCTTATTAAGGTAGAGAATGAAATTTGGGATTAACTTACTGCATCGGCAACATTCAGTCTGAAAGTGAGATCTTCTTCGATAGCCTGGGCTTTAATTTCAGCTTCGATACGTTTACGTGTCTCTTCATCCAAATCCTACAAGCAGATGTCAGTACTGCAACATCTTTTCATATCATTTATAAGTGAATACTATTTTACTGCATATATATAAGTAAAATAAAAACACCAAGAAAAAAAAAAATTGACAATTTTTGCATGCTAAGGCAAATGGTTGGGTAATGATATGTCTGTGCTTACAGCTCTGAGACGGGCAATGTCATCTTGAAGCCGTTTGTTGGTGCCTCTAAGTTTGCTGACTTCGTCTTCCAGACCGCCGATTCTTCCTCTCAGGGTGGCAATTTCCCCTTCGTACTCGCCGATTTGATCATTCAAGCGATCCAATTTGTTTCTAAGTTCAGCGCACTCCTTCTCGCTGGCAAGACGTCTGAAAGATTAGGTAATATGACAGAATGAGCAAATATCGGTGTTTTAAGAGTGCATTTCTTTATATTGCTATTTGTATCATTATCTTTGAAATTAATATTTAAAGGATTAAATAACTTGTTTTGAAAGGAAGGAGTCATGCTATTTTAAGCAAGGGTGTCCTTTAAAGAGAAGTACTATAGATAACAGGAACTCCACAAGCGACTCTCAAAACTTCAATGTCAAGAAGGCTGAATGGGCTACAGTTATCTAGGTCGTCAACACTTTATTAACTGTGTAAATAATATTTTCATAAAAAAATATTTAAATTTAGAAAGACCCTATTTCTGAATACCGACTGACATACTTCCTAAAATCTATTTACGTGAATGAATGCACACATATTTGCGGACGTTCCTTTCTGCAATAATGCAATGTTTGCAGTAACCTTTAGGCCTAATGAAAAATCAATGTAATTCTACTCAATAGCTTGTAGATAATATCAAAAGATGAAGCTGACTTGGGAGACTGAGTGATTGGTAGTAATCGATAGCGGTTCTGCTTCTAAGTCCCTACGCTGCCTCGAATTCAGCGTTACTTCGATCCTTACTCTTGCAAATCTTGATTTTTTGCTGTTCTCAGCAAAATATATCTCTCGTTTCGATCTCATCTGCTGCTAGCAATATGACTACTTATTTTATGATATTGTGACTTCTATCTTTTCTAGGCCTTTTTAATACAAAATCATTTTTCCATATTATGCAAAATAACTCAGATTAAGGACATTATTTCAGCACAGTATAAATCTTGATTCCTGCGACCAGGCGTCACGGGGATGCTTACTTGTTCTGGGTACCTGATTCCACGTATGGAATTTCCCCGGGTCCATGTTTTAAACTCTTTTCAGAGAATTTTATTACTTAGGATTATTTGGAGATCGGTCTCTGTTCATTATCTGTCTTGCTTTCAAACAGAAAAATAGTGCTTTATTTTATTGCATCTTTGCTTGACAATTGGGAATTAAGATTTTAAGAAAAACAACATTGTACGTGCAAAAGATGTAAAGAAATCAATCAAAATCGAGACGCATGGTCTACCAAAGGTCTCAGAACCCGAGAAGCACGTATTGATTATTTTCAGTCCATCACTTTGCATATCAAAGACTTGATGTAGCTGCCTGCTTCATGAACCAGTCCCTTGATCAAATCATAATATACCATTGAACACTACCACACGTACATCTATATAATCTATTTTTATCTGCTACTGGGAAAACAAGTGACACTACATATAAAGGTCATTCAAGGATACCAAATAGAGATTTCATCCATGGGCCCATTCAAAATTCCCCTGTTCAAATATTGAGAAACCCCTTGGATGTATATTTCGTATTTCGCTTTCATATACTAAGCTCTGATCTCGTAGGTTCTAGATATAGAAAGATTGGTCAAATGATTTACGACTCGTGGCGACAACGTCTCCGATCAAGTGGACGTCCATGCTTGAACTTTTATAAGGTATAAAAGTATGGAGAGCTGTGATAATTTTTATATACCCTTGGCATTCTTGTAAGTCTCAACCCTTTAACCAAATTTGTTTTTGCATTATGACAGCTAATCATCAAGAAAGTTTTGAGTACCCGGGTCAAATGATAATGTCGGACGAAATGTGTGCACGAATGAGAGGCGAGGAATTTTATTTTGCTTGATAACACTTTGGTCGTAAAGGAACCGGTATTTTGGAGGGCGTGTCAGAGGGTGGACAATTTGGTCGCAGTTACTGAGACAGTTGACTGAACATAGAATTTGGAAGCTATAAATCATTAAGACGAGAAAGATTTGTTCAAACAGTTTCAATGAAGGTTTATTGAAGTCTTTCATCTGTAAATAGCTTTTACTTGCAAAAACTACTTAGGCTTTTAGTTCATATCCGTCACATTAGATTCCTGTTGATATTTTTCTGTTCACGAACATTTCAGATACGTATAGAGAAAAATGACTCATTCGCACCTCCATCTAATACCCTGGGTTTGCAAGTTTTCATCTAGTTGCTTATCGTGCAAAATTTAACTAAAACTTAATACGTGGGTATGCTAGTATTTAAATTTGAATGCCCAGGTAGGTATATCAAAGCAACGAAAATATTAACCGACCCGGGTGTTATGTATAGTGTCAAGTATATAAAATAAAAAATGGGCGTGGCAGATAAGGTTCTTTTATTTCAGATTATTCGATTATGTATGTGTTGATATGAATTAAAACAATTTATGAATTCATAACTTGTCACAATTTCCAACCATAAACAAGTGATACCTATAAACTGAGATTCGATGTCAGATTTTTTTTTCTTCTCAATTTTGATTCCCTTATAGTATGTAAGATTACACCTGTATATTAATGTTTGTTATTCGGAAATTTAAGACCTGTAATAAAATATTAAAACGGTAAATTAACATTTAATGAATATTTCCAAAGCTATTTTAGAAATGAAAAATGTCATAGATTTTAACACGCTATTTAAAGGGGGTACTAATATACATATACCTCTATTGATAAGGCTTAAATTTCAGGGTGACTTGGAAGATTATGCAAGTTTAATTGAATCCTAGGTATTGCCTACGGGAGAAGTTGCGGATCTCTAAACGAAGCGAATACATTAATATAAACCCGATTACAAGAAGCCGTGAATGTAGCCTCGTCATAAAGGACGAATAAGCAAGAACATTCCCTATTCAAATCAACTACAATGTACTGTTTAACCACATAGTTTTACGAGACGAACTCTGAACAGAAGACAACTATGCAACCAATGTTTTATAAAGCATTTAGGAAAGATTTAGATTTCGCAAGTCAAACAAGTTATGACCAAAACTATTATTTTAAGAACTTTGCCTACAGACAGCTCAAATCCAGGTGGTCAATGTCGATTTGGATACCCTGCAAAAATAGGTATAACTTAATCCCATATATAAATACAAAAAATATTTTCTATCATCTGCAATCCTTTACAAACATTAATCACGACAAATCACAATACAAGTTATAGTCAAAATACCTGGTAGTTTCATCTGGTTCAAGATTTATGCGATAGTGCCATACGTGTATTGACATTTAATCAAGTTAACATAATGAAGGAGAGAGACAGAGATGGAAAAGCCAACACGGAAAACATTGATAATACATCAAAGGGAAAAAAGTCATGGATCAGCAATTCACTGATGTCAAATTGTTGACAATACCATTGACATTTCTTACCAAGTAGCGCGGTTTACCTAACAGAGCGGTATAGGTAAAACTGCACACCTGCAAGTCGATGTGCAAATGTTTGGGAGATATTTTATTTCTTGGTGTTACCTTGCGATTTTTAGGACTTTTTTATAGCAACACATATGCATGTAAAGAAATTCCATACGATTCCATTCAAATTTGTAAAAGGGGATTAAGCGAAAGAGCAAATGTGTTTTTGAATGCAGCTAAAATTTAACATGGAGACAATGTGGGATTATGTAAATCAACCGACGACAAAAGCATATTTATTCCAGATAGAACTTGTAAAAATAATATTTATGTTTTCTGTGAGTATAAATATAGTCGCCCTTTAAATAAGTTTATATTCTCACGATTTACTCTATTAAAGAATGTATACACTCCAAACATGTCGACTTTATATACCATTCAACTATGAATGCTGCAAAGGGGTTCGTAGTTCTTTAAGGTATAGTCGACAATTTAAAAGAGCCGGCTTAAACGGAATTAAGTTAAAATGGCCAATACAAAGTGAACAGTGAGACCTTCCAAATATAAAATACTTTTATAGTAGTTAGGAATTACATAACACTACACATGTGTTTTCGAAACTTTATAATCCTTTTCTGAAAAGAGGGGGGATTTACGACCACTTTAAAAACGCTGTTACTGCGGTAATATTAAAAATCCTAAAGAACCGATTTTCCTATACCCTTCCTTATCACCCAGTTGTGTAAGGAAACACCGCCTTCCATAATCTCCAAAAAATATTCAAAGTTATGAAATGGAAAAGAAGCCGGTTCATAAGCCAATCATTGTTAAGTCTTATTTATAGATGTATGCAACAGGTAGTTTTATCAAAAAAGATTAACTACCTTTAAAAAATGTCGCGATGGAATGAAATTTTAATTTTCATTAACATGTCAAGTTAATGAGAGTTATGACAGGCTGTAATAATTCTAGCGACCGTGTTTTGTTCCCAAACGTTCCCCATTTACTTTGTCAAGTGTAAATACAGATACATGTACATGTTTGCTTCATTCAGATATACAGCTCTACAGACCTATAAAGGCAGAAAAAGTCCCTAAAAACCAAAATTATGTAAAATGCAATTTAATTAAATTTGTTTGAAAAAAATTAATTTTGTTTGTATACATTGAGCGAGAAACACAAAAACAATAAATTATAAATTGTTTTAAAGAGTAGACACTGTTCATGTTGCATGACATTGAAGACAATAACCAAAAAGCAGATCCTTGTCAAAAAGGTCGGGTGCCCCGACTTATAAATATAAGGTTTTGTTTAAACACGTCTAAGCCAACAGGTGTGGCTTGTCTATAATCTCTCTATGAAATTTAAAGCATACTTATATTCTTAAACTTCTTTGGAAGTAAAGAGCTCTCAAAAGTAAATAATCTGGACAGACAATGAATTATAATCTCTAATGTGCAATCTCAGCTGAATTCGATGTCGCAAGAAAGGAAAACTATAATTAGACAAGGGGCATATATTGCATTCAGTAAAAATATTTGATAATCTGCATTCTTATTTCTCTACCTGAAACAAACAATATTTCAATGTCAAAAAAGTCACGTGGTCATATTACATGCATTAAAAAGTTCGAAGTTCAAATGGGCTGTGTCTTATTTGCCGGCTGTATGCGTAATGATCCTCTGCATGCTGCAAGGTCCTACCAGGCTTGTGCAAAGTAAGGACAGATAAAAAATGTGCAAAACTAGAACAAGTAGTAAAAATAAATTGTACTCACTCTCTCTTTTCGTCGTCGAGTGCATCTTGAAGTCCTACAAGGGTTGAATCAAATTTGGCTTTCTCCTTAGAAAGATCATCGATAACATTTCTACATTCAGCAATTTCTTGTTCATAGAGTTCCTTAATTTCTGATACGTCAAATCCCTTCAATTTCTTTAACCTATCAATTTCGGCAATAAGAGCTTTATTTTGTGCCTCTAAAAATCTAACTTTTTCTATGTAGCTAGCAAAGCGTTCGTTCAAGCCTTGCATATCCTTCTTCTCCTTATCCCTTGTTTGGATAACATCATTAACCCCCTTGTGGGAAAGTCCAGCCAGAGTACCTGCGGAGAATGCAGGACCCATGCTCAATCGGCTGGTGGAACTTCTGTTGGACACGACATGTCCGGCTCCAGCTGGGGTCCTTTGGATAACGGTGGTCCTCATGTTGACCACAGGTGCGGTTTTCACGCTCCTTCTAAATTCAACTTTATCCGATGACATTTTGCACTGATGGTAAATTTTCAACCACCCCAAGAGAAAATCAGAAATTCACAGGCTCAGAAAACTTTCTCCCCCGATTCGCTCTTCTGCTAGAAGTCCTCCCGGTCGATCCAATAGAGGAATTAGAAGTGACGCCGGTACATAGGAAGCCGGGACTAGTCAGGTGTGACTATATCGTCTGCTAAAACGTCATTGGTCTATTTCGCTGCCTACTTACTCTCTTCATTTGCAAACTTGTAGAACAGGAATTTACTATAAGTAACAAATCACTATTTGTCTATGAAAAGTGAAGTCATGGGGGTTGTTCATTAAGTATTATTATTCAATGTTCTTCAATGAGATCGTCCGGTTTAGTAATCGTGATATTTTCTGTGTGGTATTGATCAGATCAGAGCTTTAAAAGTTCTCATGCTTGGTCTACCTTGCTTCGCAAGAATTTTGACTTAAAAATTTACTAGATCTCTATATGTGCAGAATAATTCTTGTTTATATTTATTTCTTCACACGAAAGATTCAATTAAAATTTATATCTAAAAATTAATGATTAACTTTTAAAGATATAACATACATTGCAACAAAAATCACCAAAGACTAAACGAACAAATTTAATTTATTCTTTCAGTAATTAATGTCACCTTTATAGACAAAAACTGCATTTCACTGAACAGACAGTTAAATGAAAAAGAGAGAAATAAAACGATAAACATCAATCAAAGTATTTTAAGGTTCACAAGAAGACAACGCTACGATGTACGTTTTTCAGACATGATTAGAATCTTGATGAAAAGTGCCCTCTGGTATTTAGATTTAGGAAAAATATTTTTTCTTTCGGTCACAGAGTCAATCTTTAAAAATTCGTTTTTCATTGTAGCGTTGATTTTGTATTGCAAAGAAATTCCGGTGGTGCGAAGATTAGGGTCGTAATGAATACACACCCTGCTGAACTACTGTTAGAAAAAGCAAATGTCATCAGTCATCTTGAAATTTAAAATAAATTTTGATTACCCTATGGAAGAAAAAAATATGTAAAATGTTTGGCACGTCGCAATTATTTGGAGACTGAAAATATGTTATCTGAAAGTTCAGGATATATATTCCTATCTCTCTTTTGCAAAATGTCAAATATGGCCAGCATCTAACTTCCATAATACGCAATGAACCCGTATATGAAATTGTGCATGTCAACATTTTTAACCTAGTAAATTTATATATTATTGTACTACAGTAATACAGTTTACAGTTAACATTTTGGCACTACGAAAATATGCACTTAATAAACTCTATATGAAGGTCACTTTGAAATAACAACTATGAAACAACATTGCAGCACCAAAGAAGGCATCGTACTCAACCACTGAAGCCACATCCATTGCACCATGTTTTTGGAATGGTTTTTCTGTGGTGTTTCCATACTACGGTACCGTTGCAATTCTTATGTACAGTATATATGCTTCCTCTTGCAACAAGTGCACCTACATTGTAATATCATACAAAAAAGCAGAAAATTCCCTCGCCAAAGATTCACTTTAATGTTTCATCATAAAGAATATATATAATATACTTTTAGTTTTATACTTTTATTCAAACTTTAATAATAATATTTAATTGTGAGTGAAACACAACATTTTACAAAATTATGCAGAAACAACTTGGTTAAAAATTTTTGCCGAAATGCAAACAATATTGGTTAACATTTGTGAAGTCTGCAAAATTATACCAGCTTGCAAAATTATACCAGCTTGCAAAATTGTGGTATGTACAAGACTGTAGTACTCCAAGACCTAAATTATTGATTGAAAATCAAAACGACGACTCAGCATATTGCCATTAGTTGGACATTTAATACAAGGCAAGGTATTTTGAGCAATTCCTTGTTATAATACCTTTATTATAGAAGGATAAAGTTTAATTAGAAACATTTAATTGTTGAAACTGTCGGCAAGTTTCATCTTATTCAAGAAAAACTTAAACATAGTGATTTTCTCAATTGTTCCGCGGGGGTCGTTTTAAACTCTCAACAATTAAAATGCAACAATTTAAGGCATGAAAAGGTTGACGTGCTTGATTAAAAGTAGTCAAATTTCGCGTGTTGGAGCATGAGAGTATTAAATTACATTACATAGTACCCGTAAAATTAGCGTTGTCGGTCAAGGCTGGCGGCTTCCACAAATAAAAGCCAAACCAAACTCCATTATCTAAGTCGATAAGTTACAGTACTAACATGAAAAAGAATAAATTTCGGCATACTTCTTGACATGTACATGTACGCCAACAAATATAAAAAAAAGTTTGTCTGGTACTGGTGTATTTAAAGAAATCCAGGCCAGCCATGGGGCAATTTTTTTATTTAAAACTCTAATCTGACGCCATTTCAAAAATAACACAGAAGTAAAATAGGAAGTGCAAGTAAATAAGCAATATACCTACTATTATTTACCTAGATAACAATGGCAATAAATCTTCTTACTGGATAATAAGCAATTTGAGCTTGATCGGGAGCGCGTTAGGTCGTCAAAAATGGTCAATATTTGTCGTGGGGCCTTGGACCTTGCTTGGAAGACGTCTAGCCATTAATCATGTTTGGTTTTTTGACCACCTGCCTGATTATATGGGAAATGGTGACACGTTGTGGTATGAAAACACAGAAGGTGATTTTTTTGGAAGGATGACCTTAAGAATATGTCTCTTTGGGACATTGCGACACATATACACCAGTTTATTTTGCATTAACATGTTTTTTTTCTATCCAAATGGACACCAATTTTATCCCCACATCAACGAGTAAAATGTCCATAGTAAAGAGCTAGTTTTATTCCACTTTGGTTGTTTTCTTTACTTGACCATATCAGATGTTTAAACAAAATTAGAAGACGATCAAAGGGATGATATATTGATTCAAATCTAGCCTTCTTGAACGAATTCATTAAAACCTGAAAAACTGGTTCTTCTCGATAGCATCCAACTTCGTTTATGGAAACAAAATCTTATGATTTAGGAAAAAAGACGTTCATCTAATTGAAAACTCATTTCAGATCTTATTATCATAATTTGACAGCTTAACAGTATCGTAATAAGTATGTTGTTTGGAGGGCAATGCTATAAAAAGTAATACATGTTTATTTCAATACATACAAAGAAAGGTGTATTCAATTTGATTGCGTAACATTCTCTTTGAACTACCTGTGAATAAATTAGAACTCCTAAGAATAAATTAAACCCTTGATCGATTTCGTCTCATCTTATTCATTCTTCAGACATTCACGTCACTTCTGAATTTTTAAGTACGTGCTTTGAAATATGATTCACGAAAACAATTTTTGAAAGCATGTTAACACTATACAAACATTTTTTGCACATAAAGCTGAAATTGAATATAGAGAGGGGGAAGGGTGGGGGTGAAGGGCAAAATAATTTGAAAGTAACAGCATTTATTATTTAATAAACATATTTTTATAGCAAATAACCTGGAAAAACTCCAACCTTATTCTCACACTTTGTGGCATGCAATCGCCAATGGCCGTGTAAAGATCAAAGCAGATACTAGTAATACCTCTACAAATATACTGACCACAACCAACTTTGTGGTAAATATAGCTGTGTTATCAGCAATAAATACCTTTTTGTGTTAATTATTGCCTGTTAATTGACATTGTTCGACCTTTGAGCGGTCATGCATTAGTTACCAATAACCAATCAAGCAAGAAAAGAACTTCAAATCATAATTCAACGAAATGTTCACGCCCTTATATTGATGTTGCCATATTTATTCCAGTTTGGTGGGTTATTCAGCTTTACTATACAAGTGAAATGTATGATAAATTTTGAATTAAAGCAGCTATATGTTGGAGAAATGCAAATAGTGCTAATACATGCACGTTTATGTTGCATGCATTTATACCCACGCAATCGAATTGCATATGAAAAAATGCCTTGTCTGGCGTTATAGAAATCGCTGCAGATAAGACTAAATCAGGAATGACATGGCATTAAGTATGCATCATTAGAATATACACTTAATAGGGAAACATTGCATTCATTTGCATTATAATTCACAATAGGAAAGATGACGCCTAAGGTCACTAAATTGTTCTTGCTGAAAACAACGGTATACAACACTTAGTGCGTGAAAAATTCGATACTCCAATCCACTAGAGGAGAGATATAAAATATTAATACGGCAAAAATGTGGAAAGCGCGAAGCATAAATTCCCAATACTGAAAAAATATTGCACAACGTTGAATTCTGGGCAAAAAGGGATGGAAACAGAATTCATGGGAATTTTGGTCATAGAGTACATACATTTAAAAAAAATGTTTCACCACCAACAATTTCATTAATTTTGAAACAAATGATATTGATTTTGATCATTAATTTAAGAAAATATTAATTAAGAATTTCCAACATGCTTAATGATGGTGTGCCTAAGCTAGCTTTTACATGATTGTGAAGCGTTGAATACAGCCTTTTTTATCCCAAGTTCGTCGAACTGTGAGAAAAATCAGAATTTATCAAACACCATTTAAAAGAAGTCAAAGAAAACCCAAGGTTAATGAAATTCATGCCAGTCTGTGTCGGGTAATACACAACTTTTCAGAATTGTCAGTCATCGACCTTAACATGGAAGAGATTGGCTTTCCTTGTCCATCAAAGCATGTATTGAAGTTTAATAAGGTGCCTTATATAGAACTTGATGTGGGATATCATTCGTGTCGGGCAGTCTAGACAACACAAACGGTTGGAGGGGCATTAATGGCCTTCAGATCACAGACTTGTTACAGAACGGTTGACATTTATAATAATCGGTTAGAATTTATTTTGGCGACTCTGCGCGAAAATGTCACACGTAAAGCTCTTCTGGTGAGCCTTTGAAAATATTTCTTCATTAATTATATTTTATACTCCTGTATCAAAATATATTTATTAACAAAATATAGCAGAAGATTTAATTGAATCTTTTAATAATTGTAATGATATCAATGGATATAATTATGCCCTTTTAACGAAACATTGTTATTTTTCTTCGTTGAGCACTTTAATTTACAAATGCCAAATATTATTGTAGTCTAAAGAAAATAATGAAGAAAGATTACATATATTTAAATTTGCTCAAAGTAGGATAAAGTTTCAATCACCAAACAAAAGTGCAAACTACGCAAAACGAAATCGACAGCGTGTCAGTTTCTTGAAGCACCTGTGTCCTGACACTCAATTCGATATGTTTTCCTTAACATGCAATAAAAATGCCCTTAATTATTCGCCCTGTAAAAAATCTAACATATCTAAATATGGTGCGATAATATATAAGAATTTCTTGACGTGCCACTTGGGTCGTTGATTCAGAAAAACACATATTTAGAAGTAGTGGGACAAACGCCCACCTGATTTGTCAAAAATTACTGGCAATAAGTTATCTTTGAACTAAATTTTCTTGTGAGTGTTCTATAAAATGATTTCAGTGATCATAAAATTTTGATAGGTGCATGGGAATTTGAACCATTTAAAAACTGACATTGATCTTCATCTTGTTATATATTATAACTATATTTATCAATGAATGCATATTACTAAACAACCAAGGAACATGGCTGAAAATTTTACATTTATACTTGGAAAATGAAGACTTTTTCTTCATCATTTTCTAAAACATAAAAGTTATCTATTAAATATATTACAAAATCATACACTTTTTATTTAAAAAATCGTTGTTTTTGAATGCTTGTAAAACATGTATAATGTAAATCATGTATAAAACTTTTAATATCCCAGTCAATGGATAAAAATAGGCAAGTAGCCATTTCACAAATAAACGGCCAACAATCAAACAACAGGGAGTCGAAGTCGACAAATGACAATAAGGTCTTCTTTTCTTTTCAATTACAGCCTTTGACACATTAAAACTTTCCACGGAGGGTAATTGGGTAGCGAACCACATCGACAGCGGGGGACCCAATCAGTCCTTTTATTATAAAATGACCAAAATGTAAAGGAGTTAAGTAACGGTTTTTTATCGGCCATAGTTAAAATGGAAATCTTCTGTATATGGAGGCGATAAAAATCTTTCTGTGGTAAGATTACGCCTTAATTAGGATGTCAAAAGGAGATCAAGCGACTTAAAAATCACAGTGCATGTACAAGTATGGGCAATCCTTTACATAACTATAACAAGAGGAATGAGATTTTTCATGCATCCACATATGTACGCGGGGCATAAAATCAAGAATTTGTCAATTATTGCATAATTGTAAGTGAGGTGGAAATCCCAAATTCTAATAATAGATAAACACGAAATATTGCAACAGAATCTACATGCATCGACGACAGGGGAAAAACGAACACCACCTGAACTCCTTAAAACACCCCACTCAGACACAGAAGCAAATGTCACTTTTGTATTAATTCTCAACTCCTGTTTTAAGAGAAAAAAGTTCTCTTTACTGCTGGGTTTTAAAACTTATAATTGTTGTACTAAATGTGGATTTAAAAGCATAAGAGTGTAAGCTGTTAGCTCTCATACACATTTAACATCTTCTGTCAAATGAATAATCAGATGGGGAGAACTAAAACATCTGAAAAACAAATATATGACTACAATAGTCGACAGGACAGTTTTAATAGCCAACATCGTTGGAGGGCTTAACTTTGAAGGTCAAATAAAGTTGTGGGAACCTTTTGAAAAACCAAGGAAAGGGACCTTTTTAACACGATTAACAGGTTTCTGTTGGGTCCGCTAATGTATCAAAAATCGAGGAATTTAACTTGTAAAAGGAGAAACATCCAAAAAACTTATATTACGTTTTTTCAAATATTAAAATATCAAATGGATTTTTTAGTGTACAGTTAGTGTTTTCTTGTAGTTTTGACCAATCTGTTGTATTTTATCATTGAAATAACAAAATCTATTTATACTTTGTATTTCGATGTTGCAATGCCAAAGAAATAAATGACAGGATTTGCAATTATGTTCTTGATAGTAAACAAGAGTAATTTATGGAAAAAAACCACCCTTTTCCCCACCCACCCTAAAATGTACGCAGTCGTTAGATATTACGATTACCTGACTGAAATCTGTTTGTTAGGTAGTGTATGTCAAGGGTAAAATATGATATCCCGAATAAAATGCCTACATGTTTTACTTCATCATGTTAATCCAATCTACATACGAAGCAAAGGTTTAGTGTCGAGTAGCAGTAATGGTTTAGTTTAACAATAAAAATATAAATGGAACCATAACCCGATGAAAAATGAATGACAGCACACGCAATTCTTGTATTAATGACACGCACCATAATCACATATGTATAACATAAGGTTAAAAAAAAAAATGTTGTCCTTTCAATTTGACCATATGTAATTAGTGCTAAATGTTTTTGAATCAAGGAACATAGTTTGCAGGCACTGTCACGTATATTTTCATCAAGGTATTTAATCATTTGGTCTCTCTGACCACACACACGAACAGGTCGCATTTCAATTTAACAAAACTCTTTTTCAATAAACTCAAGTGTTTAAGATGTTTGCGATAAGAAATCTGCCACCACTGACAAAAAAAAAATGTCAGCACTATGTTTTGCAGTTAGTCCAATACATAATTTTTCCATTGACAAAAAATTGTAAACATGGTGTTTTGCCATAAAGCTTTGAATACACATCTAAGATATTTAAAGACGATACAAAATCCGTCCTTTCCCTGAGTCTCAAGCATAAAATATAGTCCTAAAAGACCAAACAAGGAGAGCGGTACATGGAATGATTCACGGTAGTACTACCAAGTGCAGAATGACTCAGTATTATCACTCGATTATCATATCACTTAATGTGCCGGTCCCCAGAGTTCGATTTTTTTTAACAATCGGGAGAAATAATTCAGGACTTTTGACAGTGTTTGGGATTTAGGCATTCAAATCAGTGTAATGCATTAAAAATAAATCTCCAAGCCGTTAAGAAGTTGGACAAAAGCGAAGATTTTCTTGACCAGAGTTGTTATAAATGTAGCACTTTTCATTGAAAAAAAAAGACTACACTGTAATTGAAAAGTGACGTTACACACCATGCGAACTACAAATAGAACTTGTTCCAAGACTGTTGGTCCTAACATTACGCTCAAGCAAAAAATTGTTTTTAACATAGTCCACTGGTGAACACAAATAAGCGCAACCAATTTCTGTGGTTAATTAATGCAGCAAGTTTATTTGCAAAACAAACAACGCATGGAAGTTAGTTCCGTGCCAGTTGGTCTTTTAGAGACTTGTTTTTGACACGCTCCACTGACCATAATACGTTCTCTGAACCTGGGCCACGCTAACTAGTTTGACGTAGTGATTCATATAAGCCATATATGGCGAAAAGTCAATAAGTGCTGAATAATGCAAATCAGGCATTCAAATTATCTAACCTTGCACGCCTGAATGAGAAAAACACTAGCTACTTTATCCTTTCATCTAATTTAGTAGCAGAGGCGTAAAGGCGTATGGTGATTAATTTTCAAACCTGTTTGTTTAACTCTTAGTTCAAATTGTTGATTGTCAACATAATTTATATATAATTGGTATAAAAAGTTGAAGACTTGAAAAAAGATTCATTCACCTAAATTCTTTGCAAATTAAATATTAGGGATTACAACGGTATGTCCTTTCCTTTTGTATTGTTTTGTTTCTAGCTTTAAATCATTTAATGTTCAAGTTAAGAATACAGTCATGCACTCCCATGTTCCACCTACATTTCCCTTTACAATTACAATTAATAAAAAAATATATAGTACTCCATCCCCCCTTTATAAAATATCTTTTTATCAGCTCTCTCTCTCTCCCTCTCTCCATGCATTATCCTACTGAGTTAATGTGACCGTTTATATTATAACACGTTGCTCTGCGAATTAATGTTAAACAAGACAGCATTCGAAATCGATTCCAATGAAAAACACGTCATTTCCGTTTCACACAAGGACAAACTATAACTAAAACACACACAAGAAATTTACTATATCCCTCCACCACCATTGAGAGAGGATAATAGCTGGACCTCGTATATTTTGATTTGGTTGCTTTTATAATACTCACTTGGGACTTTTGACAAATAAAGACAACCTTTCCAGTGTGTCTGTACAAATCACTTTATTTTTGTTCAAATTTTACATATTTTTTTTTTTTTTTACACATTTTTATTGAGCAAGTCTATACAGAACATGCTGTGCCAAAATAACAAACGGTGTTTATTAGTAACAAAAGAGCATCAGCTACAACGCAGTGTGCACAATTTGCCATTTGTATTTTTTGCACTTGGGTATACCACGCGCGGTCGCATTTTTTTTTACTGTGTAGAGTACACTACTCCTTGCGGACATTCTCCCCGTTCACTAAACACAATCCAACATCTCGGTCTCCATCTCGTTGACGTCATCTTCCGTTTGTTGGTCGTCATTAAGATCGTCCATGTCGTCATCATCTTCGTCACCTAAGTCCTCCATTTCGGCGTCGTCTTCCATTGGAGTTTTTGGTTTATGTTTTTCTTTAGTTCCTAAAAGATAATTTTTCTAAAATAATGGACTGTTGTGATTTTTCAATAATTTTATAAAATGTGTTTGTTTTAAATTAGATTTTTAATGTAAATGGCTAAAATGGTGTCTCAAACACAAAAATCGTGGACTCAGTCAACATTCTGTAGCAAGACGTCTATGGTTATTGCTTTTTAATACTTTTCTGGTGAGACTTTACATGATAAAATCGTTAAATTAGTTGCATTATCTAACAAATGATTAATTTGGACGAAGCATTGTAAAAACAAATATCTCGTGTCTCCTTTTTTGCAGGTTTGTGTTTTTATCAACCATATTTTTTGCAACGATTTTTCACAGAAGAGGCGTCTTCTTTGTGCAAATAAAAATTTTAGAAAATGTCAACAAAAAGTTTGGGGATATAAATTACTTCGTCATAAACTTTGGTGAGGCAAAGTGAGACGCGAATCTTGGGCGTAGGTTGTCGTCTGCTTGTCACTTGGGGGATTTAATAATCACCCGAAAAACCAGCACTATGTTCATATCAACAAGATACAGAATTTGGTATTTTTTTTAACATCAATTGATACCTTCATAAAAAAGGTTTATTTAAACCATACCTTAAAAAACCCGACCCAAAACAAGTCAGATTAGAAATGACCTATATATCGTTGCACCCCTCCTGAATTTAAAGGTGGGCGTTCGGATGACGAACTGCTTTAATTTTGAAAAAAGATTGCTCTTTTTGAATTGTTTATTACCGGCCGCCAGGAGGCGGTCGGTTATTACCGTCTTCCTTGGAAGACGGTATTGTATAGTTGAAGTTTTTTACAGTCTTCGGACTATGCACTTCCTCTCTTTTGTGATTGGTAGAAAATGCATGATGAGAAAATTTTCAATTACTTCATTGGTTGAAATGCTGTTCAAGGCAAGGGAGATAACTTTCTAATGATCTACTTTTCGTACGACTTAACAATTTTGCAAGATTTTCAATCTTGAAAAAATGACAAAACGAGCAACAAAATCAGCAGTAATTAATTCCTAATAACATGATTTTTTGTATAGCAAAAAATAAAAAGATCTCTTTAACTTCATTATAAATATAATTTGATTTTTATTGCTTGCAGGCTTTACAATTTGTTATTATTCTTTTCCCTTTTCTTGTTTGAAGAAGGAAATGGATTCAGCCGAGGTTTGCCGAAAGCTCTCGGCGAGTCAAAGTTTACGGAGATGACCGAGCGACAACCGTGGTAGGGCTAATGCCAGTAAAAAGCTAATGTAGAAATACGAAATCAAGAAATTCAAAAGAATTATACGGCCTGATAGGTGTAGATCAGTTTACAGTTTAAGATTGTTGCTAAAGACGGGAAGCTTTTTAAAAAAGCTCTACTTGTATGATATGGAAGTTTGAAGTCGCTGTGCGTTTCTGCGGAATTAAAACAATTTCAATAAAAATATTTAACATTAATATAAAAATATATTAAAAAGAGCGTCTAAATGTTTAACAAGAATGCACAATAAACATAAGATTAATTTTTTAAATAAAGAATGAGGTAAATATTTCATCCAATCCTGATTGAGAAACTTAGACATGTTTGAGGTGCGGAGAAAATTAGGACATGTGTTGGGCATAGTCTAAAGCAAAGACCGCGTTATGTATATTGCACAATTTTACTTTCTCTATTTAAACAGGATTTGTCGCACGTATTTATTTTAAAATGACGTGTTCACGTGTACATATATAAAAATTTTCAAAAATATGGTTAAATGTTAATTCATCAAAAGACCTAGCAAGCTACAGAATATTACAAGATTTGGCCATAGCAGACGAGGATAATGCGCGATTTACAATGTGCCAAGAATTTTCCCGCTACAACTCAAAGAAACTGAAAGAGAAGAAATGTAGTGGCGGATCTAGAGGGAGTTTAGTTTTTTCCTCTAAGAGAGAGCAAGGAGCCCCTCATAATTAAATTAAAACTACACTGCATATCTAGTTGTAGATTACATTAAACTTTAGTTTTAAACTTTTAATGTAAATGCCTCTTAATTATACAGGCCCACGGTTTGTTGACTCAGAGGACCAGGGGTACTTTGCCTATATATACATGTAATACTGAACATGCATTATATAATTAAGAAAATCATGCAATGTCGTGCACAAGCGTTTAATGTCACGAGGATATATCTTAACAGATAAATGTAAGATATTTTAAAAACAGATCACCATTTCAGTCTTTAGTTGCTTCATAAAATTAAAGGAACAATTAATTGGTTTGCGGCCGATTTTTGACGCTTGCGTCAATATATGTTTCTTGTGATTATATGAAGTGCACTGAACAACTATCAAACTCATAAATAATTTATATAAAATTCACCACAAAGAATCTCAACTGCCATTATATTTCAAGTATCTATTTTGAAAGACCTATAAGAACCGAAAAGACAGTTATAGTATTTCAGCAACGTGTATTGACAAATCTTGAAATATTTCTTTATAGATTTAAAAATATATATATTTTTGTTTAATGGAAAATAATACAAGAAAAGTGCTACTTAATATATCTTTTTAAAAAAAATTGTCCATTTGTCCATTGGTTGCTCTGCTCATTAATACGCATTAGATATTCTTTTACTTTATAAGTGCCACATTGCATGTACACAAATTCAAGGACAAAAGTCTTGATGTTTTCAGATATCATTAAAATAATAAAAAAAATTATTCTCACTATAATGATACTTGAAAATCAACAACAAAACCCTTTTAATTTAAAATAACCATTCATTGACAGTTTTTAAACATTCATAAATCAGTGCAGAAACTTTGACAGGTATATTCCTTATACATATGAATTAAACACCAGCAGACCATAGGCCTTGGTAAAATAAAAATATAACAAAGGTTTGCACAAAAGAAGCTCAAATGAAATACAAGAACCCCTGTCACCCACTTAAAAAGACCAAGAATCTTTGCACTGACTCAGTTTGGAAATGAAGCAGGTTGTTTTTAAGAACTTAATATAATGTCAACCAACATGCTGAATAAATTACTTGCTTCCTAAGCAAGGTCTGAATACTGACTCACACTCCTTAAGAAGTCAAATGTCTGTGTTTATATAACCCCACCTCTGCAGGGTGCATATGGAGATTTATTACTTCTAATCTCCAAGCTTTTGTGGTTGATCTTCTTTTTACATATGACTGTAATTTCAGCATACATTAAAGTTTGAAATAGAAAACCTGTTTTTTAACATATTAAACACACTTTACTTGACCTAATTTTGGAACACTTTTTATGATCTACGGACTACCGGTACATAATTATGTGCAGATGTCTCCTATTTAAACCATTGCTGAAAACTAGTCCAAAAAGTGCCCACATTTATAGCATGTTAATCAGATGAGTAGTCCACTATGTATGTACTTTAATTTATACCAAAAAGTCTTCAAAGGTATAGAGTTTCAGTGTCCTCTTTGAAATTTCACAGGTTTTTAAATTTTCTGCAAAGCAGTTTACACTAAATTAGATAATTCCAATCCATTCATACTGGAAAAAGCAAATACATGTAATGGGATTACGTAATTATGCTAGATAATTATCAAATGAGCAGAAAACAGGTGAAGCTAATTTCTTCAAGGACATAATTTCATTTGTCCCTCTAAAATCTCTGTGTTAAACTGATGGCATTTATTTAAAGTATAAATTATAGTAGTATAAAATGTACATGCACCTAATTTTACTGCAGTGAAATCTAACTTTTGTTACTTTGTTTGATGTCCCTCTCAAGAATTTTTCACTCACTTTATGAAGGACTGCAAATTAATACCTATACATGGCAGTCGGAGCCACTGAGCAGTGAGGGACCTACTGCAACTTGAGACATTGGTTTATACTCTCTCATCTGAGGGTCCAATCTCCACGTCCCACAGTCTATTGTCCCAGTGTTTAAGTGCATAAGTGGACTCAATTTTCGCAATTAATTTTCATTGACAAAGGTTTAAAGAAAAAGTTTGCAAGAGAAATTTATGATTTTGTGTCTCTAATGTTTGTTAATCAAGGCCTGCATTGAACAAAATCAGCATGTGGAGGTAAACCAAAGGACATAGCTGCCATGATGAGATAAATTATGTCAAATACATGTTCAAAAACAAAGAGCCCATGGGCTGCAATGCTCACCTGTGTAACCACTGCCTTTCTACTCTTCATCAGCAGATTCTTTTTCCTACATATTCTTCAGTAACACTTTGATAACTTTTAATGGCCCCCATCTTACCCCAGGGGATCAAGTTAACCAACTTGAATCTTAACACTACCAGACCATGCTTCAAATTAATATATTTATTTATCTATTTGCTGTTCTTGAGAATATCTCACATTGAGTCATTGACTCAGGTGAGCTAAAAGGTTAAAGATTTGAGTGACAAGCTCAAAGAAAGCTCAGACAATTGGTGGGGGTGGGTGGGGTTAAGTGAGAAATGAATTTTTCCCTCTCCTTGTGGAAAAATCCATTCTTCAAATTCTAAACTCAAATGTTTTAAGGGACTAATTAATTCAAAAATTTTATAGAATATAAAAAAATAAAGAAAAACTTGCTGGAGATTGAAATCTTAATTGTATCTTAGATTCTGGTTTGACATTTTCATTCTGCATTATATTGCATATTTCTATTCATGAATCACTTCATAAGAAAATGTCACAAGCAGTTATCAGGAGAAGAAAATCAAATTAATGCCTTAAACCATTTTCTGAAATGATGCATTCAATCACTGGTGTGGCCTGAGAAATTTCATCTTCTTCATTTAAATATCTGTGCATTATTGACACAGAAAGAATGCAACCCTGCAGTTAAGAATGCAATAGATGGCCCTATATACAAATACAGTGAAATATCAGTATCTCGAAGTTGAGGGGACCTGGACACGACTTCGAGATATCCGGGGGTTCGAGATATCCGAAGTTATCTTCCAAAGTCGAATCAACAATGTCCCGTTTTTTCGTATATCTTCATGCGTAACACTATCCTAT